CTAATTACAAACAACTGAATTTAGATGAATCTGGCCGGCGAACGATCGTTCGGGCGACTTCGAGTCGCTTAAAATGTTGCAAACGCATCTCATCGAATCGATATAAAACGATCGACAGGAAACAATACGGAAAAAATCAACTTGAACACTTCCAACCATAGAATATAAATTTTCTGATTCCATTAACTAATTTTTACATATATGTATATATGTACATTTTTTAAAAAAGCGTACATAATATTAAAATCCTTAAATCCATGGTTTCTGTGTTTAATATTTTAAAATAATAGAAAAGAAGCCTGAATAAACAATAAGGAAGAATTGAATGACCACAGTTACATCTTCATTGTCAACTTGAAGCGTTTCAGCTATAGAATATAAATTTTCTGATTCCATTAACTAATTTTTATATGTATGTATATATGTACATTTTTTAAAAAAGCGTACATAATATTAAAATCCTTAAATCCATGGTTTCTGTGTTTAATATTTTAAAATAATAGAAAAGAAGCCTGAATAAACAATAAGGAAGAATTGAATGACCACAGTTACATCTTCATTATCAACTTGAAGAGTTTCAGCTATAGAATATAAATTTTCTGATTCCATTAACTAATTTTTATATGTATAGTTTTAAAAAATGTGCAAGTAATATTGAGATCATTAAATTCACGGTTTCTGCGTTTAATATTTTAAAATAACAGAAAAGAAGCCTGATTGCTACGATTATTATCGTTTATTCGTTAGTTTTGAATATTCGAGTGTAACGAAATGGGGGAAAAAAAAGGTACTTTTTCTTTTTGCATTTTTCTTCTACGAGCAGCGTCGTCGTCGGCGGTTTTTAGATTCAGGTTACGATTTTTGGGCCAATGACGAATCCGCACATCCGGAGCCACTTAATCATCCAATATTAATATCACCGCCTTGCTTCCGCCACACAACCGTTTCTCATATCTCTCTTTCGCTCCCTCCCGCCTTCTTATTGCCCTCGCTGTCATATTTTCGGTGCGATGGTGGAGAACGAACAACAAGACGATGAGTACGAACCTGTCATACTTGTCATTTCGTGTATCCTGCCCACGCTCGAACGCCCCGACTCGTGAATGAGCAATAATTATCGCGAAACTGCAACTTTGATCGTGCACAGCGCAGGGACGCCCAAATTGTTGCAAATTGTTTCCTTCGAAAGCGAAAGATCGATCGCTAAATCACTGTTTCTATTTCTGGTATCACAGTAGTTATTATAATAGTCATTTTTAGAATTAAATTAATTATTTTTATAATTGCATAAACTTTACACATTTTCGATGAATTTTTTCATTTGAAAGTATATTTTTGCCTTTGAATCTAGCTTGAATTTAATTCTGAAGCGATCGTTTCGTCGAGATCGAGTAAATCTATGCAATTGAGGATTTAAAAAAAGATTTGTTTAAAGAATATAAATATTTGAGTGTGGTCGTATTATTATGTTTCCAGAAAGAATTGGTAAGAAAAGTATCAAAGGATGCGTTCATGGTTTTCTCGTTTCCTTAAAAATGGCGTCTCATTCTTTGATCCGAGCAGCGTTTCACGTAGTGCTCGAGGATAGCTCCGCCATGACGGTTTAACAGATTAGTTTATTCGAAATAGAAACCATTACCCATTTATTCAAAATATAACCCATCAACAGTGAATCTACTACGACTCTAATTGGCACTTTTCCACGTTAAACAAGAGAAGCATGACCACGCTGTTTGGCATTTAACCGCGTAACTCTTTCATTCATGTCACTCAACATCCAGCGCATTTCAATTCCTATGTTTTAAAACGGAGTACAATGTCATTTTATGTACCGTTTCATGTTTTCTTGTGTTTCCTATATATATATGGATACTACTAAAATATAAATATTACGTGACAAAAGATTCGGTTTGGCAGTAACGATTGATCGGCATCCAATTTTCCGAGTATCGTGCGACTTCGTGCATTGTTCGCCTCAAACCTGACTCATAAATTTACTATGATTTTATCGGGGTATGATTTTACTTTTCCCCCCAAAAAATATTATTATCCTCCTTTCTTGATATACAATGAAATTGAAAGAAAATACAATGACGTAGACTCGAATTAAATTCAAATATGGAGTTAGCTTGGAGTTAATAATGGAGTTAGCGTGACTTTGCTTTCTCCAAAAATATTACTTCTTCTTCTCCTTTCTTGATATCCAATAAAATTTAAAAAAATACGATGACGTAGACTGGAACTAAATTTAAATATGGAGTAAGTGTAAATGTTATGCTACGTCTTTGAAGATGCAGTTGCATAAATTCTGAAGAAGTTAGAGTGAGACTGGATAAAGGATTTGTGTCTTCGATCGTATACATTGGCGAACGTACGCTCGATGAACAGTACTTCGAAAGAGAACTCGGTGTCGGTTCGGGCAGGATGTACATTTGTTCGAAAAGTCGGTCAGTCATCGTTCGCGAACGTTCGAAGAGATTGTGGTTTCGTAAATTGCTATAGGACGTTGTCCAATTATAAGATCACCGTCGCCCACAGTTTAATACCCCACGTGCGAAACCGATGCATCAAAACTAACGGATCGAGCAAAATTTTGTCTACCTGCGGTATAATTTATGTCTGTCTAACTTAACTTTTATGCACCAAGTTGCAATATTAAATGCAGTCGACCTGAAAACTTCTCAAATATGTAATAAATGTAATTATTTTACAATAATTGTTTATAACAGGGGATTCCTCGCCAATTTCGATGATTTCCAAATATGTTATAGAACTCATAATTCTGAATAAATTTTGTTTATTATAATCCTCGTCAAGCTTCAGTTTCCGTGATATTTGCAAAATTCTTTCTATATTATTCTGGGAGAAATTTACACGAGCGATTCTGGAGGCTAAAATAGAACGAAAATCAAGAATACCAATTTGTTGATGGAGGCTTCGTTAAAAAGTTATTAACGTTCAAAGTTCCGCCAGTAATGAATTTTTTTCTCGTAAATGCGCAAAATTTCGGAGGTATGTCTCTTCACCAAAAATTATTGTAATCGAGCCCTGCAATCGAAAATAATTTTTTCAGAATGATTTGAAATTTTTTAATTTTCTCGAAAATTTCACACACTCACGAATTTTTTTCTAGAAAATGGGTAGGATTTCGGGGATATGTCTAACCACCAAAAATGATTGTACTTGACCCATGTAACTAAATATAATTTTTTTAGTTTGATTTGAAGTTTTCGATTTCGTCTAAAAATTTCAGTATCTACTCGAATTTTTTTCTCGAAAATGAGTAGGATTTCGGGGGTATGTCTATCCACCAAAAATGATTGCAATTGACTCCTGCAACTAAAAATATTTTTTCTAGAAGGATTTGAAATTTTTTTTTCGTCGTCAAATTTCACACCTTCTCGAATTTTTTTCTCAAAAGTGGATAGGATTTCGAAGGCATGTCTAATGACTAAAACTGATTGTAATTGACCCCTGCAACCGAAAATAATTTTTTCAGAACGATTTGAAATTCTTTTTTTTCGTCTAAAAATTTAGGCACCTATCCCCTGTCGAATGTTCTTAAAAATTCGTTTTTAATTTTTAATAATATTGTTTGACGCCCTACAGAAAAGTTGTCTAATACTTTTTTGTATGTACCTGTGAGCTCTATTTCAGAAAAAAGTTTCATTGAAATATATTCACTATTGTAGGAGTTATGGCTGTTTGAAAATTGAACCATTTTTATGGAGTTTTTCTCATTTTTCGTAGTCAAGGAATAACTTTTCGAATATTTTTGTGATTCCCACATAATCTTCACCAAATTACGCGTTGTTTGGATTTTGAAATATTAAAATCCCCCAATCCGTTCAGAAGTTATGACATTTTAAAGATTCGCATGAAATTTCAGGCATGCATTTCTTGGCCTCGCATTAGATTTTCAGTAATGAATTTTTTTCTCGAAAATGCGTAGGATTTCGGGGGTATGTCTATTCACCATAAATGATCGTAACCGAGTCACGCAACCGGAAATAATTTTTTCAGAATGATTTGAAATTTTTTAATTTATTGTTTAATAACTTTTTAACGAAGCCTCCCATTAAAATTTTTCCCAAGGATAATCGAACACCCTGTATGTAATGAAAACTTTTTCAGAATGTTGAGTTCGATAACATGTTTGAAAATGATCGAAATCGGTGAGGAGTCCCCTGTTATAAATAAGTACCGTTAAATCAACTGTTTCGTTGCTTTAACATCCGCATTGTTCGCGTAAAATATTTTATTACGACACAATATAAAGCTTCAAGTAAATTGTAGTATGTAGTTTCCAAGTTTCTTAACGTACGACACTAAAAATAAACATCTAGGTTTTCGAAATTACAGAAATTGTTTCCTCGACTATATTTTCTTCTTGTCTGATTTCTAGTTTGATAAAAATCACAGTTCTGTGCAATTCGCAACAAGTAAATTGCAATACTTGTAACACCAAACTCTACTAATTTTTATGCAGTTTGAGTAGTATTTCTAGTTTTAAATTTCAGGAATTACATTGAAAAATTATAAAATATGCACGCAAATCCTTAGTTCAAACTGTTCGAAAAGATCGAAAAGTTAAAAAAACCAAAAAGTATAAGGTTCCATAAAAAAAAATAAACCCAAAAAAGAACTAAAACTATTATCATTATAATAAATCCACTGACCAAAGTTTGTACCCCAAACCTGTATAGTTATTCAATTATTCGCTCTTAATGTGCTAAATTTACCACACATTATAGCTGCCGCGTGAATCAAACGCGGAAACTTGAACCCAACGTAAACTTCAAAATAATTCAATATGCTCGCGTGCATAAATAATTAACCCATAAATTGGGGTTTGTGGAAGGATCGATACTTTCAAAAAGAAGAAATAAAAATTAAAAAAACCCGCTGCACGTTCTCGTTTCGTTGTAAATACATGCGTCTCGTGTTCGACTTGAGATAATGATTTTGGGTTGAAAAACATCGATTTTTTTAGTACTCACACGTTACGGTGCCACCCAACGATGGTAGAGGGATGTTGTTCAGTCGGATCTCGTTGAAATTCTTCTTCTGTACGGAGCTTTCTTGTACACTGCTGCTGTGCTGCTCGCTAACGTGCTGTTCCTCTTTTTGTTGGGTCCTCTTGGCTCTCTGGATTTTATGTGTACTCTGCTCTCGATATTCTTCAGATGCCTACAACAGAAATCCAGCAACGTTTCACAGCGAACGGAATACATTTGAACCCTGAGACACGACTATTATCGAAACACTTTGGAAAAATTAATGAAAGTAACTGTAATACACGTTTCAAATGTACGGATCGATTGCTTCGCTATTTTTGGTGAATAAATTAGAGACTTGGAGACAGTAATTTTTGTTAGCACTTTGTGGGAAACAGAGCTGATCAAAATATAAAGAGAAACGGAACAATGAGACATGAAAATTTACTATTCGTGATCAGAGGTTCATTGACGCCTCAAATTTATGGAGTATCGATAATCGTAGAATATAGTAGCGATTATAAATAATTGTGTGACACTGTAAAACTGTTCTCAACACCATAAAGAAATAGGAATTACTCTTTCGAACTGTTTCAGCGATCATATTTATTTAAACTTTTTTCCAGTTCTTGAACACTTTCTTTGCTATGAAATAATTTCGAAATGCAGCGGTAAATTTTGGCAAAACTGTGCACAAATACCGTGGGTTAATAGAGCTTGCTGAGGCCGACGATAAAAATCCACATTTCTGAAACCGAGCGATGGTGTTCGCTACAGCTCATTACGATAGAATCTACGTATTTCGAAGCTGGTAACAAGCCAAAGCATGCTGCGTGTAAAGAATTTATTATGTAACCGTGGCAGGATTATTGCAAAACGCGGCATGTCGCCGTGAAAAATCCTTCAACAAAAATCTCGTAAACAAATTTCGTCGACACGTTTCCCTATCTCCGACGAAACGACAATAGAATGTACATATTCATCGTTACTATTACAAACGGTATTGACTTATATATCGTTGATAAAAACTTTCGTTTTTTAATGTGTAATATTCTGTTTGACACCTTGGAAATATTTTATTTGTCGATAATGGTCACGATCGAATCGCAGAGAATCCTAATTTACTTTCAACTCGAACAGAAGGTTAGTTTGATTTATAATTGAAGATATTAATTCGAATTTAAAGAAATTTTACGCGACACATAAGAAAACGTCCTCTCGGTGCACGAAAAGAACAGAAATATATGGTTTTATGGTTTTAGAATCGCAACAAGTGTCACTGTCATGATTCTCCATTGGCCAGTAGCAATTTTCCAAAAGCGTTTGCAACACAGTGGTTTTTAACGCGATTTCCTCATCGGAGCTTCAGGGAACGTGATGAAAGTATCGAAAAGTGAAATTTTGCAATTTATTTTTTTTGTTATTCTTTGGAAAGTAATATAAAGAAAACAAAGGAAAGAAAAATCTTCTGTTTACTCGTCAAAGTTGACCCTAAGAAATAAAAATTTGATTTTTTGTTCTTCGTATCGTCAACAAGGATTTCGACTGCTCGTAAAAAAAAAGAAATTTACTCGTGACGCGTAAATAATTTTTGAACTTTCGAAAGACGCGAAAGGAAATTTCCGACATTCTCGAGCCAGTTTCGTGGCTTAGTCCCTTAAGATAATTACTTTTCAATGCTCAATTCATACCTTAGTGCGTGTGTTAAAGTGTTAGCAGCGATATAGGATAGCAGGAACCAGCTAGGACGGTGTCTGTCACGAAACTCGTGGAAACCGACGATAATTTCGGGCACAATGCTGAATTGGATGTTACGATAATAGCTGGCCAGCCCCCACTCATCTATTTTACAAAAGATTTTTCGATGGCAATATGTGCTCCATCTAAGCGTTAATTGATCGTTTAAAAAAAAATTTCGAAAACCGTCTCAGCTATTTTTTAAACATCCAACTTTATCGACGTTTAATGGCGCCTACGTGATAACTGTCGTTGTACGCATCCTTTCATGCTACAAACCGAATACTAATTTTCAGAGTTTCAGAGTTCAGAGTTTCAGAGTTTCAGAGTTCTGGCTCGTTTTAATGGGGCACCTTGAATTTCTTGATTCTCAAAAACAGGTACCACCATGCAAACAGATTGAAAATTCATCTGCGCTCAACGGAATGTAATTAGTCACAGTAGAAAACAGTGTTTTGTTTTACATGATCATCGAAACGAATCAAATGTGTTTAAAATTTAAATAAACTCGTGGTTACATAAGTGTCATTTTGAATAGCTTTTTAGGATGTAAGAGGAATGTAGCATATTAAAGTGAGGGAGGCGTGGAAACCAATCATCGAGATCATAGATCGTTCAACGGAATATTAGAAGGAAATGTTGCAGCCTGTATATTTGCGTAGCATGAGGCATGTATGTACGAGCGATTAACTGCAGTTGCCAACAGATTCGAATTTCTGAGATTCTGAATTAATCAGAAAGAAACGTATCCCGTGTCTCGAGTGTAAATATATATCCATAGCAACGGAAACCATACGCGACCTCCATTTTGGAAAATCCACGATTACCAGAATTGAAAATAACGAATCAAAAAACAAACTGATCGATGCTATAATCCTCCTCGAAAGAGTATATAATTAATAAAAAAGAATGAAGATCGGATAATACGGAAATAAATATTACGAAATATGATTTTAAGCTAGAATGCAAAAAGGAATAAATTTGATCGGATAATAGAGAAATAAATATTACGAAATATGATTTTAAGCTAGAATGCAAAAAAGAATAAATTTGATCGAATAATACGGAAATAAATATTACGAAATATGGTTTTAAGCTACAATGTCTAAATAATAGTAAATGCAATTTTATTTTGCATTGTAAATGACATTTAAAAATTGATTTTCGATATGAGCGAATCTTTAGGAAATTATGCAGTATAAATGTGGCCAGAAAGGTGGCCATTTTGAAAAAGTATGGTGAAGACCAACAACGTAGATCATTAATAGATTGATTTATCTATATTTAAAAAATACGAAATTTAATTTTCCAAACTATCGATTCTAATTGTCGAAAAAATATCGACGAAAGGTTGGAGCATTTTCAACGTGGCGTTTGATGGGAAATGGTTTTTCCGTGGTGGTGTTTGAACTATCGCGCGTAATCGGTGAATTGAATAATCATAACACGACCGAGTCGTACCTAGTAAGTAGATGTATATTTCAAACTGATGCAAAAGTCTTTGGATTTATCCACTCGTATTAATTTAATACTCGTCCACTCACCTCCGCCTACTCCGAACGATTCTGCTTATAAATTTGGGAAAGCCTGACATGCACTGAAAATAGTTTAAGCCACCGCGGAGGACAAGATGCGTATTAGATTTCAGACTGAATCGTGCAATAAACTCAAGCAAGCCTTTCATAGCTATACCTCTGCTATCAGCGACACTTGGATCATTATCGATGAAATGCAATCTCAACTGTCACCGTGGCTGTACTTTTACGAAATCCCCTTAATCGATTTCGTTGATACATTTTAAAACGCGAAATTTCGGTAAATTTTTTTACGCGCTAAAAATTATTCGATTACTCGTGTGTGTTTATTATTTGCAAAATAGTGGATAACTTCAAAGACGTGACTGTATTTTCTAATAAATAAATTCCTTGTCTGAAAGTATTTTTAAAGAAATAATGCGTCCATTAACGGGTAAAAATTATATGATTTCGCGTAATAAAACGTATGTCACCTTCGTATGACCTCTACCAATTTTTATAACCATTTTTTATAGCGATAGTTTAAGAGTAACTTGAATTTCTAAATTAAAATGAAACACTCTGCGTATGGCCGCCATTTTAGTTGAGAGATGTACGCAAAAATATTCAGTATTCTGAACGCTTGCGACGCGTTTAAATTAAGTTTACTACAATTTTACGTTGTTTGGGTTAGTTTGTTTAATCCGTCGAGATCCATCGAGCACATTCTAGAACAACGTGAAAATAGAAAATTGTTTCACGTTTGTCGACCGCATCGCGGATGGTCGTGAATCAATCTAGCGGGACTTATAACGAATTGATTTTTCTTTCTTTCGCCGCCAACCGACCACCCACGCCGAAATACAGCGTAATCGTAAACTAAATTTAACCGAAATTTCTTTTTTCGAACGTCTCGAAAACTAAAGTCGAACGACGCGTATAGGAAGAAAGTTCTTCGAAATATTATCCGCGAAAAGATGCTCGAAAGTGATCGAAATCGATATGGAGAACCCTGTTCTTTCCATGAACAATGAAACACGATATCTATAATTATAGTTTTCTATGTTAATTCGGACAAAATTACTAGCCTTTATACATAATGTAAGCTTGGATCGGAAACAACTGTTCTGTTACGTTTTACATGTACCCGGAGATAATTAACGAATATGCTTGAGCAACGGTGCAACGTGTTCTGATACAGGTCCAAGCGTTCAAATTAATTACGGCCCGTGCACACACATGCCGTCGTAGTCAATTTAATCCGCATGATTGCGGGAAACAATTTTCGAGAAGAATAACGGACGATTACAAGAACATAAACCGTTCGAAAAGTTGTCCACGAAACTGCGGCTACTGCCAACTTTGAATTTATAATCTCCCTAAGAAAGGCAGCCAAGAAGATCACAAACATCGGTATGTATAACACAACCGGGGATCTAATTTGAAGAAAGCGAAAAACCGAATTATATCGAAACAACGTTCGAACAAATTCGAAATATAACGAAACATAAATAAGTTTTATTTAATGGGAGATTTTGGAGGCCATCTCTGGGAAAAATTTTAATGGGGGATTCTAGAGGCCAAAATAGGACGAAAATCAAGAATATCAAATCCTTGACTGAGGCTTCGTTAAAAAGTTATTAACAATTAAATTAAAAAATTTCAAATCGTCCTGAAAAAATTATTTGCGGTTGCGGGGGTCAATTAGAATCATTTTTGGTCATTAGACATACACTCGAAATCCTACTCAGTTTCTAGAAAAAAATTCGAGAAGGTGTGAAATTTTTCGATAAAATTAAAAAATTTCAGATCGTTCTGGAAAAAATATTTTTAGTTGCAGGAGTCAATTGCAATCATTTTTGGTGAATAAACATACCCCCGGAATCCTACTCAGTTTCGAGAAAAAAATTCGAGAAGGTGTGAAATTTTACGACAAAATTAAAAATTTCAAATCGTTCTGGAAAAAATATTTTTGGTTGCGTGGCTCGATTACAATCATTTTTTATTAATAGACGTACCCTCGAAATCCTACTCGTTTTCGAGAAAAAAATTCATTATTGAAAATATAATGTCTGACCATAACTGTCTGTTACCCTGAAAATTGGAAAGCTTCAAATCGTTCTGGAAAAATTATTTTCGGTTGCGGGGGTCAATTAGAATCATTTTCGGTCATTAGACATATACTCGAAATCCTACCCACTTTCGAGAAAAAAATTCGAGAAGGTGTGAAATTTTTCGACGAAATTAAAAAATTTCAAATCGTTCTGAAAAAATTATATATAGTTACAGGGATCAATTACAATAATTTTTGGTGAATAGACATACCCCCGAATTCCTGCGCATTTTCGATAAAAAAATTCAGTATGAGTGGAACTTTAAACGTTAATAACTTTTTAACGAAGCCTCGATTAACAAATTAGTATTCTTGATTTTCGTCTTATTTTGGCCTCTAGTATTTTTTAGTGTGTGTAAAGAGTGTCTTGTGCACGTATGCAGACTTACCTTGGATGGACTTATGGTCATTCTTTCGGAAGAAATGTAAACATATGAATGGACATAAACAAAATGATGGCACACTTGGAATGATATATTATTCTATACTATATCATATATGTATATATATTTCATATGATATAAATTATTAAGTATGAACGAAATACATTTGTATGTGTTTTTAATAATGAATGGAATCTCCTTTGAATTCTAGAACTTCTAGTAAAATATAAGAATACAGTATAAGAATCTTTATTGCAAAGAGGTATAGTTAATTTATATTTTTAAATTGATATCTTCTTTCAAACTAAAGTAAACTTTATCTCCTACGTCTGAGTATTTGAATTAAGTTCAAGAGTTGTAATTTATTTAACAAAGTAGTTAGCACTATTCTTCAAACTCCTGTAAAATTAACAATATTCCAAATTTTGAAAAGATCGAGATATGTTTAGATATTTCTAAAAACTACAATATGTATATACACTTTTGGAGAATCCAAAATATTATTTCTAAAAATGTTTAAGAGACCGAATATGGTGTCAATTATATATAGATATATTTATTTAAATCATTCAACTTTCATATGAAAGGAGTGGTTTCGGAAATAATGTCATGGAATGATTAAAAGGGGCATCTGCATAGAAATGAAAATTACATTAAGTGAAATAGCAATAATTCTTCTATGAAATAACATAAAATTAGAAAATTCCTAAAAGACTGTTGGAAATAATAAAAGACTACAAAACCAAAAACGAAACGAGTGGTAATGATATTGTAAATAAAGTACCAACTTACCGTGAAGGTGTAAAATCCATCTGGTACCGGTTGGCCCCCAAATTTGATACTAAGAGTGTAGTCACCAGCATCCGCAACGGTATAATAAATATTGACTGTGCCATCTCCATTATCCTCAATGTCGATGTCCACAACTTCACTAAACAAAAAATACAAAATATATCTAAGATGCTCATTACCATGCTATGGTACTTATTTTCTATGCAAGGTAAGCGTTGTCAGAGAAAGATATCGTTGGTTTTTAACAGAGAAACGTATGTTCAACAAAGTACAGAAATACAGAAATGATCGTAGCAGAAATAGTTAAGAAACGAGTATGCTCACCTTCCGGAAGTAGAACGTATACGACAGGTTACCGCGCCAAATCCCGCGTTCTCGGTGTCCACGGTGATGCAATACTTCTCCCCCTGAGCTAAAGTATGCTGAATACCTTCTTTAATTTTACATTTTTCAGCTTGCCCGGTGGACACGCTCTGAACGTTCACAGGACAATTCGGCACCTCTTTGCCCCCGTACTTCACGTTCACCTTGTAACGACCACAATCATCAGGTAGATACGTTGCCTTGTACTTTCCATCCCCAAGATTTTGAATCTCAACTTTACGGGGAATTTGGTCCGGACCCTGAAAATATTGTCAACTTCGGATCACGATCTTTCGAAAGACATAAGGCACGTCTCTTTCGGCACGTTGAGAACTAGACCCGTTTCATTAAGATTAACAAGAAAATAAGCCACGTTCGGACGAATCTCACGTCGATGCTCACCAGAACTTGAACTTCCAGGTCACCGTAGCCGGCTTTGGAAGTGTCCACCACGAAATCAACGGGGAAAGAAGCAGTGCAAACCGACGACACACCAGGTCCTGACAGAATAACTTTACTCGGGTCCACGGTGGACGGAATCTTCGGTTTCTGACGATTCCCTGGCACATTTTCACCCGCTGCCTCGGCACCCTTGCTAGCCTCCTCGTTTTCGACTTTGATTCGGAAAGGTGACCCGGGAATGTGTTGCTCCGCGAACAAGATAGAGATTTCGTAGTCGCCTGGCTCGACTGGAATGTATTCGACGCTGCACGATCCGTCGTAATTATCCTTGCACGTCAGCTTCACGTGGCCGGCGCCTTCCATGGACAGAGCCAAACCGCCATTACCAGCATCTGAAATATTCGACAATGTACGAAGTGACTGTATCTGAGGCGATTAAAAATGCTCGCTTGGTTCATTAGTTTACCTTTCGTTTCTATGGTGAACGTGTTGATCTTATCAACGTATCCCTTCTGCAAGGCTGGTCCATACGCCTTGCACTTTCTCGGATCGTTCCAACGTTGAACGTTCACCGAGAACGGTGAACCGGGAACAGGGACGTTATCGTATAATACTTCTATGGTGTGAGGCCCTTCTTCGAACGGCACGTAACTGACGCAATAGGTTCCATCTCCTTGAGGGTTAATCACTTTCTCCAATTTGCTGCCGCTGGGATTCTTGATCACGCAGGAAACCCTGTCGTCGTCGTTCTCAGACTTTGCTATTTCTCGAGCGTCGACCGTGAACTCTGTTGGTTGCTTCGGACTTGGACCTGAAAGTCAAAAGAATGCAATATATAGCAGGCGGGTTTACGACAAGTGATTACCAAATTGTGCAGAGTTATGCAACACGACATGCTGATATTTCGTACAAAGTTGTAGCAATACATACGCAAACATAAAAGTGTTTATTAGATGTGTTATTGTATGTATTACTTGGAGTAAAATCAATATTTCGCTATCACGGTACACTCAAAGCACAGATGATGAAATAAATACAAAATTGTAATAAATACAATATTTCATCAGCTGTGCAAATATGAACTCAGCAAAACAATCATAACAAAATTAATCAAACATTATTAAACAGGAAAACTTTGATCCTCCATCATTCGGTGCAATCTTCTTTCTTGTTCCTTCGATTTGATTTCGTTTAAAAATCGTACAAATATAGGAGTCGTAGTAGCAGAGGCGCCATCGTCATCCAGAAATGATCGAACGCTGAATGCTTCTCTATTTCTGCTGTTACCGTTCTCATAGACACGTTTGCTTCAGAGTCAACTTGGCGACGACTCTACTATATATTTCTGTATTAACAACTCGTCCCTAAACTTCAAAGCTCACGATGGACAACACTAGTTAGGCATAGCTTCATAAATTCTTTTAAAAAGCAAACAATAAGAAACGTCCAACTCCATGCATTAGTGTTTCCAGTAACAAAGAAAGATCTCAGAGCAACGCGATCGACGGTACCGTGTGGTTGAATGCCATTTCCGGTGACCTTGACTTTCGACACGTCCGTTTCCTTTCGAATGATAGCCTGGAAGGGCGATCCGGGGATATGTTTCTCGTTAAAGGTGATATTGATGCCATAATCGCCGACCTCCGTGGGCAGATACGCCACGGAGCATGTTCCGTCGCCATTGTCGCGACAGTTGATGGCAGCTTCGCAGGGACCTTCGACGGTGACACCCAGACCACCCTGGCCAGCTCCGCGAGTATCGATCACAAATTCCGCTGGTCTGTTTATTATTCCACGGGAGAGACCCGGACCGGATGCTCGAACCATTTCAGGGTCGGAACCGTGGACGCAGGTCATACGATACGGTTGATTCGATATCGATTCCCCGTCGAAACTGATCCCCAATAGGTATTCCCCGATCTCCGTTGGCGTGAAGTTCACCAGGTAACCTTCGTGGGTGGGGACCGCGTGGACCTTTGCACGGTTTCCCGAGGGAGCCGTTATCGCCACCTGCAAGTCGGCTGCCTTCCCCGCGTCCTGTGTTATTACGCGGAACTGCTGCAAGCTGTTCACCGGAGCCGCTGCGAGACGGATTTAGTTTCTGACATTTTACTTTTCTCTTCTCAGTTCGTTGTGTATCACGCATGAAAGGAAATAAGCATAACGTAGTCGTTAGTTGCCTGATTTTCTTTTCACGTTAATCAATATATGTACATTATCGACCCTTTATCGAGCAATGTAAACACGTGGCATCCTCTCCAAGAAAGAACAGGCTGTCAGGTACTCGACCAATAGAAAAATACCATTTGGTCAATGATACAATGAATGGTTAAAAATTATAAAATTATGGAGCCATTGGGTCTGATCGTTTCCTAATAAAATTAAAGTATGACGTGGGCTTTTAGTTATTTTGTTGCTTTCATTGAAGAGTTGATATTCATATTCAGATTTGGATCACCACAAAATACACAAATCTTGTACCTTTAATATTTGATAACAGTTTCTTCTTTGCTCGCACAATTATTACTATTCCAAGCGTATGTTTTATAAAAATCAACCGACATCATATCATCCCCTAATTATTATAATATCATACAGCATAAAATCGTAACAAATATAAAAATAAAATGAAGCACAGAAAATCTATTATTTTCAAGCGAAGAAATAGAATAATTTCACACACACCAGATACTATTCAATCAGGCAACCAACGCGATAAATTAATATACAAGAAGAAGAGTATAAAATCGTCGTCCCTTATTCGCGATAAATTTAAATTAATCTTTCAACACTGAACCTACCGTTTTTAAAATTTCGTTTAGAATTTCACAATGTCACTTATTACATATTCTTAGCATCAGTAGGTTTAATGTCGAGCCAAGGCCTGCATCTTTCCAACCAGTTACACTTCATTTGCAAATCTTCTCCAGAAAGACGTCTACTCTAATATTTGATAAATTATTAAAGATAATTTTGTACTTACTTCGCGCGAGGCCGTCGACTTTGATCTTCGATATGTCTATACGTGGTTGGACGTTTACTTTTATGGGGCACTGGGGTACGTTCAGCCCCCCGTAGTTCAAATTTACCAAGTATGTCCCGGGTTGGGGGGCCACGTAGTCAACCGTGTACGTGCCATCTTCGTTGTTCGTCAACGTCATCAGAACTTCCCTTCCCTTGGGGTGGACTATGTTCACGCGAAGATCACCCGGGCCAGCCTCGCGACAATCGATGTTGAAGTGCGTGGGCGTGTTCGATTTCAAACCGTCCTCGAGACCGGGCCCGAAAGCGGACACCATAGCGGGATTTAAAGGCGCATTTACTTTCATCCTATAAGGAGAATTCTTTGTAGCTACACCGCCGTAATTTACCTAAAAATAGAAAGAAAACAATGGCTCGTAGCTTGGTTCTTCCAATAGAAAAACAGCAAAGGAGTAATTTCAGTTATCCGACCATGATTATGTGTTGCAGTCCACACGTTGGAGTATATTGACATTGCACAGTTCCATCTTGATTATCGTTTAATCGAACGGGGACATCTCTTCCGAGGGCGTCTTGAACAGCGACTTCCAAAGGTGCCTGACCAGCCTTTCGTACATCTATCGTGAAGTTTGTTGGTTTGTCGGTGGAAATGGACTCTGATTGGACTCCTGGCCCGTACACCTCGACCTGAAAATTATTTAAACGTCGAAAAATAAAATAAATATCGATAATAAGAAAGATCTCGAACCTTGTCCGGATCGAAGTCAGCTTTGGGCAAAATGTTCGCGATGTACGGCGACTGCGGAATGTTCTCGTCGTCGCAGAGTATATGGATCGCGTATTGTCCAACAGCAGTTGGCAAATAAGACACGTCTATGCTGTCGTTGCCATTATCGTGGCAATTGATGGTGGCTTTCGAGGGGCCCCTGATCGAAAACTGAAGACCACCGGCCTCGCCGCTGGTGGTCACCGTGAATTTCGCCAGATGATCGACTATTCCGGTATGAAGACCGGAACCAAACGCTCTGGTCGACGACTCCTTGTAAGGACCGACGTTCACTTCGAAGTGAGACTTGTAAATCTTTTTCCCGCTGCTCGTTATCATTATCACGTGTCGTCCTTCCTTGATGGGTGTGTAGTTACACTTGTACGTTGTCGAGTCAATTTTTGTTAGCCTGGAAGCAACGCAAGTTTAATCGTTTGGTAGCTTTGGGTGCAATCTGAGTAGATAAATGATTTACTTACTCCACAGGACAATTGATGCCACCGGGAGCGATGATCTTAACGCAGGGTATATCTTCGTCGGCGGCCATCTGTATAATAAAATCTGCATTGTCTTTGACGCGAACTCCATTCGGTAGAAGTCCTCGTCCGTAAGCTTTGTACTTCTTCCCATCGGACACCGGAGCTACCTTAACTCCGTAGGGGCTACCAGGTATCAATTCTCGAGCGAAGAACACGTGTATGTAATGTAACCCCGAGAACGGAGAAGTGTACTCGCACCTCCACACATCCGGTAGCGTTTGACGTAGCTTCACAGGTACAGATGTCTTCGAACCCTACGCACAGACGTTTCAATTTCTATTTCGATCGTTTTGATACAATTTTTGTGATTCAAACGTTTAGAAAAATCGATACCTGGGGGTCTAGTATGATAACTTCAGGAACACCGCCTCCGGTATCTTTTGTGAATATGTCGAAGAACGTGGGCTTGTTAACTGTGACGCCTTCCGGCTGTAGTCCTGGCCCGCTCGCTGTAACTTTGCTAGCGTTACCAGCCTGGGCGGCTACGTTCACCGTGTAAGGGCTATTTGGAACTTCTCTTCCAGCGAAAAGTACCTTTACCTTGTGAGGCCCTGGATGTCTTGGTGTATAGGATACAGAATAGGAGAGATTCTTGTCCTTGTTAAACCTAACGTCGGCCTTGAACGAAAGGAAGGAAATAAATAGGAAGATCGACGTGATTCATCTTGTTAGCTTACTGATAAAGTTCAACACCCTCTTCGAGAATATATATCATTATCGGAGACTCGATGTTTGTTAAATTACTCGCGTTTAAAGTGAAATAAATGACTCCATTCTTCATAAAATAATTCCATAGAAAGCACACACTATTGATTGATTCTATAGCCCAAATAAATAATTTTCTCGAAAGAACAGAGCAGAGTTACAGTTGATTTAATGCACATAATTGCGTAGGGACGTAAAAATAGCTGTTACACCGCGTTTATCTTGGCCCGATAATTATTACGACTGTGATACGTGGTTGATTGTGGTAATTTCCTCCAAGCGACTAACCGCATAGATAAATATGCGATTAACAGGCTCGTTGAATATATAGAGTGGTCTGCCAAATCGCTTGTTAATAAAATGAGTATGTAGTTATCCTAGAAAATTATTTTTACCTGTAATTTGTGACCCTCGGGGTCTTCAACGATCACGTCAACGTTTCCCTTGCCAGCAGAAAATGTTTCCACGGTGAAGTTAGCTGGTGCGCCCGCGACCACGCCAGGCTCGATACCCGGCCCATAAACGCGCACTCTGCAAAGCAAATTTTTATAAGAAATCGAAACAAGCATCCCCTTGCGTTTGTTATGTGCACCTTAAGAGGGTACTCTAGGTCAACACTCTTCTAATATTCTAGGATCCATAGATTTTACTAAAATGAATAGGATCGATGAAGCTGCTAATAGTTTTACCATGCGGATCTCAAGTATACTGCACGAGGGAACGATTTTTATTAAGAAGAGAATGTTCGACTGGAAATTAAAGATTGCTACAGCATCGTCCAGGCTGACTTAGCTTAAACGAGATTAATTTCTTCCACTTGCCAGTTTATTTCGGTCAATAGGGTCGAAAAGCAGAGTCGTTTACGACACCTTGAAGGAAGCGTATTGTGCATCTTGCGATCGAACATTGCACAGAAGCCTGAGCGCTACTCTACGGATTACACAGAACCTTGCTATCGATCAACCGTGTTTTGCGCAAGCCTGTGTTTTCCCACATCGACAAAACGTTTCAGGATTCCACCCCCCATCGTACACAGTCAGTGTAGGTGTCCCCATGGGTGTCGAACGGGGCTGGAGAATCAGATGACACTGAATCCTAATTCACCGGGTCGTAGATCCGAAACTATCCCAAGTTAAGATGTTTCTGACGGACCTGGGGTTTATGATCGCTCAACGTGATCTACCGATCCATCGAGGGTCTTCTCGACACGATCCATCGGTCCATCCAACGAGGAAGCTACTTCCAACGCCAAATCAGACTAGCGTAGTCATAAACGATCGCACAACATAATTCAGAGCGATCTTTAAGCGTCGATCGCCTTGTTTGGCGATTTATCGGCATGGCTGTTTTCCATCACAGGTGTCGATCGCGTTTCTAACAAGGATCGCAACAGCAAAGGGTGCAAACTAGGCGTTTTCGTAATTTTGACGGAAACGTTTCGATAAGAAGGAACTTCTTTTTCCTACGTTGGGGATGAACAGTCTTGTTCCGTTGAAAGAAGCTAACGTACCTCCTTCCAGAGCGGAGGTTTGCCAGAGTCGGTGAAATTCACGACGACCTGTTCGACACAGCGTTGGCAGCGTCCATCCTTGCGAAACTCTGCCTACTGCAGAAAGAAAAAGATCGTTGCCCATGCTTAAGGAGGATTTTGTTTGGAAAATAATTTACAAGCTGGATCGAGGGACGTGTCCACGTCTTCTAAAGGGTTTGCTACCGTGTCTTTACGATCTGATGGCACCAATGACTATTTATACTTACTGACGTTCTGAATTTCGAACGTAATGCGATCATTTACTTTGTACTGAAATTTATTTATCATCTCTTCGCAGAAACAAAACGTTTGGGACCTGACTAGATTAAACAATGCACAGTACTTTGCACGTTTAAATAATATACAATGAAACCTATTTTTTAGTGTTCTAGAGTAGAAGGCCCCCTTAAGGTGAAGTAAACGCTCGACTGCCTGAAAAGCAACTAAAAATTTGTAAAAAATTATCTGTTACGAGCTCGTACATGCTTAAACGTTCGATCTACGCAATACTTGCTAGGTTTTAAGCAGAGTTGTTGAAAGAAATCGACTGTGTTGTTTAGTTGCGCAAAGTATATAATGTTGCAACATGATCGATTAAAGAAAACTCGTAAGAGCAAGAAAAGGCGAATGTTAAGATGAGAATTATGCGAGCTACCTATTCACAACTACTATTACGCATGATAGCGGTGAAATAACGATCTATCGGAAAGATCGACGTTGCGTTACTCACCGGGATGGCGAGATGCTGCAATCGAGAAACAAAACAACATTAATGAGACTCTCTTTTGAAGGAAAGAAAGAAAGTGTGTAAAGCGTAACCCTCGTCTTTCTTTATTGCTTTCCCCGTAACGAGACCACATCGACGCGTACGATGTGCTGATTTTAAACAGATTTCATAGATACAGGGTCTCTGAATATGTAAAAGTCACGGGAACTCGACTGTTCCATATACAGAATACCCGACACGCTTTTCTTTTTTATCTTCGAACACAGAAAGGGAGCAAAAAGAAAGAGAAAGAACGTTCGAGTTAGTCGGCATAGATCAAAGACGCGTTGATACCATTCATCGTAGTTCAACTATAAAACTTTTCAAGGAGAATTTCAATAAAATAAAACCAAACACGATAGAATTTTGACTGTAATTTACATATTAAGTTACTGAACACGTTCGTTTACATAATCTTAATAATATCGTGCTTGATCCTATTTTAATAAAAAAGAAAAATATGTCAGGAACAGTAAGGCGAGTTAAAGTTCCAAATAAACGGCCTGCGTTGGAACGTTCGAGCTGGAGAAACAGACATCTAGAAGAATTTTGCGTGTAACAAGATTGTGATAATTATTCACGTGTATTATTTTGCTTTCTTTCTTACTTGTTTGGATTTGTACGCGCTTGAATAGGTGCTCCCGGCTTCAATTTCGCGTTAGGATACTGAGACAAGTACGTCATCATGGACATTTCGTCTATGTTTGGATTCACCATCTCGTCCGGCGTGATAAGCTAAAACAAATAACAGTAATTGTTTATTGCGTGAATGATTCTTTTTTTTCTTCGGTTTGTTCGCTAATTTATATATTTATTCCCGAACCTGTGATATGTTCAACCAATCGTCGGCAAGTCCCATCGCCTGGGAAGCATTTCGTACGGCATTGTTTGGATTCCAATTTTGCCAATCCGGGCAGAGACCTGGCGCAACAGCGTCCACGAGAGCCCCGACAGCGCGTCCGTCGTTCCAATCGGAAGTGAAGTTGGAGATCGGTAGATCCGGCAGCTTCGACTGGATCCAACCCATCAATCTCTGCTTCGGCGTGACATGTTTCCCGGGCTCCTCGCTCTCCTCCTCCCACATTGGCATCGTGATGGAGTAATGAAGAATCAACGTCCATATTAAACCGAGTATCAATTTCAGCTTCGAGTCCACGATATCCGACGAATCTGTAAAATACATCGACAACGTCATCCAAACAACGATCTTTGAAATAAAGAAACATCAACACTAGAACTATAGACAATTATAGTGAATTTATTTGCACCAAAGAAATTAAAACGATGGATGCATGGAAAAATATATGATGCAATGGAAATAAATTGTATATTCATTCTCTTATAGAAAAATTCGGTCGAATTAATTTTTTAGAAGTCTCATTAGAAATTACGAATGGATCATTTTGACTAATTTGGTGGTTCCAGTGTTAAATGGCGGACTCTGCTGATTTGACTGTCGGCCATTTTGGAGCGAGTGTAAACGAAACACTTTTTGTTACTTTATCATTCTGATAGTTTTAAATTAAATTAAATCAGTTTTTTATTGCACAGATGCGTTGGAAAAGTAGTTTTTTTGCAGTAGATTGCTGTTAACTCTTGAACTACAGCTTTTGCTATGAATTATTTCCCGATTTCTTAAAGTTTGAACCGCGGTTGCTCGATCGAAATGGAATCAGCCAGGGTCGTTTTAATTTCCCAAATAAAGGCGTGCAGGTTCTGAGCCTGATGCACTGGTAAAGTCGAAGTTACGTAATGGAAGTCCATGCAGCATGGTTACAGTCGGTCACAAAAATATTGGTACCCCACTATAAATACACAACAAGGAACAAAAATTCATTGCACGATATTAATGAACAGTATACAGACCCCAAAGATAAAATATGGTTGGTTTTTAACGTATTTTTGAGTAAATACGAGACACTATATAAAAACTAAATAGACCAGGTAGCTCTGGATAGTCTTAAATGGTAAAAAAAAGTCTAGTTTGTTGATTATAAATCTCGGTGCAAAATGGGGCTCGTTCGACGAAGTGCATAGCTCTGATTCATAATATTCGTTTTTGTCTTCCGATTCTTCTTTTGCAAGGTCTTTGATATACATATCGGATTCGGATTGGCGATGGTACCGGCACGTACCCAGTTCCTTTTCTGCTAGATCCAGAGATCCTCGACGAACAAAAATAGCAGCCTGTAATATGGTCTTTCGGCTCTTTACGCGTCATCGAAATTGCAAAAAGCATTTTTCTCTGATATTCTCTAGACCAAGCTAAAAGTATCTTGGCACAATGCTGGCGACAATCTGATTCGCTGAGTTTGCACCCAAAGTGTCGAACGCAGGCATTTCTATCGAACAAGTTAGATTTTCTCGCGGGAAATATGGCGAAAAAGGAAATAATACTTTTTTATAGATATCCACGAGCTCTGGTTTACAAATAAATTTCAGTGAAATAGATTTACTATTGCGGGGATTTATGGTCGTTCGAAGATTGGACTTTTTTATACTTTGCTTTAGAATTTTTAAACATTCTTCACCGAATCTTCATCAAAATCCTTCGATTCTTTTAACATTTCTGTCCACATCGTTATATTTTCAGTAATGAATTTTTTTCTCGAAATTGCGTAGGATTTCGAGGGTGAGTGTATCCACCCAAAATGATTGTAATTGACCCCCCAAACTGAAAATAATTTTTTTACAATGATTTGAAATTTTTAAATTTCGACGAAAAATTTGTCCACTTATTGAATTTTTTTCTCGAAAGCGGATAGGATTTCGGGGGTATGTCTATTGACCAAAAATGATCGTAATTTACCCCCTAAACTGAAAATAATTTTTTCAAAACGATTTGAAATTTTTTAATTTTGTCGTCAAATTTCACACCTTCTCGAATTTTTTTCTCGAAAGTGAGTAGGATTTCGAGGGCATGTCTAATGACTAAAACTGATTGTAATTGACCCCCGCGACCAAAAATAATTTTTTCAGAGTGATTAAAAATCTTTTGATTCCTCGATTTTTCTTAAAAATTTGAATTCGATTTTTAATCAAACACAACCATGGGTAATGTAGTGATACAATTTATTAATAGAAAATGAAATATCGAAATCAGTAGAGTTAAGAAACGTAGAAAAATCTTTCTGCCCTTGTACGATCTATAGTGTATCATTCAAAGAAACTATTCTAAATTCGCAGCCATTAGCTCGGTATTACCCACGATAGAAAAGCTTTTTTATCGTGGGCGACACCGATTACCAGGTCTCACCACGAGGAGGTTGCTGCGCAAGGAGACCCAAAGGGAAACAAATGAAATCCAAGTTTCATCGATCTCTCTTTTGCATTCTTAGATTCCCAATTTTCCCTCGTTCGATTATATAATTGCTTGGCAGAACTAAACGAGGCGATCGAAGGAACTGTCCCCTATGTTCGGTAATCTAAGAATGTGAAAGGGAGATCGATGGAACTTGGATTCCATCTATTTCCCTTTGGGTCTCCGCTCTGTCGTTTCCGCAGCAAGGTTGCGACATGTTTGTTTTTCGCATGACCGTTCGAACGCGAACGAACGAGTCGCGAGATCTTCGAACTACGGAGCTAGTTTCTCGCTAATGATAAATGCGAATCTAAACGAGAACGTCTACGTTCTCGCAAGGATATCGCTGGGCTACCTGGACCCTCGATTCCTCTTCGTCCTTCGCGTTCGAAACGAGCGGTAAAACACAAAGAACAGTCGCCATGATGTCAGCCATCCGGACCTGTTTTTGGGAACAGCCTGTATTGTTCGTGTCATTATCGAACTCCTATATTTTTTACTATTTTCTACCACAAAAATTTGCGCCGTATCCTTCAAAGATGGCTATTTTTTCGTCTACTATATCAGAAGAACCCCTTAACCCTTTGCACTCCTTTGTCGAGTCCCATTTGATCTTTTTTCAAGTCCAAACCAAAGACATACACTTGAAAATACAGCAATACTGTAAATAAAACAGATATTCAATTGACTTTATTTGTTCCTCTGTTTGTTTAAATTGCTCTATTTTTTAGTTAAGGTAAATTTCAAATAAAACAAAATTGAAATATAATTCGGAGTGCAAAGGGTTAAGGGGCCATTCTACCTTGTAGGCACGAAAAATACATGTTTGTGATTTTTTTTCTCCCGGGCTATCAAAGAGCGATTAATTCCAGGTTTTGTTGATACATTTATCATATATTTAGGTATATTCACGAATTTTTGCAGCGCATAATATCTATTCGTTACGCTATTTTTGTTGATCAACAGTTTTTACGAACAGCGTCTGACTGTATTTGTGATAGCTTGCAAACAAGTTGTCCGAAATCCAAAAACCAACGATATTCTTAATACAGGTGAGTGTGGTTATAGCATGAACTAGGATCTTTTAAAAAAAAAACGAAAAATGACAAAATGGCAGCTATTTTACGAAAAAATACTGAATATTTTCATATATTCGTTGCTTTTTTGTTAATAAAAGAAAAAGTATTGCGTATATCGCGATTATCCTAGTTCATGCTACAGAGAGATGAGTTCTAAAGATACTGTATAAATTTCATGTTGATATCTTGAATAGTTTTTTCGTTATCACATACGGAGTGCCGAAAAATGCAGTTTCGAGAAAAACAGCTTTAAACACATTTCAACAGGCTATAACTTCGTTAGTTTTCCGAATTTCAATTTAATATTTGATAGACATATTCTCGAGACTACATACTAAAAGACGATGCAAAAAGAAAATTCGATTTTTTAAATCCTACAAAGTAAAAAAACAACTTAAAGTTGTACGTTCAGTTATTGTATATACCTGCGCGTGGTACACCTCAGCGAGCTATAACTTCGTTAGTTTTCCGAATTTCAATTTAATATTTGGTAGATATATTCTCGAAACTACATACTAAAAGACAATGCAAAAAGAAAATTCGATTTTTTTAATCCCACAAAGTAGAAAGGCCCCTTAAACCAGGAATACTGTGTTACAATCTACATCGTAATTTTGTCGATATATCTAATTTGAAACTTGCTACAAGTTGTCACCAGTTTTGATTTTATTATAAATGATTTTGTACAATGAAACATCGACTTTTTATTGAAAAGTATTGTATCAATTTATTTCGATAAGAACGTTGGAAGCCTCTGTGCTTTTTTTCGCTTTCGCTCGATTTTATTCGATCGTATCGTGTATTTATCCATTTGGAAGACGGTTTGTCCAATTTTAAGGGAAATTTATCTTGCTAAGTGAATGAGTCGCTACATAAAAACGCGGTTGACCGCTTTGTACCGTTTTGTATCTGAGCACACCTGACCTTCACCCGATCCACGTTCGTTTGCCGACTTTCTCTTTCATTCTTCGGTATTACACTTAAAAATAAAAAAAGTACGTAGTGTTTAAAGAGAGATTCGAGTCTCGAGGAGCACACAATGTTCTTGCTTTACAATTCACGGGGATCGTTTAGTTTCTAGAATTTGTCAGCGAGAAATGGAATTATCTTGTGATATCGATGAAACGCAGGACCAAAGGTGCAAAATTCAAAGTGAACAATATAGTTCGCTGGTATAGCGCTGTAATCTATATCTCTTGCATTTCTTGATTCTAGATACGCCAGAAAAAGGTTCGTAGTGTCCATTATTTGGTTCATCTTTTAGTCGGAGTTTTGACAAAAAGGACATTAACAACCATAAAACGGTTTTAAGAAGCTCGAACCAACTTGGAGCAGGTCACAAACACGAATTCCGCGACAATGGGACACACAGCTCGCTCGTGAGATTGGATTTCAGCAATTTGTTGCAAGAGAACGTTGGGCAAACAGATTCAAAAGGGAACATAACATCCGCCCAAGGAGAAATTGCTCGGTGCATGGCTGAAGAAGAGATTGCGTTTGTTTCAAATATTATTAAACTTCCAAATCCGAGTAAAATTGTTATTCGATGATTATTTTTAGAAGATACTTGATATTACGTAATTTGGATCGATTAAGCATTATCAGTGGTATCGATCCCATCGCTAGCGGTGAGCAACAGCGAGCAACCATGAGTGACGTCACAGGTGAGTGAGGCTAGCGGGAAAGAATGCATTCGAAACGAGACAAAATTTAGCGACTGATGTCATTGAAAATTACTCATCGGAAAATATTCAATAAGCATTTCCTTACATATTTCTATATGAAACTGTATTTATATTTCTTACGCCCCGAGTGCTCTCACAGCGATAAATTAATAACCAAAGAATTCTTTTTTTTTCAAATGTCAATTCTTAACAAATGGCGAAGTTATTTGAAAATAATTTATTTCGACCAAATACAAAATAATGTTAATGTTGAATGTTTTATATAGAGGGTGGTCCACGTAACTTGTGCAGCTCTGTAACTTCCAAAATATGCGTTGCACGAAACAATTTTGTATAAAAAAATTATATGGTTCAAAAGAGTCTTGGTTTTCTGGAATCTTGGAATTCTGTAGAAATTACTCGTTAGCTATTAGGCTTATCGCTAACGAAGGTTAATAAATTTTTACTTAGAATTTGATATTCTTCCATATTTTAATATAAAAAATATATCACTCTATTAAAAAAAATAAAATTGATCCGTCAAATCTTCGAAACGTCTCCACATATGCACCGAATAATATACCCTTTTAAACCGTGTGATTTTTTTATACAAAATTGTTTCGTGCAACGCATATTTTGGAGTTACGCAGACCACCTTGTATATTATTTACAAAATAAAAATAATAAACTTGCTATCTCATTTAAGATGAAGTGTATACAGGCCTTCGCTAAGAAATATTAAAAGAGGTGCTAATTGAATATACCCCGATGCGTAATATTCAGTGACATCAGTGTCTAATTTGTATAGTTATGAGCGTGCTCTATCACAATGTCTCGTTCACCTATGACGTCACTCACAGTTAGTAGCCATTGTTCTCTGCTCAGAGTCGTTGCTCGCAGATCGAAATTTTCAAAACGCGTTATTTCATCGAGCATCAATTATTGGTAAAATTCGAGTTGGGAATGATTTCGTCGTCTTACAGAAATCGAGAAAAAATGCAAGATTGTATAAAACCAACGTATCAATCTCGATTGATAAACAACTCTCGCGATTTTGAGAAATCGAGGAAGCCCTAGCAAAACAATTTTTTATCAGCGAAAGAAACATTTCGCATTGAAATTCGAGGAACAGCGTGGATCATTTTGCACATATTTAGAAATGCTTTCCACGCAAAAACCGGAGCATAGGCGCCTACGAACTTTTTTATCGTCAACGAAACATAGTGAAAATAATTTTTCTTCACGGAATAATACCAACGTAATCGACTCTTTACCTAATCATAGAAATCGACGCAATAAAAAAAGGAAATCAAAATATAGAAATTGAAGATAATCGCGACAGACGTTGCCTTTCGAGTTATCTAAATAAGTAAACATTGAAACGAAGCTTAGGCGTGTAAATCAGTTCCCTCGGTTTTGTTTAAAGGTAGATTTATTCATTTTGAGGAAACGGTACGAGCGATTTTAATCGAATTAATTTCTTTGAGAAAAAGACCTATAATTCCTCGTCAAAATAACTTTGATGCTATGCACGTTAATCATCGTCTCTAAATAGGTATCAGAAACAATTCTGCATGCTTCGAGTGCAGATTTTCCGCAATGAAAGCAGCAAAGCGTTTAATGCCGAATATGCAACTGGTCGGCTTCCATGTTTGAGAATAAAAGATATTCACTCAAACGCGTGATTATTAAAGGCGATAATTCCTATTAACGATTGCTGTTATTTAGATTATGAACTGTGATAATAAGAAGCGAAGAAACGTGTACGAGTGTGCATTGATTATCGTTCGAGTATTGCATTACGAACCATCAGTTCTGATAACAGCAATATACTTGTAACCGATACATCGATTTAAGGTGATATCACGAGTTATTTAAAGTGATTATAAAATTAATGTTGAGATTTGCTATACAGGGTGTTTTCGGCTACCCCTGGGAAAAATTCTAATGGGAGATTCCAGAGGCCAAAATACGACGAAAATCAAGAATATTAATTTGTTGATGGAGGCTTCGTTAAAAAGTTATTAACGTTTAAAGTTCCACCAGTACTGAATTTTTTTCTCGAAACTGAGTAGGAATTCGGGGGTATGTCTATTCACGAAAAATGATAGCAATTGACTCCTGGAACTAACAATATTTTTTCTAGAACAATTTGAAATTTTTTAATTTCGACGAAAAATTTCACACCTTCTCGAATTTTTTTCTCAAAAGTGGATAGGATTTCGGGGGTATGTCTATTCACCAAAAATTATTGTAATTAACCCCCGCGACCGAAAATATTTTTTTTAGGACGATTTGAAATTTTGTAATTTTGTCGAAAAATTTCACACATTCTCGAATTTTTTTCTCGAAACTGAGTAGGATTCCGGGGGTATGTCTATTCACCAAAAATGATTGTAATTGACTCTTGCAACTAAAAATATTTTTTCTAGAAGGATTTGAAATTTTTTAATTTTGTCGAAAAATTTCACACATTCTCGAATTTTTTTCTCGAAAGTGGGTAGGATTTCGAGGGCATGTCTAATGACTAAAACTGATTATAATTGACCCCTGCAACCGAAAATATTTTTTTTAGGACGTTTTGAAATTTTTTAATTTAATTGTTAATAACTTTTTAACGAAGCCTCGGTCAAGAATTTGATATTCTTGATTTTCGTCCTATTTTGGCCTCTAGAATCCCCACGGATACAAGGATTACCAAGTAAAACTATTAATTATTCGAGCTATAAATCTAAGCAATTCACTGCGCCCTGATATTATACATACAGACAAGATTTAGTACTAATCGCATCATCTATTGTATACTACGTCGAACCATGTAAATAAACACTCGACACAAGGATCTACCTGCTTCCGGTTCGTCCTTTTCTAGTACAGAGTGTCGGCGAACAAACGTGTGATTCGAAAGTGTATTCGAAATTATGCATCATTGTTATCGGCCAAAGGACATGGTTTATTTAACCACCGATTCATCGGATAGAATTAAAATAATTTTTCAAAGGTGTGCTTCACGCCGCGACAAATGTAAACAATGATCACCTCTGAATTATACCTGTGGCAATACATTGGAAATTGTTACGACCAGCGGTGCTTAAAGTTAAGTAGTATTAACAGCTATAGGAGAACAATGGGTCACAAAAATTGTCGAATTTGGTAGTTTGGTAATTGAATGACGTTAAAAATGATTGCAAAAAGAAAAGTAGCGGGAGGCCACGAGAGAAATTAACTAGAAGGTTGATGTCAGTGAAAGTGTTTCGAGTTTCGAGTGTTCGTCATACACACTATAGTTATGTAAAAATATTAAGGGAGCGTTCCCCATCCGGACGGCGATTTTTGGAACTCTTTTTCAACGAACAGTACGAAGACCAACTTTCGTAAATTTATTTACTCCTATTTAAAGATGCGTTCTGAATTTGTTTAAACATTCCTGGATTAGTTCTACCGATCTGAAATGGAAAATTATTAAACTGTATGAATGTTGAAAATTTTTTAAACATTTACAAAAAAATATTGGCAGACTTCGATATTTTCCCATTTTTGTTTAACTTTGAAAGGTCCTTGTGGAGAATTTTGAGATTTAAACGGTCGTTGCAGTTTTGGGTTTGTTTAATGGCGGCCGTTTACCCGCTTTTCCGTCCACGCGACGCTCCGTTCAAAGTACCTTTGGTAATTTTTCGTGTTTCTGCCTAACAATCACAGGACATAGTCTCAAGGACGCATACTTTTAGTTAAATACAGTAAAACGAAATCGATTGTTCGTAGCCTCCGGATGGGAATGACTCCTTGAGAGAATTAAAAAAGAAACCTGCGTTAACAAACAATAACGTTTAATGGTTGCCAAGTAGCGCATTGGAACAGAAAGTGACGAAATTTGTATTCACAGACGAGAAGAAATTCAACCTGCGTGATCCTAATGGCGTTAATTGATCATGACGTTAGCAAAGAGTGGTTATAAAATTCGATGGGAGAATGAATAATACAAATTATTAAAATTTGATAAAATAAAGCAGAATGCATTTCCGAGAATAATGCACCTGTTCACGCTACGAAACTTTAAAAATCCACACTCGTTATTAATCACTACCAAATCGTATAATTGAAATAAAAGAAAATGTACTCGTTATTAAATAAATATTACTCGGATAAGTATACGTTAACGTCAGATCAAATAATATCACATCGCTCTTGGCATTCACCTCTTTTTTTTCTGTTAAACGAGGACAATAGCGATGTTGTGTCTCATCTCAAACGATCCCCGTATTCCGAGATTGTAATATCACCGTTCGTTACAATTAGAAAATTGCTTACGCGTTATCGAACAACACATTTGCGCTATCTTTTCAATTAATAGTGTGCATACCCTTTAAAAAAACTGTTAACGACCACAACGTGAGTTACGATCGAGTAAATACACTCAATTTACAATTGTGCTTATTAACATCTCCAAACGCTGGATTACAAACACTGAAAATACTCGAAAGAATAAAACTGTCACTCACCGATATTAACGATCCTTATACCCTCGTCGTCCAGAAACTTCAAAGCCACGGACACATTCTCCAACTTTTGCGACCTGAAGGTCGGCCTCTGATTGTGTTTTGGTAGTTTTTTCTGCGCGAGCACCTCGATCAAATTTATCAATCTAAGGCCATCCGACAAGTCGCACTCCAAGTCACCGATGTGTTTGTTTATCCCTTTCAATTTCTCGTTCGCCCATCTCGTGAACGTGTTCTGTTGAATTAGTTTCCACTTTGCATCCTCCAGTAAATTTTGTTCGAACATGTCGTCCTCTTCCTCCGCGTTCTCGCATTCAACTGACTTATCGTTCTCGCACATTTTATCGGCCGGTTCGCTCCTACGGGATGACATCGGTATGGTGAACACGGTGGTGGTGGAATTTACTCTGTATGCGTACACACGATCTGCGCAGTATCTCTCGTCCTCGTCTAATACACCTCCCTCTCACTCTCTCTCACACACTCTTTCTCTATTTTTTTTCTTTATTTTCCTACTGTGTTCTATTTCAGCATTTAGTATGTATATTTAGTTCGTGTGATAATAGTGTACTTACACCGAACAACAAAGCTTGTAATCTTTGTACACGAATGAGAGAATCGATAGTAATTTTTAAAGCATTTGTAATCATTGGCAAATGTTACTCCAATAGTAAATGCTACTCATCATATACTTTACGGTTCGTTCGAATTTTGTCCGTAAAATATGAAAAACAAAACAAGTAAACAACATTGATACAAGGGCAAATACTCTAATTTATTTGATGTATAACGATAATATAACCAAAACTTTAATGGAAGAATCAATAACAGAAATTGAAGGAACGCAAAGAAACATAATGTAGTTATGCTGAATTTTAAGGGGCAAAACAATGACAATTGGTGGTTATGAAATGAAATAATGGTATTCTCTCTATTATCGTCAACATTTTAAATGCAATCTTATGTAATGTCTATAAGAGCACTGTTATTCACAGACTGGGAAAGATAATGCCAAGATAAGATGACTATTCGCTGTTTTAATAGAGCTCTTAAGGATTGTTCGAAGGAATCCTTGATCTACATAAAAAGATGTCTCAAACATACATTAGCTGTGCACAAAGCTTTCAAAATTCCAACATGCAATTAATCTGTCACGCTACAACTATGATATGATTACATTAGTTGAAATGTAGGCTCTTTTAGCATCTTTCAGAACTCACTTAACAGTTATAATGCATTCTATTTACAAAGAAAGGATATGTATGAGATAAACACTTTGTAGATAAAATATAACTTGAAATGTAGAACACAATGATTTGAATTAGTTCCTAGATCATTGCCTGTGGTTCAAAATTTGGTACCTATTAGATTAGCTTTGTTTTCAATCAAGTTGAAAGAATACCATCTCTGTACTGTTTGTTGTAGTATATTTATTTATACTTAATATTCACAATTATTATATATCTATATACCAGTGGTCCAAATAAAGTATTGTAATTTTCATTTGCATATTCTCTTTGTTAGGAGAAAATGATGTTCTAATAGTTCTAATTATATCCTGTACATTGGAGGGCCCCTATTTGTTTTTAGAGTTTATTATGATCATTGTATAACTATTGACAAGTCACTAGGTGACGAAAAGTTTCTTAAGGGCTGTAGGTAGCGATGTGTGGCTATGCACATTCTCTTTTCCCGTACAAGGTGGTGAACTGAAGCTGGTTTGGTGCAACGACGGGTCCTTTGAGACACCGAGTGCGAACCTGGCGTCAGTTCATCACTGACAGCCCGAGTAGCGGTCTAAATCGTCATTGCATAGCGGAGGGAGATGGCGACGATGTGTGGTGTGACCCCCACACATCACCATGAAGGAGAATTTGTCATCTTTTCCTCCCTGGATAGGCCCACTTCGAGCATGGCGGGGGCACTGCGTCACACCTTCGAGGTTCCTAGTGTCTCCCCACAGTGCCTAAGGTAGGTCATGGTGTGGTTTTGCACCACCCCTGGGGCCAGGAAATCCACGAGGATTTTCCACGCGTAAGAGTTTCTCAAAATCATGGTTCTTTCGAAATAGTCGACACGACTTTGCAGAAACTAGCAAACCGATTGGGTTTAAATTTAACTGTATATTATAGGTGTCTGTTTATAGTCTCTACCAGATTTAAGTTGGTATCTAAAAATTTTTTATTTGCTAAGTCCATTCAAAGTTAAACAAAAATGGGAAAAATATCGAAGCCTACCATTTTGTCGAATGTTTAAAAAAATTTACATTCGTACAATTCGATAATTTTCTAGTTTCATCCGTTTCGGGTAAGTAGAACAGGGTCGATCGTGTAGGCCACATAAGGACACGCGCGAAGTATATCGATTCCAAGTTAGAATGTTTCAAACTATCGATCGCAAAGCGTTGAAAAAATTCGGAATGCGTCTTTAACTATGAATAAATAAATTTATAAAAATTCACGCTCGTAGTCCTTACATTTTCCGTTGAAAAAAAAAAATTAGCCTAACGTCTATGAATTCTTTAAAGCGACTGAAAATTTGACGTGACTCAACTTACGCCGACGCGGCGATGAGTGTCTAGCGTTGAAGTTTGAATCATACCGTGACGCGCGTTACAGAAAGTAACACGTTAGACTTTTAAAGCGATCATTACTCGAATAAAAACATAATGTTAGGCATGTTGACGAGGACTGACCCTCGTACGCCTCTTGGCTTAAAGCTAAACACGGAGGTCATCGACTCCGGAGTAGGAAGACGAAATAAGTTCTGTCAAAGACTTTTTTAAGTAAACTAAGGGTGACTTATCTCGCACGCGCATTTGATACACTTGGACGCGTCTCGTACATGATCATAAATTGTTGAAGTTTCGTCAAGGTTTTTTAAAACGATCGTAGGTGCATTTATCTGTTGCATTATCGGATGCCATTTTTGTCAACGTTTGCTTCCATTTTCCTCGAGTATTTCTAAACCACACAAGGGATGCTGACACGCCAGACTACTTTAATTTCACTACATATGTAACAGAATGTATAACTGACGTTTTTTCTATTTCGGTTCGTATCATTCATCGTTTACAGAATGCTCGTTGTCATGATTCGGTGACGTGTTTCTATCGTTTTGCAAATTAAAGCACAATTTGTATTTCGACTTGAAAAATTGCACGTTTGATCACCGTTGCATTAATCTATTAATAGTTAATCGTAGTGGTACCGCAACGAATGATCGGAAAAGACTATTCGCAAGGGTAAATTCGGTAAATATACGGAGTAAAGTATTGCCAATGATCAAGATACTCATTAGATCCGACTACAAACTGCTAAGTCCATAATAAATATTGATATAACGAAAAGTGTAATCCTAATCCTCGTATAGGTATAAGTGACACTTTCACCACGATAAAACTTATTAATTACCAAATGGTGTAAAAGGTGGACGATATAATTAATAATCAAAATGCGTTTCTTTACATGCGATATATGGTACTGCTATGGTATTTTTACCGTTACACAGAGAGTTTTGTTACCTTATTTACAAGTAAAAAAGAAACTGCAAATTACGTTTCACTTGTATTCACTTTTGCTCAGTTATCTTCTAAAATGTGGTTCGCACATACACATTCGAACACACACTTCGTTACACCAGTTAAAAAATAACGTAACGGTATGAGGTTGTAATTCTTTGAACTATTCGTTGCAATTTACAAAGGTTTACTGACGTTTACTGCCGCCGAATTTGGAAGAGAGGGAAACGTACCGAACGAACTCCGAGAATAGTTCGCTATCCCCCTCATCTTCAACTCCCTCCCACTCTGTGAGTACAAAACTATATATATACACCGACGATCTGTCTGTTTTCTCGCCTCATTCCTTATTCTTCTATATCTGCTTCTATTATCCAATACGGTTTTACAACATGTCAATTCAAATCTTCACCTTTTTATCCCTATGTTGCTCTTTATCCAGCAAAAAAGATGTTAGAGACCCGAAGTGAATTAAAATTAACTCAAGGGCCAGTAAACCGCAACTCGCGACTCGCACGCATAAGGGATGCTGCCATAAATCATAGCTCGAAATTAAATAGTTTATTTTCAAGTACTATGTTCAATATGTTTTGTATCAAGGTATATATCAAATACAATTCCAAAAATTTATAATCAGAAATTGCAGTTCGATTAAATAAAAAGTATAAGGTACTTGATCGGTTCAAAGAATCGTTGTATATACGCTTGAAGTCTCTTAAATTCATCTTATCGCACTTGTCGAACTGATTTATAGCATTTCTTTAATTCCCTCTCGATCGTTCTTCGATCATCAAATTTTGTCTCCTTCCATTCCTCATTCACTCTTTTTCTCTTTCGCTTGCTCGCTTTGATCCGTTCGCCGCTGACTCACGCATCAACACTCGTACAGAACCACATCTACACGCATCGGTTTTGTGTTCGTGCCAACGTTTACTCGACTTTCTGTCATCATTCTACTCTTTCACACATTTGTAAGCCGCTTCTACGATAATTTGCTTGAATTTTTAGGCAACTCGTATCGAATGTACCTTTTACTGAAATTATCTTTGGGTTGAACAAAGCGCCAACGTTTAAAGGTTTCGGTAGGTCGTCTGTTAACGCTTTGACGGCCGCTGTCACGTATACGTGACTTTGCGAGCTAACAGACATTGGCCACTGTCACAATTTCATCATACATTCAACTTATTACGTTTGTGAGGGTACATTTATAATTCCTTATAATATTCCTAGCATCTTCGTGTATCTCACTTTGGTCTACAGTATCAGTGATGACGGACAACGGTCTTCGCGTGATACGTGCGGCCATTAAAGTGTTAATCCTCATCGTTATCCTGGTAGGAGAAGCCAATAGCGTCCTGTTCGCTTCTTTGCGTCGTCTCGTGGCCCCCCGATCCTCGATGCCTTCGAAGTGACGTCACGCTGGAACTTGCTTCGATGCGAAAAAAAAAAAACAAAACGTAAATGAGACACTTCTTCGCTGCTTATCATCGATACGTTACGAGGTCTCTGCGAATATTCTTTTGGCAGTCGAGCAGATCTCAGCCGGTGGCTCTTCTTTTGTATTTATTGTGCTGCGGCCAGATCATAGAAAAGTCGTCGCATAAATCCTACGGGAAAGCGAACCTCTGCAAGATGCCAATTTTATATTTCGACCGTGCCAGCGCATCGACGTCAAAGATGTAATTAGCGCATAAAATCAAACGGATATATATCCGATTTTAATTAAGGTCAATGTTATTTACACTGTGAGGCAAAATAATAGGACTCTAGATATTTATTTCATATAGTTACTGTGAAAGAAAATTTTGATTTTGCATACTCAAAATTAAGTTACTGAGGAAGTCGAGGACAATTATAGAGCAACCATAATCGAATATTTGGAGTCCGATGTTTCGGGCCATTATAAAGTACCTATGCCCGAAAATTGGGACCCCAAGCTAGGCGATTATGTGATCGAAACGTAAACACAAATACGATATTTAAGCATTAAAAAACAATACATGTACGCATAAGTACAAAATGTTTATTCTTTATTTATATACAGTTTTTGGTAACAAAAATGTAAAAAATATCTAGTTTCATAATTAAGTATGTTATTATTTACTGCAAAATTAGATATCCGATGATCGTTTAAAATATGGTTAGTAACTGTTTTTATAGAGTAATAAAATGTAAATTGTGAGATTATCTTTTTTACTACAACAAAAATATAAAAATTATAGTTAATAAACAATTACGTTTATTTTAAATATATAGGGTATTCGGCTACTAATAACAGATCAAAATAAAGCGAAAATTGAAAATAACATTCAGAGTTGTTTCTTGTAACTTTTTTTATAGTTTTATTAACTTTTATATAAAAATAATTGAAACGCTATATCTTCTTTAATAAATAAATAAATAAATAGGGGCTTCGCTTATTTTCAGGAATTAATAACTCGAGCACAAAACCTCTACCGCAATTTTGTCGTTCTCAATTTTAATTTTATTTCGATCTGTAAAATCGCTCTTAAAAGGATTACCATTGAACACCAATAATTGAACACCCTGTATAAGACACGTGTACGTACCTTTAAAAACTGATTAAGCTTTATGGAATATCTATTAAATGGGAATGTAATGAATGATTTATCTTTATGATAAAGAAAAATAAATTGTAAATAATGTTTATTGCGAGAAACAAATAATTTTAATCGTATCATTCATATCACCAATGAACTTGAAACATAAACTGAATTAAGCGTCCCACCGGCAAGTGTACAAAAGAATATGAAGATATAAAAGAGTAAAAATGCAAAGGACAAACATATTGAACAAAAATAAATAATGTTGTGTAAGAAAAAAAGAATTAAAAAAATTAGTCAAATATTTTCAATCTCTAGATATTTCATAACTTCTCCACTTCTATATATACTCTTTGCAATATATTCAACCCTTGATAAAAACCAATAATATTGGACAAAGTTGCTAGATTTAAGCCTTTACAGAAACTACTGCTTTCTTTGCTGCTTCGTCCAAGTTATTTGCCGTAATAATCGGCAAACCACTTTCCGTAAGAAGTTTCTTCGCTTCTTTTACATTAGTTCCTGATTTAAAAACAATGAATATTAATTTATATACAAATAAATAAATAAACTAAGCGCAGTAATAAAAAGTGAAATTACACGATACTATTCGTTCGAACGGTTAACGTAAATAGTAAATAACATCTTCATAATTACCTTCTAATCTGACAACAAGTGGAATTTTAAGTTGCAAATTACGAGACGCGGTAATGATTCCTTTTGCTATCGTGGCACAATTTACAATACCTCCAAATACATTTACAAGAATTACTTTTACCTTTGGATCTAAATATATATAAAAAAAAAATATCTAGAATTACTAGTATACATACATACTTAACACGAATACTAATATTTACATACCGTCGGTAAGAATTCTAAACGCTTGATAAACCTGATCTTCTTTGACACTTCCGCCTACATCCAAAAAATTTGCCGGAGACCCGCCATTTAGTGTAATTATATCCATAGTTGCCATTGCTAAGCCAGCACCATTTACTAAACATAATACGTAATTTTAAACTCTTTAAGATAAAAATAATTACTTTCCAATAAATGTTCCCTTCTTGTAATATTAAAAATATTTCTATTTGCATCATACCTAAACATCCTATATTGCCATCCATACTAATATAATTTAAATTAAATCGCGATGCGTCTGTTTCTCTAGGATCTTTTTCGTCTGTATCCTCTAAAGCGAATAAATCTTGCTGCCTGAATTGAGCGTTATCGTCGAATGCTATTTTTGCATCGACTGCAACTACTTGTTTATCCGTTGTCTCGACCAACGGATTAATTTCTACTTGTAAAGCATCGATATCTACAAACAACTTCCACAAATTTTTTAATTCATATATTGCTTTCTGTTGCACGTCCGGGTCTACGAAACCTAGAAAGATGCTAACGTCTTGAGCGATAGTATCATCGATCCCATAATATATATCAAGCGGTACTGTTTTTATTAATTCTGGAGTTTTCTTAGCAACTGTCTCAATATCCATGCCACCTGCTGGCGAAGCAATTAATACAGGACCATTGTACTGTCTATCCATAAGAATACAAATATATGTTTCTCGTGCAATATTTACAGATTCTGCTATCATAATTTTCTGCACCAATATACCATCTTTCGAAGTTTGTTTCGTAATAAGACGATGACCTAACATATTCTTCACGACATCAACAACTGCTTTACGGCTATTAAAAGAACAAACTATTTGTAATACAGTCTGTAATTTTTATGTTACATTTCTACTGACTATTGAAACTTACTCCTTCGTAAGATGTACACCACCTTTGAAACCATTATCAAACCATCCTTTTCCACGGCCGCCAGCTAATACTTGAGCTTTAATCACATATTCATTTGCATCTACAAAAAGTAAAATTGCATGCTTTGATCAAGTATACATGTAATAAGACGATCGCATAACATTTAACATGCTAATCACCACGCTTAAGTTCCGCTAGCTCACTTAAATACGTTAATTAAATATTCTGAGTAATGTATCAAATATGTAAAGTTATATAGGTATACAGAATAAAGGTATAGAGAATAATTAACCATTTTATTTGAAGAGCAATATCTATTTAGCGAGAGAACTGATCTGCATAAAATATGTCATTAAAAATATATACATATATATACTATAGAAATATAATGTATCGTTATCATGTTTCTAGATAAGTACTTCATTAAAAATGTTTAACTATAGACTAAGCAAACTAAATAGTTACATAAATATTAATTCTACAGATAAAAAACCTAAACTTATTTGTATAAATTTCTGTCTAAAGTAAACGTATTATAAGTAAAAGGATATACTAACGTAATGTTTCTAATGCAGAATTCGCTTTATTTATATCATCAACGATAGCAAAATTTTGCACAGAAACTCCGCAATCTCTGAGAAGTTCCTTACTTTGGTATTCGAGTAAATTTAAGTTTCTCGATTGTTTAATATTAAATTTCAAAGCTTTTCTAATAATTTCAAGCGAATGAAACGGCTTTCGACTTGCAATACGTAACATGTTTAACCTTAATATTAGCACTTCACAAAATAACAAAAAGGATTAGTCTTCTGATAAATTTTTAAAATTATTAACTAGTCGGTCACCAACATTAATTTAAAGCACGTTAATTTATCTCTGAATAATGAATTTATCGCAACCTTCTATGAAACATATCATCGTTTAAATCTTTAAAATAATCATTAATCCGTAAAATTAGCAGTAAACATGTGTTATCTCTAAACCCTATATCATAACCTTTAAACACCGCCTGTACTGGTGAAAGCGTGCTGTTGCGTGGAACTGATACACATACATATCAACGATAATTAGGTGCGTTGACCTAGGGATTTTAACCCAGTTCAGATTTTCTTCAGTTAATAGAATTGAATGGTCTTACAGCAAATTAAAACTTAAGACAGAAATCAATAGATTCAAGGAAATTAGATGATTAGAACTCAAATAAAACTTACAGTTGACGAAAATCCGATGTGCCTTTATTGAACGGACTCCGATCAGCAATAACGCGTTGATTTCAGTTCTACGTTGCTAACGTAAATATCACAGTTTTGTTTTCAAATTGAGCACATAATTACATGGATTTTGAAAACTATAGATTTTATAATAAACAATATACACGAAGTGTTTTTAAATTTCATTTTCCCTCCAGAATTGAGCACGGTTGTAGTACAACGGCACTGATGTCACTGACACTGATCTTTATACAAATTTTAATGGAAGATTCTAAAGGCCAAAATAAGATGAAAATCAAGAATACCAATTTGTTGATTGAGGCTTCATTCAAAAGTTATTAACGTTTAAAGTTCCGCCTGTAGAACGGCAATCTACGAACAACTGCGCGCGCGTGATAGTGGTTCTCACTCAGCATGAGAAACTCTACTAGCGACGTATCGACAGCCTTACAATTTTGTGAGTGAGAACCACTATCGCGCGTGCGCAACAGTTCGCAGATTGCCGTTCTACAGGCGGAACTTTAAACGTTAATAACTTTTTAACGTAGCCTCGATCAACAAATTGGTATTCTTGATTTTCGTCTTATTTTGCCCTCTAGAATGTCCTATTAAAATTTTTCCCAGGAATGGCCGAACACCCTGTACAATCACTGATATTCCTAATTATCGATAGTTTTCAAAAATTCAAATTTACACTAATATATTTGCCTTTCTAAAATCCTCTTTAAATTGTGATCAAAAGCCACAGAAATATTGAACTTTAAAGCACTTCACATCGTGTAATAATAATGGTGTTTTAAATAATAAATAAAAGACAAATATTTAGTTTTGTAACAAGAAAATATATATATACTTTTTTACAGATTACATGTAACAGAAGTACAATGATAAAAATGATCAATGCTCGATAATGACAATATCCCAGTTTCATGTCTTTCGTTAGGAGGACATGAATAATATTTTTAAATTTGTTTTTTTTGATCATTCGTAATTATTACTAATTATAAAGACTCATCCACAAGTGAAAACAACAAGCATTCACAAAACCTTCGATTAAAGTGTAAATGTCTTCTATACAGCATGGAGTATTAATTACTTCTTTCGATTTACAATAAACTGCATACAAATCCTAAGAATAAACAAAATTAATGATAAAACTATCCATATAATTTTTAATACTTTAGCTAAGATTAAACATTTTAGATTTTTCTGTACATAACATATACCTAAATTTTATATATAAATCCACCGCCCACAATTATTCGAACAATGCGAGCTATTTACTTTATAGACTGCAGATATGCATCAAATAACTTTTAATTGCTTTTGATGTCTCTTAATATGCCTTATAGTTCTATTTTATGCAAACAAATTTGCCTTATAGTAAATACAGTCATCCTTCCTCACTCCCATAACGGTTTGAATAATTATGAGTGATAGGTACTATAATACTCATCTGTGAACTAATTTTAGAATAACGAATTTACAAACCCCTTTTGAAGCATGTAGATTTATAGTCAGCATCATGAAAACTTGAAAGAAACTTGGATGTAGTATAAGAAGATGCGTGATATTTCCATCTGATGTATTAAACTGTTTATGATGCTCTTGATATTTATTCTGCAGAACTTTTGATAAAGTTTGATACCAAGAAAGCGGCTGGTTAAAAAACGGCCTGAGTCTTGGATCCAAATGCGATAAAGGCTCAACGTGAGCCAGAGAGCAAAGTTCGGAAAATTCCATATAATTCATTGCCGATTTACTTTCCAATAATTTATTCCACAGCAGATGCGTTTTGCATTGCAAAGCTCCTCGATCTACCATATTCAGTATATGCATACGAGCCGCGTCTGCTTGAGACATTATCGTTTGTTGCATTAATTGTTCGTGCGATGAATAGTAGCCCAAGTAATTAATCGATTCTTGTCGTATTTGAATTAAATGGGACGACGGTGAATTTATCGGCGCGCTTGGAAGATTTGCATTTTGCGTTAATGGAGAATTTGGAACAGGCGGTGGTGTCGGTGCAGTTGCGCTATTGCAATTGGTATTCAAAGTAGGACTCGGTAGTTTCGAGTCATTTTCATTTTCTTTTGAATCTTGACCAAGCGCTTGAAACTCTGGGGAGAATTCTTTTACCGAGTCCTTTTGAAGAATTTCCGTGACTGATTCTGACTCCGCATAAGTACTTATTACAGGCTTTTCGATACTATATACAGTGCGAAATTTCCCGAGTTTATTATTTTCTACTTCCCTCTTTGGATACAATTCTCTTTTACTCGTCAGCATTAAATAATATTTCAAAGTAATTTCCGTTGTGTCTATTTGCGGAGGTTGTTCTAAATGCGATACAATTAATGCGACATCAAAATCATCAGTGTATCTTGTGCCCTGTGCATCGCAATAACTGATGGATGGTGTACTCTTCAAGTTTATTAAAACGTATTCACTTTCCTTGAAATCTTGCCGATCGTTTTTCATTACAAATACGCGCATATTATACATTTTATCGTGAGATAATAAATAAGAATATAATGTCCGACCTGGTATTGTCAAATTACGAATAGTCACTACATCTAAAATATAAAGATTCGTCTCTTAGAAATAATTGATTGATAATACTGATGTAATTTAAACTTCTTTTCGTACCGACTATTTATATTTAATGAAAAAATAGAACCATCAAACAGTTGCAGAACTTACCACTATATATAAGATTTCTGGCATAATTTGGTGCTTTGCTATAATATTTATTAAAATCATCAAGAAAATGAATAAGATGATAACCTTGTTGCAATGACCAAGGTCCGTTTCCGGCAATGTACGAGTGGATACATCGTAAGTGAAAATCATACGTGAACGAGTGTAGATGCATATTGATCTTGATTTTGTCACACGCATCCACGAAACTTAATAGAAACTGTAAGGGAATTAAATTTTAATAAACATAATTATTTGTAAAGAGTTGGACAAAAATTCAGAAAAGAAGAGTTTGATAAAACGATTAATAATTTGACCGACGTGGAAACGGATTACCTGATTAACTAGCGCGCTACTGGTTTTCGTTTGTAAACGACTGCACTCGATGATATGTAATTTAACGATAAAAAATGGCTGCGATAAATAAATCTCAAACAGCAGTACACCTCCCAGCATTGATTTTTTAAGATAATAAGATTCTTGTTGACTCTGTCCTTTCACACTGAAAAAGAACAATGAACGATGAAAGAAAATGTTAGATCAAAGTTGTCCCAGTTTTAAGGGTCCATAATTTTGTTATAAGTGCAGGTGTAGATTTTATCAGGATAATCATTCTATTTAAAAGAAATCATCATAGACCTTCACGTCTTCTGTATTTCTGACATTTTTTCTTCTATTGTGGAACGGAAGTAAGTCATTCGCATAAAGACAATTTACTATTAATTTTCATATTACCAAGAACCTTGCCTTTCATCGAGAGGGTCCACTTGAACTGGATGAAACCCTAATATTTGAAGATATTGTTTGTATTCGGATGACATCAAACTGCACAATTCTTGATGCCATTTTACAATATCTGTCTGTCGGTTTGTCTGTGCTTGTGATAAGTGTTGGTGTACCGTTAACGAATGATCTCTCGTTGCTGCTGATTGAAAACGCCAAGAAGGTAAGAATAACAGAGGCGTGTGGCAAAAGTGTATCAAACGAGAATGTTGTTTGGACATGTTCAAAGCGTTGATCGAAACAGGAATGCTCGGAGCAGCATTACGATTTTGCCACATCGCATGCAACTTACTCAAGTCCTCTGAAATGTATAAATAATTTTACATACACAAATATATTTAACAACTAATGGCTTATCGTTATTTATAGAGATTAATCGTCAACAATTTTTATAATATTTAAATACAATGTAGTCTACGTGAAATTATATAATCAACAATTTAATAGCAATAACTTATTTCGTAACAGAACCGTAGATACCTTTCATTTTTCTCTCGTGATTACGCAAATCTTGCAAGTCGCATACAGCCTTTGTAACAAGATCAATGTTATTACAAAAATAACTGTTCGATTTTACATCGCGCATTGTTTGACCAATTACTTCGTTCCATGAAAATTGATTGTGTTTCATGTTTTGTGTCCTATTGTTGGATCTTGTCCAATCTTTATCATCGTTGTGCGGTATAGAAGAGAATTTTATAAGACTCTCCATATCCGTAATTTGGAAATATTGCGAGTTCGTTTGATCCCTCGATACGTTGGATCGATGATGGAATATTCCTAATTTTTGCATTATTATGTTCACAACAAAATTTGATCTCGAAGAGAGCCATGTCCCTAAACTGGTGGATTGTTTTATCAATTTTTCAGATTTCTCTTTCGACCAATTATAGATGTAAAGAATTATCTACAATGACAATTTAATTTGTTGTTGATGCGGTATACAAAATTAATCGTAATAGTATATTATATTAAATTTTATTATTATTACTTTTATTATTACTTACGTTGTCATTTTGGATTTCAGCGAGTAATATTCGTTGTCGTGATACGAAATTCGATTCCAAAAGTAAGGGATTGAATTTTTGCAACACTTTCTGATCTGTAATATAGAAAAAATTAATTCAAGCAAGTTAAGCGTATGTTTTTTAAAGAGTTCTTTATGTTTTTCAAATTACCTTTCGGTAGAGATAATTCCGGTTGCAATTTTTCGCTAAAGGAAGCTTTCCACTGATAAAAGTTTCTAGCAATTAATATACACTTGGTATAGGTTTTTTGTTCGTCGTTATTAAAATCATATGGCACGTAAAGTGGTAAATTTATATTATCCGTATTTTCTAAGGAGAAACAATCGTATTTCTCGTTCTTCGATGATTTTTCATTCGAAATGAATTTCTGAATGAAAGGTTGCTTATCTTGCAGAACAAAAGCTTTGCTAGAAGTATCCGGTGCTTGACATTGAATAAGGATTTCTAATTCCTTAACAATAGTGGGTATAGCATGTTTATGATAAATATGAATTTCATGCTTTTTTACCGATGGAACTCCAATTTCCAAAGCAAACCGAAACCATTGTGACAACGTCACGCAATAAATATCGTGCAATTTCCATTCTTCGCCTGTCCCAAAATGATTAACCGCTAAATCTGCCGCTACCTTTTGCGGCGTTTGAGTTTCTTTATCTTCGGTAAATATCTCCGAAATGTTTTTTAGAAACGGTTCCGTTAAAGGAGTTGACAAGAATTTGTATTCGGTGACTAAGTCCCAAATGGCGTGTTTAACCGCGGAACATAATTTTTGTAACAAAGATTCCAGATTTACTCTGCCCTGTTTCCAGATTCTGAATTCGATCAGAGGCAATGATTTCGTCGAGTTCTTATCATAGACCGAGGTCGAGACGATAAACTCGAAATCCTCCTCTTTTATTGTCGCTGGGAAATTGTATTTTGGTAATTTATCTTTTAACGATTTAATTGGTTCCCCGTCGTCGCCTGTGATCGCTAATGCTATGCAAGCGATCCCTTTGCTTCCGCTAGAATGGCTTTGATTGTATACAAAAATATCCGACTCCGCTACTCTTTTCGTAGACCCTTCAAGCTGCGAATAATCTTGGAAATGATACTCTATTCTATTGTCGGTGTATTTCGGTATGTACAAGAATTGAAGTATATTCTGTCGTAAATAAAACTCTAGGGCGGCTATGTACGATATACAGTGTTTCTCTATGCACAACTGTATGATGCATTCCGGCGGTTTTGGCGGTTGTATAAAAAGAACATCGGCTGGCGTCAATTTACACATTGGATTTCGCGCCAGCATAACGGACAGGACTTCAAGTACTGCGTCGTCCAGACGATTCTGCAAAACTTGCACCAAATCACGTTTAACTTCCGGTCCTGCATCGGAAATTCCATGTACCATCAAGACGATCGAGTCTTCGGTTTTGTTTAAGGCGTTCGATTCTTTTTCACTGAACGATCGAACTCTGGGCCTTGAATCGGTCGACGTGATGTTATCGTTCAATTTTGCTTGCGACAATGATACTACGCTATTGCTCCTAGAAACAACAAGTTTCTCATCGCTGTCCGATAGTTTATTTTGTAAGGATTTACCGTCGCTTATCTGCTCGTGAAGCCTTAAATAAAATACGTTTTTATTATTTTCTTGATACACAAACATGTTACATCGATTGGTCACGGCAAATCTATTGAGCACGCCGTGTAGAGCTTTTATGCCCCGTGAAAGTCCTGATCTTCCAGGCCCAGTTTTTAAACGGGGATGAAGTCGGAAAGTGAATTCCCAAACTACGCGACACCGAAACATCCCCGAAGTGAAAGTCTCTATCGAATCTCTATTTTGTACAGTGTTATTAAGCTCATTTGTCGTCTCCGATTTCCAATTATAATCCTCGCTCGTTTCTGTTTCTAGCAGATCGGAACATTTGCTCGTTTTGTGAAGGTTCTGCAGAAGCAAATATTGGTTTACCCGACGACAAGTACTTTTTATTTGCGAGATCAATGTCTTTTGAGTATGCCAATAACTGGTTACTTCTTCCGATGGAATTTCTAGGAATCTGTAAATTACAACAAACGTGATACATAATTCACATAACGTTGGAATGTCAATTTTAACACTTTACCGACCGGTAGCGGTTGATTAAATCGGCTATCGGTCGGTAAGCGTTGGTCGGTAAAAAAGTTGATTAATAGGCTATCGGTCGGTAATGTGTTAAGATGCTCTCGTTCCTTTGATTTTATAAACGATGTGAGCCGTTAAAATTTAAGTAATCTGAGCATCGTGAAACTATCGACATTTCATTTCTGATTCGACGTATAAAATTACTCGCCTACAGTGGAAGTAAACGTTAACGTAATCGCTTTCTACTTTCAAGATTAGCCAGAAGTTTGGTAAAAAGCTTTTCCGATTATCGATATCTATCAGCCATTTGAACCCTCTATCGGAATAATTCTGCCCGTTGTAGTCATCCTCTGCATCTGATTTTCCTTGCGTTACAGTAGAAGCCTCGGAGTCACAGTTTTGAAATCTGAGATGAGTTTTACAACTTTTTTCAGCGTTCCATTTTTTGCCAGTTTCTTGTAACTTTTGCGTTATACTCTCCGTGCTATTACCTTGGATCAACAACACACACATTCTTATGAGTTACAGAAAACTATGTTACAATGGTTTTCAGAAAAAAAAACATACCATAGTTCGCTTCCGTTTCTTTTTTATCCTCCCTGTAAGTTTTCTGCGCTGTATCATCCGATACTTGGCCCATATTCTTTATAAAATAAAATAACTGCCCTTCTTGCTTAATGCAATACTTGCCGATCTCAAGTTTTTTCAATTCGTTTAAAAACTTTGGTTTACTATCCTCTGAGGGGAAAACAAAATGTAGTGGGACTTTCTCTAACTTGCAGCTAAATCTGTCCGTCGATTCTGAAACGTGATTTGCTACAAACTTCAAAATCTCCTCGTTTATCGAAGGTCGATCCAACAATGCGGTTGTAGTTTCATCTTGCAAAAGCCATTTAATCTCATCTCTTAAATTGCTTATCGCGCTATGTTGATTTAACGGAAGATGAGACATTTTCTCTGGAAAAAATTCATTTCTAGTATTGTTCTCCGGACTACTTCCGCTTTCTGTTTGCAAACTACCAACAGGCGAGCCACTAGAGAAGGATGTCGTTCTTAAACCGGAGTAGTGTTCCAAACTAATTTCTAATACTTCTCTTGGAAGATTCAAGCAGATGATATCCAAAGTGATTTTCAAATTAGTCGAGCTAAAGTCAGTTATATCGCTCTCTTTGTAATCTTCCATTTTCTCAATGATTTCCATGAGACAGGTGGGGAGAGATTTTACTGGAATGCTACTAAGGCCGGATCTAGACTGAAATTGAACAGAGCAGTTTAGTTGCAAAAAAAGGGGCTGCTCTTTCTCATAAATGTTTTCCTCTTGCAGATCACTGGTGAATGATTCTGTTGAACCGTGGTTTGGAATCTTTAGCACACTATGAATATTCTTAGCCGGCCACGTCATGTTTCCTAATTGAATTATTAATAATATGTATTACATATATTACAAATGATAATTCCTATTTTCAATCCCAATATAACGCACCTTTTTTACGAGGGTTATGCGACGTACAATCAACGTTCACCGAATGAAAGATAGGATTCCCTATTTCATCATCACTGTCCGATTTTTGATATCCTACAAGATCCTGTTAATTTCAATTTTTTTTTTCACTAACTTAATTTTCCAACTAACCGTTAAATGTTTATCATTTTCATAATATTTAATCGATAACGAACCATTTTATTGACTATCCAAGATGGTGAACAATAATAGAATTCAGGGTGTGCGGGCACTGGCCTGAATGCGACGGTCATTATTTTCTCAAATTTTTCTCTAATTAAATTGTGCAACGGTTCGACGTCTTTACACGTAGAATGATCCGACTGATATAACAAATCTTCTTTGCATAGTTTACTCAAATGCCTGCATACGCATCGCAAATATTTCGTTATATTAATCTCGATAAGAGTTTCCTCGCATTGTTCTACGGCGGCTTCCATATCTTCGTAACTAAGAGGTTGTTGCAGTACTAATGATTTATAAACTGCAACAACGTAACAGTGGCAGTGTGCCAAGCTCAACAGTTTACAATGTTCCATCAGGCTCCGTTGATCTATCGTAAGAAAAATTAGTGGTATTACATGACAATCATTTGTAAACGCCAATATATAGTATAACATCAATACCTTAATATAAACATATTATAAAATAAAATAACTTGTAAATATATATGGAAGGGTTAACGATAAAGAAGCTCGTAATGTGTACAATTTTCCCTGAAGAGTTGCCATATTTTTACCCCCTTTATATTAATTGTATTTTAGCCATTTTCTCGTTTCTGGCATACACATATGTATATGTGTTTAAGAAATATATTATATACTCCAAATAAAGTGTTACAAGTTGTTTTCTCAGAAACCAACGAAGATATCAACTTGACTATTTTTCTAATCGAATGTTGTTAACACGAAATTAATTATATAATGAAATGTTTACTTACCGCTTGCGCTATTATCCGAATCCTCGCTTTTCGGTTCCGGAGACGAAGGTTTCAAGTTACAACCAACTTTTAATTCGACAAAATCCTTGCACTCCTGATGACCAATTCTAAACGTATGGTCCTGATAAATGTCTTTGGTATATGACATCTTCAATTTATCGGTGAGTGTGTCGATTAACAATGCCAGCGAACAATCATACACGTAAACAGGAATAACGAGACTTTCTTCGTAATCTTGAAAGCTTTCTTGTTCGATAGTTTTTGATGTCATGTTTGCGGTGAACTGATTGCCCGATTCCGATTTATTATATTTCGATGATGCATAATCGGCGACATTAATATCTTTCGTATAAACATCCATGCTGAATATACCAGATTTGTAACTACTTCCAGAACTATTATTCACAAAAAATTCTTCTGCATATACGGGCGACGTAAACAAGCGCACATCTTTCTCCGATGCGGGTAAAACTGTAATAATTACGTGTGTCGAGCTAATTCCTTTCACGAAACATTTCCAACGTGGGTAGACGTTCTGCTCGGTATTGTAGAACCGTCTTTCTGCAAAAGTTAACAAATAGATTAGAATCGATCCCTGTTAAATTACATAGCTTTAACTTCATTTTATAATTGTAATTTTTTTAACAAGAATTAATACCTTTCTGAGAGAAAAAGGGTAAATGCGGTCCGTCATCTCGACGTCTGTTTAGAAGCATCCTTGTAAATTTCTGCGACTCCGCTGATGTTAGAAGAAGTTCTTTATTGTGCAACTGTTTTATATGCTCTAGAAAATTATCCATTAGGATCTTATTTGCACGCCCTCGTCCTTCATTCTTGATATTTGTGCCTAGTAAAAAATAACACATTTAAGATTAATTATATTCTACTTCCTTAAATAAAATGATTACAGTATGAAGGATTTAAAGATCAAATCTGCGTTTCTCAAAATGTACAAAATTTTAATGAGAGGTTCCAGAGGCCAAAATAAGACGAAAATCAAGAATACTAATTTGTTGATGGAGGCTTCGTTAAAAAGTTATTAACGTTTAAAGTTCCACTGAATTTTTTTCTAGAAAATGGGTAGGAATTCGGGGGTATGTCTATTCATCAAAAATTATTGTAATTAACTCTTGCAACTAAAAATATTTTTTCCAGAACGATTTGAAATTTTTTAATTTTGTCGAAAAATTTCACATCTTCTCGAATTTTTTTCTAGAAAATGGGTAGGATTTCGAGTGTATGTCTAATGACCAAAAATGATTGTAATTGACTCCTGCAACTAAAAATATTTTTTTCAGAACGATTTGAAATTTTGTAATTTTGTCGAAAAATTTCACACCTTCTCGAATTTTTTTCTCGAAAATGGGTAGGATTTCGAGTGTATGTCTAATGACCAAAAATGATTGTAATTAACCCCCGCAACTAAAAATATTTTTTTCAGAACGATTTGAAATTTTTTAATTTTGTCGAGAAATTTACACCTTCACACCTTCTCGAATTTTTTTCTCGAAACTGAGTAAGATTCCGGGGGTATGTCTATTCACCAAAAATGATTGTAATTGACTCCTGCAACCGAAAATAATTTTTCCAGAACGATTTGAAATTTTTTGATAACTTTTTAACGAGGCTTCAGTCAAGAAATTGATATTCTTTATCTGAAACACTGTATGGCCAGAATTTTTGTAAGAATGATATCGAAAAGGCCTATTTTAGAAATATTATTTTATTTTTATCTCCCCGACTCGTGAGAGTTTCCGGTGCCGCGCCAAGCGAACACGAAGGAACGAAATCGAATGATTAGATTATCGCTTAGATATGTTACAAACCTACCTGGGCGGATACCATTTCAGTTTTTGAGGGAAATAATTCTACGAAAGGGTAACAAGTGAGTCCTGGGATCTTATTTTAATTTGCTGAGCTTGACAATATCGTGTTTAATAATGCACGTAAAATACTTACCATTTACGAACATAGAAAATAAGAGCTCAGCTTGTTGGCATTTTGGCAATATGTTTAGCGTGTCGAAGAAAAAGTGCATCAAACGTATTCTTTCGTCGATGCATGGCAGACCCTCGAACACTTCCTCGGCGTTACAGCCAGAGGTCTTGGTATTTCTGACATTCTTCTTTGTTAATTTTACTTGATGGGCTTGTCCGTAAATGATCTCGTTATTCTTTTCATTCGGTACTGCTTGGCTCAACAAACTCAAATACTCTAAGGTCAACAATGCGTTGATGCATTCTTCGTCCACTCGAGCAATCTAATAAGAAAGAGTAACAAAACAAACATTATCACGAAAGAATAAAATAATTCTCATCTGAGAAATCTGTTCAGTTTTTTATTGCAATTTCATTGATCCCTGCGAAAAATATCGCAGAATCAGTGTGTAGTAAATATATACATAGTACACAATCATTTTATAACAAGTAAATTCCTCCACTTCACCATGAAGTTTAATTGCACAAAAATAATTTCATTTATTAATCCTAACATTGACATTAGTAAGCTATTAATTATTTCGATAATTACGAATTTAAGTAAAATAAATTCACTATCGAAGTAAAAAATTAGTTTTTACGTGCAAATTATGAGTGTTTTTTTATCAAAATAAACTGTAAGAAGTTACTTATAAAAATAGGAATGTTAAAGAAATAAAACGAAATTAATACGGAAACGAAGGTATAATAAAAAGTTTATTTCTTAATTAACTATTAAACATAATAGTAAAAAATCGTTACTTTAATCGATACATAATTATATTTGATTTTGTTAATTTGTATAAAATATAAAATTAATTGTTTCGGTTGCTGTACGGTCGTCGTTCAACGCTGCTTCAAGGTTTCCTGGAATCCTGAATTTCTTTCGGCTTGATCGTTAAGAACAATCGACTAAAACGTTTTTAACCATGATGGAAGCTTTACAATACAGATCTTCGATTGGTTTTTTTATATTAAATATTCATGAGTCACCTTGCGATGACCCGTGACGAGCCATTGCTTGATTTCTTAACAAATCCTAACAAATACAAACGGCCAATACGCGTGGATATGTTTGTATACGTAAAATAGTAATAATAAAATATTCTTTAACAAAACTGCGACCGTTTCTAATACTTTTTATTTCAGTATTTTTATAAATATTTTGGTAATTTTAAGAACACGAAAATAAAAACAATACGAACAGTTTGTATATATAGTACATGTTATTTATTATTAAAAGATATTTGGCATACTTACGAAAATCAAATAACGCATAAAATGGAATAACGTTCGTAAGATTTTCGGAAGTAAAATGTAAAATGTTAAATGTTTTCACAACAAGAAGCGTTTAAATGTATAGTATCACTATTGCCATATGTTCACTGAGGTATAAAGAAGCACCAATGGAATGTGTTGACACAACGACCCTGATCTGATAGGTTCGTAGCATAAAAATTGTTTATTTGGGTGGGGAACGTAAACACGAAGAATATAAGGGTTCAGGAGTAAGTTGGAGGAGTTGAATCTCACTTGAATTCAAAGCGTAGAGACCACTTCTCCACTTGAACCTTGATCCCTTTACGTGAAAAATTATTCAATTTTTGAAGACGACAAATCCCGTTCTCTATGGAAAGATGATAGCCAGCAGGACCTTGAGCTGGAAGAGTTAGATCTGGCAAGTTATTAAGAGCGTTGATGCTCACTGCCTAGATCCTCACTTCCAACTGCAAGTCATGCAGATAACGCAATGGCCATGCAGTCTGTATGGAGATCAACTTCTTCACGCCGGTCACCGAGAACCTTCTTTACGAGGATATCCACGTAGCTTCACAATCTGGAGTAAAACCGAACCTTTTCCATTAACTCGATATCAATTCGTTTGCTACACCGCTACAATCTCAATTTTACGATCGTGAACGCAGAGAAATATTGGTTAAATCAATAGAAAATGAATCACCTTCGCGAGAAGTAATATTCTACGTAACCGTGAGTAATTTAACCAATTTCTACTTGTACGGTAACGTTATTAATTTAGAAAATAATTGATCTCAACTACGGGAAGAAAGGAAATATTCTAAAAATGATTTGAACATAATTTCAACGTTAAATTTCCTTTTAATTGTGTCTGTAAGTGAAATTAATATTTTTTTAGCTACTCGAATTTAAAAAGTGATTGCAGGATGCAGAATACCGAATTAATATCGTAGCTTCGTATCGACACATTGCAATTAAACTTAGCGAGTTAAGTATAATTACGAACAGCATGATATATGTGTATATAATACTTTGAATAGTCGAATACGAATACGAATACGTGCACGTGTGTTTTTTTTTATTTCCAATATTAAGTCGACATTATACCTGCTCGAGCGAATAACGATTAAAGTTAACTCTCGAGATCGATTCTAAAAATTTCACTAATTTTTAACGACACTTGAAATGCTTATCGTGATGCCAATTAGCGTGTACATTATTGGCGACTGGAATTGAAAATTTTTTATCACACACGGTACGCTTCACGTTTGTTAAACCGGAACGTTTCTTTGGAAGAACTGCGTGGACATTGGAAAATAAGTTTGCGTATAAAAGTTAATCGGAACACTAACAAACATTTAGGTGGGTGTGGGGTCTTATATATACCTGAGGCAACTGATAGAAAAACCTGGTTCTGAGTACCTTCGTCGATATCGAAGCCCCACCTCAATAATGATAACGGCACGTAGTGATAGACAATTTATACACTTATTCTCTCCTTATTCCTGCTAAGAACCTTGCCATATTTCTATTCTTCATATTTAATGTTACACGTAACATTATTTCAATTCTATAATTTTATTTAAACAATATATTCAAACAGTACTAAACTTTCTCTACTATTCGTCTTATCTATTATTATTGTGTATCGTTTAAATTCCAAAATAATATAAAATGTAGTATACATACAAACTGCAATGTTTATCAGAGGATTGTATAAACATGTACGTATAAAATCTCATTATTTTCTCCGTTTCTTTCCGCTAATAAATATATTTTAAGCCACCGCGAAAGATCATGTTCATTTTATTATAGTTCACCGTAAACTTTTGTGTTACGTGAATCGGTATTATGGAGCAATTTTTAATCAATTATTTGTTTCAAAATTAATCGTATACCGTGATATTTGATATTCGTTATGTCGGTTGATACAAAATGAGGGCATACTTTTTTTAACGCGAGATAACGAGGAAAAAAAAGTGACATAGTTAAACATATAACTTTTCGAAGAAAGTAATAATATAATATTTATCAAATTATCGAAAATTATTTACGATATATCAGTAAATGCACTTTAAGCCCGGCGTTTTCATGATTAGTAATCGGTTTTAATAACTTACTTTTCTGGTATTGAAAAATTAGATAACTTTTATCTCACGACGGCACATTTATCTTGTACTTCGAACGTATTGCAAACGCGCGAGAAAAATCGTACTTTTTTAATTTCATGACAGATAAGTCGCGTAACTGGTTGCATACAGCTTTCTAATAAAGCAAAAAACATTATATTTTACAGTGATTACAGCCACATGTACAAATTTGAATATTATACCAGTTAAATCAATGAAAAAAAAATATATTGCTAATTGAATCATATAAACAGATTTGTGTCTTTCGTCAGTTTCAGTCTTGTTTGTTAATACTTTCTATCGTTATTAAAAAAAAAAAGTATACTGAATATTGTTAAGTTTTAAATATATTGTAAATTGTGTAAGTATAACTTTAAGAATTTACGGATAAAAAAAAAACAAATAAGACCTAATAAAATAAAAAAATAATACAATTATTTTAATCGTAAAAATTTGATGAAAACAAAACAGATAAAATCGCACTGCAGTCATTGGTAGAAAATTAAAATCGAATCTTATCCTATATACTTTACAGGAACAATATCATATATCGTTGTAAGTATCAATATCAGAACCAATGAAGCGATAAGATTGACGATAAAGCAGTACTAGCCGTTTTCAACGACGGAATTCTCATAAATGTAACCCATCGAAGTATATAAATGAACATTCAAAGAATAAGTCTAAATTTCTAAATTGATTCATATAAGTACCTTTTAAATAATTTATTTCTTGCGCTGGTAAATTAATCATTTACTCCATTCACTTTTCTCGCCTGAATCTAAACAAAATATTATTCAATATTCTCACGTAATATCTTATCAATGATAATATCGAATAATATTTTGTTTAGATTTAGGCGAGAAAAGTGAATGAAGTAAATAATTAATTTACCAGCAGAAGAAATAAATTATTTAAAAGATACTCGTAGGAATCAATTTAGAAATTTATACCTGTTCTTGTAATGTAGAAATGAACTGATTAAAAAAAAATTTTCTAGCAATTTATTCTATTTATTTACTAATAATAAAACGTTAAAACGGTAACGGAGAAGCCATTCGATTCATAGAGATTAGAATCTCACCGAATGTTTATCGTATTGGTCGCCATGATTTCTTAGACACTTCAGATAGTCTGATAAAAAAAATGTTATCGACGTCAATTAGTCAATGCTCGATCGACAACAAAGTGCAACTTTTAAAATTACCAAAACATTTTACTTTTAATTAAATCTCATAATCACTGTCGCTTCTTTAAATAGCAATAATTGAATTCTATCTTGAATAATTTTTATATTATCGGTGATATTTAGAGAAATTCAGGCCTCGATACCACTTATAATAGCAAGTAGAAAAATTATTAACTGAACATGAATTGTGAACTTGATTCTTTTATCGAAAACACCATGTATAAAAGTTTCTTGCGTAATAATAATGATACTGTATTTGTTTAGATGAAATTTTAATTTTAAATGTCTAGAGGAATTGTATAATTCCCTTCAGAATAGGCCAATGAACTGTTAAATCTATCTTACTGATAGCATTACGAAATAGTGATTATTTGACTTTCTCGAGGTATCGTTAAGCAAATAGTGACTAGTTTCATGAACAAAATTCTACGGAGGGGACTCTCTTCTGATTGTCAAAAGGACCCCACAACGTTAAAACGAATATTCATCCAGAAGCTATATAATCCAATAACTAAGCATCGCTATATGTATACCATTTAGATTCTCTCATGAAAATATTAATGGAAACGACATGGCCAATCTCGTAGGAAGACTATCAGTGTCTACGTTGAAGCAACATCGAGGTACATTAATGTTCCATGTTTAATGTTTGCCTGTTTCAAAGAGAAATAAGAAACACACGGTACCACGGGCCAACAGAAACAAATGCTTTTCCAGTGTGAACGTCAGCTACGACAACCGTAATTGTGACCTGAAGATCTCAACTTTTGTTGAACTAGGTGATGCATAGGGTGACTAAGACCTATGGTGAATGTCGGTGAATCCTGCTGTACGGATCCGAAATATGAGTTGATGCTCTTCGGTTAAGTACAGACTGGACCCGCCAACTTTGGGGGATCTGACACCGTGGAACGAGAGAGTCCACGGTGAAGTGAATGTTTACCTCACCCCGTCCCTGACAGTAGATTGTGCCTGTTCAGGGAAGATCAGATCCCCCACCTACCTGTACTGAGCATAGGGCGAGCCTTTCTCATCATATTAATGGGTGACATCACCCTTGACAATATCACAGGGTGATGCTCCGTGATGAGGAGGAATAATAGCGATAGAAGGATGTCTAGAAGACAGGCGAAATCCTCCTTTCGCATAACACGAGTACAGGCAGGAGTAGGCTAAACACAGCCACGGAACGAAGTAATGCAAAAGCTGTTCCATTCCAGGGCTACCGTGGTCGGAGTTTTTTAGCGGATATTGTGCTAACTCTAGATTTGTACAAATACAATATAATACACTTACTGCATCTGGAAGTTCGTGATACTGCAAAAAATGCATGTAAGTGGCTGCTGGTTGTACAGGCAATTGCACAAAACCGCACTGAGGCTCGATCCAAATTTCCGAAATAATTTGAAAATCACCGGAACTTTCGAAGTCATCCATGCTCATTTCACCATCGGCGGTACCTGAAATACAATAAACCCATTTATTTGCTATTTCTTGAAACAGTCGTCATTGTTTTTTAATTTTATTTTAATAACGTGTTTACTCTTACCCTCGTCGGTATCTTCCTCCGATGTACTGTCTCGTTCCAACACTGTGTTCGATAAAACTTGCGGGGGAAACAGAATATATTGTATAATGCATGGATACGATGCATCGGTTTTATCGACTCCTTGCATTTGCACTTCGAGGACCATGTTTAATATACCAGCCGCTGAATAAGTAAAATTAAAGCCTTCAGCTAAACGCATCCTGATACAATAGAAAAATATATATGTATATGTACACAGACGCGCACTAATGATACTGTTTTATATTTGTAACGAGAAAGCATGCAACGAGAAAAGCCTCATTGAGAATAGAGCAGACATGAATCGAAGAGTGAATAATCCTCTCTTTATACAATAGCCACTAATGTTCAAAAGTGCTTTAATCGTTCAATTTAAAAAGTAGAAAAATATGAGAAAACTGACACACAAGGAGCTATGACATTTGTATACGTTGTTCCTAGAACAAGGGATATTTTACTACATTTGATCACTTTTGGAAAAAACAACCGAATTGAACGAGGTGTCAGTAAATTCAATTCATTTAAAACAAGTATAGACTGGTTAACAAAGTTCAAAAGACATCATAATATACGTTTAATGAACATACATGGAGAAATAGCCTGTGCCGATGAAGATGCAGATTTTTCACAAATAGTAGAAGAAGAATACTGTACTAATAAACATATTGAAATTATTTACTGACTGATCTATTGCATAATTAGATAACACGACAAACTAATTAACAATTACAAGCTATAAATATGCAATATTTACTTTGTAATTGTTGAAAGGATCCTCGCGATTGCAGTTATGTTCAATCTCGGCAACGTAATTCCTGGAATGGTTTGGACAAATGGCCGCTTCATATGCCAAAGCCATCGGTTGTGATATAAATATCTGGATAAACTGGTCGTTAAAATTCCTCCAAATATTGGCGTAGCTTTTGTCGAGTTTGTTTGCGTTCCATCGGGAAATACAATTGAGTTTAAATCGGTCGGCATACGCTCGTATCTGATTAAAATTCTTTCTAAGGATTTGTGTATGATCGTGCAACACGGCGTTTCCCTTTGTCCCGTTGGTCTGTTTGGTAAAATAAGTTTCGATAACCGATCCAAGAGATCGACGACGACATTGTGCCGTACAACTCCCTCCGTGCCAGCTGCAAATGCAATGTTAAGGATGACACACAGACCCTTGCAATTGATTCGAATCAATGAGAATGAGACGGGAGGTTTCTCCGCTTCTCTATAAATGAATTGCACGTATGTATAATTTTCAACGAGAACAAAAGTTGCCCAATTTTTTAACATGGCGTAAAGAACTGCGGCTGCCTGACGGCTTTGAACACATTGAAAACGGCCGCTCTGATTCGCTTGATGCAGATGCTTTGGCAGTGGTCTATCGTGAGACAAAATTAACGTTACTCTTTGCGTGTGCATCCAACGCGCCCATTGCAAAGGATTCAAAGACACTACAGGTTGCCATATTTGTCCAAATTGTGGACATGCCGCATCACTAAAACCAAGTTTGTTTTATATTAAGATTCACACCACAAACAACAAACGATTAATCTGTACAGATAGCGACTAATATATACTTTTTTTAACGATTTAACAGTTAAAAGTTTATCGATCGTGAGGCGTTACTATTTTTTAGGATTATCTTCGTAAATGTACCTAAGTTGTACTGTACTAGGTGAAGGATACGCTGACGAATAAAAGACTGGCATGCCGCTCCTAATAGTGTCCGGAACGCTATACCATGTCCAACCAAAGTCTGGAAACCAACTGAAATGCGCAAGCATGGTATCGCTTTCCGTTAAGCCTGTTAAAGTCGTCCAAAAGCGGTCCACAACGCTTTGTCGATACTGTGATTTCAATGGCTTTTTTGATAAACATGTAATGTCATGTAAAAAATCGTACGGCGCTGTAACAGAATATTGTTTCATCTTTATTTATAGTACGTGGATCGATCACTTGTATTTGATGCCAGGACTTTTGAGAAAATTGTAACACAATGTAATCTGAAGGTGTAAAATACATGGTCCGTGGTCCGCGTGCAACCCAATCTATTATTATAAGTATTATTATTTCTTTAAAGAGCAGTTTAAATAACGTATGCGTTTGTTGCCAATCAAAGATAGATGTGCCAATGCATTATATGAGAAAATAACAAAATATTTTAATACAAAAGATATACCTTACAAAAAAAATATGATCGATTATGCTTCTGACGGGGCAAATGTACACTATTATCAGAAGATATCCCCCATTTATTTAAACTGAAGTGCGTCTGCCATTCGTTTCATATGTGTGCCTTTTATACCAAGAGGGGTTGAAGGTTTCGTTAGAGATATTTTTAATTATATACGTAATAGTCCCAAAAGAATCGAGGAATATAAAGAATTTCAATGTGGACATCGAACCTCATAAATTATTACACGTAGCGCAAACTTTAGGTGGTTGCGGTCCTTTGCGACAGATTGCTGGAACACAAACGCAACATAAATGCAACACAAAAAATATTGAACAAATGCCTAGACCCAACTACTTTAAATACAGAAATGCAATCACAGCGCCCTAAGTTTTATTTCATTAATTCGTTCTATCGATAATCTCAATGAGAAAATTTAATTCTATAAGATAACTTCAATGTAATGTAATTTTCCACGGACTGGACCATGTTTCAATTTTATTATAAATCCTGACATCATTTGCAAGAAATGATAGATTTGGCATAAAATAATTTATAAACATTTTTACAATTTAGTTTTTAATAAATTGTAACTATTTCTCCTCTAACTTACCTTCTATAGTAATCGTATACTGTATTGTATTAGATACAGACAATGATTTTGTAGTCCAAGGGCACATTATTACATATTCTAATAAAATGCTAGACTTCCATAACAGTACAAAACAAATTTCCAACATTTCATCTCTAATATTAGCACGTTTTATTAAATATCCTTCTCGAAGACGACAACATAACAGACTGCTTAATGTACAAGTAACTTTATCTTCGATTTGTTTTTTTTGTAAAAGATGAGCAGATTTTTGTTCGTAAAACAATGAGTTTTTCGAGTGCCAGTTTGGATAATACGGCAAAATATCACAAAGTTCATCTCGATATAATTGCCAGCATAAAAAATGCTTGTGATAAACATTCATGTCTGTTTCGTCTAAATCTGTCTGCAAATATATTAATTATTCCATAAAATGCACATAATTTTATAAGTACACGTATGAAAAATAAGACAGATTTCCTTATAGAACCACATAAATTGTATAGAAAATAGAAGAACTATTTCAAACATTGAAATTATTATAGATATCTAATGTTGTCAAGCAGGACTGATTCTGAGTGGTGTACTAAACATGCACTTGCATGTAATTAGAGAAAAATGGGGTTGACAAGATTAAATTTAAGATAAAAATTAAAATCGTAACGTAATAAAAATAAGGACAGTCACGGAATACGGTCCTCGTTCTATAAGCTAAACGTAGCTTTTTAATTCTTCAATGATTTGATGAATTTTATGATTCAAATTAGCACGAAAAGTAATAAAATTACTAATAAGTTTTACTTCAAGTAAAATTCCCCCAAATAAAGCACGATCGTGACTGATTGAGAAAAAATTATGCCGGACATTACGATGAACACCCTGTAGATCACTTAACACATAAAAAATTTAACAGTAATGATAATAGTACTTACTATTATTTTATAGACAGATATAAATGTTATATAAAAATATTACGTACAGCATATGGAATAAAAGACATATAAGTACCCAAAGTAGCTCGAGCAATGAAATATAATAGGTCTTGATATGGAACTAAGCCATCGGCACAGTGAGGATGAAATGTACTTCCGACGCGTAAAAAACTGCATGCAACAGTAGTTGCGCGCAACTGTTGTATAATAGAATCTAGTACATGAACATCGGTAGTTCCTATTATACCATCCGACACGATTATCATATCTGAAAAACAATTTAGTGTTTTAATAAGATGTGTATACATGTTCGACTACCTCTGAAAAAAATTTTGGCGGGGGATTCCAGGGGGCAAAATAAGACGAAAATCAAGAATACCAATTTGTTGATCGAGGCTTCGTTAAAAAGTTATTAACGTTTAAAGTTCCGTCTGTAGAACAGCAATCTGCGATCAGCTGCGCACGCGTGATAGTGGTTCTCACTCAGCGTGAGAAACTCTACTGACTGAAGTATGGACAGCCTTACAGTTTTCTGAGTGAGTACAACTATCACGCATGCGCAGTTATTCGCAGATTGCCGTTCTACAGACGGAACTTTAAACGCTAATAACTTGTCAACGAAGCCTCGATCAACAAATTGGTATTCTTGATTTTCGTCTTATTTTGCCTTCTAGAATCTCCCATAAAAATTTTTCTCAGAGGTGGCCGAACACCCTGCATATTAAATAAATTTATTAAACTTACGCGAACAACTGTGTTCCGGCAGAAGTGTAAGCGCTAACATCCCGTATCTCAACATATTCACAAAACTTGATTCAGGAGATATTATCGAAGTATTTACCATACAATTGCTATTATTTTTGCTCAAACAGGTATTGCTTTCTTCAAAAAGGCCTCCCACCAAACGCTCACTTTCGGCTCTTAAATTTTCTAACTGTTGGCTAGCTATAGCGGTAACAGATGCAACTTTCTCTTCTAATATATTAAGTTGTTCCTCTATGAAATTTGTAAGCTGATTAACGTTCTTCATAGTTACTAGCCAACCTTGTACCAAAACTTGTTGGGCAGGACTCGTAAAAAACGGTGTATGCGCTATTATAGTTACATAAATTTCTGGTTGCATTTTTCTGTTACTTCCTGGTATAGTCAACTAAAAAATAAAATAGATTCATGGTATTAATGTAATGTTTTACTTTAATTAAATTACACTTCTACATAACAATGTGAAAGAAATCGCTACTTACAGGTTTGATAATACCTTCCAAGAAACGTTTTGTTGCTACACAGACTTCGTCTATAACTATTTCACCATGTTGTATATCCTAAAGATACACACTTTTGAATAAAATTGTCTTTGAACCAGATAATATACCATATTTAACAAAAAATTTACTATCAATCGATACTTACTACAGTCGCAAGCGATGGGCTTAAATCTAAATTAAACACTATTCTATATTTGTGCGCTAAAAATATTATTGATGTTGTAGAAGTCACTTTGTAACAGAACTGATGACTTGTTTCTGGAGACCAAGATTCAGGTTTATTTTTAGGTAGCACAGACACAATTTCCAATTCTGCCGTTTCTTTGTTTTTGAAACCCGGAGACTGAATATTTATCACAGTGTCTAAATGCTCGATCATCCACTGTGCTCTTACATTTCGAGATATAGGAAAGCCTTTCTTCATCAGTAAAAAAACAGTATTTGCTTCTAAAATGTTTTTCACCTGTAACACATAAAGTTGAAGTTTTATTTCATACAGCCTTTTCTGTTATATACTTATAACTATTCTATACAATACAAAAATGTTGAGTATACAGTTGGTATTGAAATATTGGGATTAATTTCTTTCGAATAATCAATATCTATAGAATATGTATACATTTATTATAAAGTTCATTTAATTACCTCATTTTTTACACCAGCCATGACGATTTTGACGTATATTTACATTTCAACACTCATAATTTTTGATAAGAAAAAAATATGCTAATGCACCATAAATATTATTTCTGCGTCGTACACTGTTCAAAGGTCACACTGTCACCTATTTTCTTCATTACTATTCGATTATATTTTCAAAGGAATAAATATAACATAACCTCAATAAATAAAATATAATTATACACTATTAAATTTATCTGTTAAAAAGTGTTAATTTGATTTGTTGTTGTTGAATTTATATTAATGATTGTTATCCTTTATACAATTGTTTTTTAAACAACGAACAAAACGATCACTAACGTCAACATAACACTTTTCATAAATCTGAAACAATTTGAAACGTAAGTTACCGAAGTTACGTTTCGCTAGTGAGAAGCACAGATAAATTATAAATATCGCAGATAGGCATTGCTCGCGATTTTAATGAAACACTGTACAGCGCCATGAGTGTCGTAACACCAAAACTAAATCAAAGGGAAGGAATTTCAGTTAACCGGGTTAACTTCACCTTCCGGCGGGATGATTCACTATACAAATGTTTCATCAGGAAAGAGTAAAATGACTTTCAATTTTAGAAAACATATATTGTATGCAATTTTTTGTTTAGTAATACTCAGTACAAAAAGATATCTATTATTTTGTATAAACTACAAATTACACTAATAAAGATGTACAACTATAAAAATGTATTATTCTATATAACATACAGTTCATTAAAGAGATAAATAGAATTACCCACATAACAAATTTCTTTGATAATTTAGCGCGAAATAATTATACATAAAATTTTTGTAGAGTTTTCATAAGTTCTCTTATTGAATTGTTTGAACGAGGTATATAATTATTGTCTATACAAGTATGAATACTATAGTTCATTAAATTCAAAATTTGTTAGAAAATATCAATATGGTAAATATTTACATTGTTATCTGGGTATTCATGGACGGATAGATATGTTTCCTTGTAAAATAGTTTTTAATTAACAAATAAAATTTCTTAATACTTAAAATAACTGCTCGCTTAAAAAAAAAAAATTAAACTCCAACTTTATTGGAGATCATTATTTTCTATTACCGAAAAAGACTGAAACGATATAGTCAAAAATACTTTATATAAAATTTGCAGACTCTATTATCAAGATAGATCTTAATATATTTGTTAAATACATTAATTAATTATAACTTAATGTATGTCATGTTTAACTATTAATGTAATACTTTCGGACGAACTATATTAAACAAAAAAATGTTTAAAAAAACAAATATAATTTGTTGTTAGATCTTTATGATTTTGAAGTTAAAAATATTCTTACCTTGTAACATTACTTTGTTTTAATAATCGTATTGTATCAATTAAATTTAGTTTGACACATACTGAAACAGATAACTCATAAACATTACTCGTATCATGAATTTTAGTTATCAAATATTTTTGTATTATTTGTTCAAATTGAATGTATCGATAATAGCAAAATTTTGTTATCAGAGATATAACTAAATGCCACTATAAATTTCATTAGATGTCGTTAATAAGTCATTAGTAAAACCGTAATAGAATGTTATCGAAATGCAGTTTTTTATCCACATAAAAGTGATCGATAAACTGCTTATTTGAAAATTTGTTGCTGTACATCTCCTAAATATACGTATTATTGGAAAAGTATAAGTATATTATACGCATTCGTAAACGCGTAATAGTAATAATAAACATATACCCAAAGCAGCATCTAAAATTTTATTACTTGCGCTGCTCCTAAAAGCTGCAGCATCGCCCATTTGGAATGTATAAGTTGGACTCGACATGCGCCCATCTCCGCCATTGCTAAATGCGAGTACACGCAAATGATATGCCTTACCAGGACTGAGATTAGAAATGTCAGCTTCTAATTTTGAACCACTTGGTATGATAGTATCATTCGCGGTGCTCATATCTTGATCCAATTCCCAGATACGTATTTTGTACCCGATCAATGGTTCTTCTTCTAAACTCGGTTGTACGTAACGCCACACAACTCTGACCGTTGAAGGATTCACACCATACACATGAACAGAAGACGGTGGTTTCTGAGGTGCCTTTCGGTAAGTTCTCTCCAGATATCGTTCGCTTTCAGGCCCCTCTCCAGCAGTATTGTACGCCATTACTTTAACATAGTAGTAAGTATCTGGCTGGAGACCAACAACAAGAGCCCAAGGTCTTGTAGTTCGAGATAAATAATACACTGAATCTTCTTCTCGATTACTTTCTTTCCAGTATTTTATTCTATGGCCAATTAGCTTGCCTCTTATCCTTTCGCGACTTTGTTCGATTGGCGCCCAACTAACTTTCAAACTCGTGCTGTTATAACTATGAGCAACAACTTGTTGCGGAGCTACTTGCGGCATGTCTTCCGCACTAAATACTGTAACTGCGTCGGAAATTGGCCCAGAACCTAACGCGTTAGCTGCTTGGACTTTAACTTCGTATTCTGTATAGTAATATTGCTGCGGTATTTGTACAACGCTTCTGCCAACATTACCATACTCCTTCAAAGATAATGATTGAAATTCCGTTTCGTGATATTTTCGACGCCAAAATATGTTGTAGTAAATTCCTGGCCCGTTTTGATCAGAGGCTGGTAAAGGATCCCATGTAATAGTAAGATCTCCGATCTTTCCTCCTCCTCCTCCTATGTTGGTTGGAATTTTAGTTGGCATGTCTGATGGAGTACTATATTGCGGGGAAGGTGACGAAGGTAGACTATATCCCAATTCGTTGAATGCAGATACACAAAATGCATAAGTGGTGTAAGGATTTAGAACATTCTCTAAATAAGCTTCCTTCCTGCCATTATATCTATCCACTTCAATGGCAGTGATATCTGAAATAATATCACGGAAAAAGAACGGATTACCACAGAATTCGTAATAAATGTAAATCACGGATAATTATAACGTACTTTCTATGATATTAAACCACGTATGATTCCAATTAGTCCTTGCGCTTACAGTATACATTGTAATGGGTTTACCATTAAAAGCACCATCGGTCCAACGTAAAGTTGTAGAAGTTTTTATAATATTTATAACTTGTACACCTCCAGGCGGTCCTGGTGGACCTTGTATCGTGACTATTGTTTTACTAGAAATTTCACCTACAGCACTTTTAATTATGCATTCATACTCTCCTGCTTCTGCGAACGTAGCATTTATTATGTTAAGTTCTTCGCCGTCGATGTGCAATCTGGGATTATTCATTACATTTACATCTGTAATATGTAAACCATTGTGCTTCCAAATATACGCAACATCTAGCATTTCATCTATTTCCCCCATACACCGCAAAGTTAGATTTTGCATTACCGCCGAAGTAACGCGTTGCGGCAATCTTTCCATAAATTGTGGGCCATCTTTATATAAAAACAACACCGTTAAACGTAACTTCGTAAACAAATAAATAACGTGAAGAATATTAACTTACGTAGAACAATCAGCCGTCCGCGAGTTTCATCAGAACCATATTGATTTGTTGCGGTGCAAACATAAGTACCTTCGTCGTCTCTGGAAACAGGACTAATTATAAGATTACCAATTTCTAAAATTCTTCGTCTGCCACCAGAACCAATTACATTTCCATCTTTTTTCCAGATAAATTTTGGTCTGGGTGCAGCCTCAGGATTACAAACAATCGTAACATTTCCTTTTTCTGCCGCATAAGTTTCAGGTTCCATGGGTCGTTTCTTAAACGATGGTCTTAACGCTGTAATTTGAAAAAATAATTTTTACAAACATATTCCAAACTTCAATCGTGGATCTTAATATTCAAACAACGACTTACATAAAACTCTAAGTTGCGCAGACGAGTATTTTGTTTTCAATTGATTTTTTGCACGACATTGATACATAGCTGGATCTTTCTCCGGATCCAAATATTTTATACTTAAAACATTGTCTTGTATAAAATATCGATCCCTATAGTCTGGAGGAAGAGTTTCCATATCCAATAATTCACCATTTTTAAACCAACTATAAGTTACGTCTGGTATTCCAAATGCTTCGCAAGTCCAAGTCAACTCGCCTCTGTTATCCATGTGTTTATCCACTAATGGAATGGTAAAATTGGGAGCTGCTTGTATAGTTAACCTTACGGAGTTTTCAATTGATAATCTATCATTGTGAACTCTACAGACATACTCTCCTTGATCATCAACATGTACTTTTGGTATTATTAATACTCGATTATAACTAGTTACATATGCTTCACGCGGTAACAACCCGCCTCTTCTTGTCCAATTATACGATGGAACAGGACTATGTTAAATAGAGAATATTTATATATAAATTAAATACTAATTAGGCTTTAAATTTGTCTTAATCGTGAATTCTTCTTGTACGTAATATAACTGTAAATACATATTAAGCAAATAAATAAACTTACTATCCAAATGCAATGCATTCAAGTCTCACTTCCTCTCCGGCAATTGGAGCCTCTGGGAATGCTTTCGGAAAATTGTTTGGAAACTTTAATTGTTGAAATGAAGCTGGAAAACAAAAGGATCTATGTTAATATTAAGAATTTTGTGTCGCGCAAATGTTTAAATAACAAATTGTCAGAGTATTCTTAATAAAAATAATATAGTAAGAAAAACTAATTACAATGTGGATCGACCCTCAATGGAAAGAACGGTCCGTTACGACCAGTATCGGAAGCAACACTTTGAACATTACAAGAATAATTTCCACGATCGATCATTTCCAATGCGGAAAAATAAAGTGCTCCATCATAGGAAACAAAGACACGTTTATCTTCCTCGACGAAATTAGGGAAATAGTCACGTGCCCAATAATATTTTACTCCGGGAAAATGTTGCGGCGGATCGCAATATACAGCTTTACCCCAATTTTGATCTCCACGCTCTTCCGAACGTTTTAAATTAAATTCCAATATGTACCCGAATGACAATTCTACACTTTCGGATATAATTGTACCAAACTTATTTGTCACTTTACAATGGTATGAACCTCTATCTTCTGTCTGGTCAGGTTCATAAATAATTAAAGTGCCACCGCTTACGGTATATCTAATATTTTGTAACGGATCTATTTTCGTTGCGATTAATCTATCGTTTTCATAATCTTCCTGAAACCACTCGTACATTGGCGCAGGATAACCACCCGCATAACAGCTCAGCGTAACATCGTTACTTATTTTCCTTTTTGATACATCGAACACTTTATCCACAGGTTGCTTAATAAAATACGGCCCTCTAGGAATTTGACTGGGATTATCAATTTCAATGCCATACTGATAAGTACGATCATCTTCTAGCAAGTTGTGCAAAGTAGAAATTGGGGCTTCGCAAACGTATAACAATTTGTCTCTGCCAGTTACTCTTTCTAATCCCCAACGTTGTAAGTTGTAATGATAGGAATATACCAGATAATCTCTACCAATTGTATTATCATTCGGTTCGGGCAAAAATGCATTGTCCATACTTATTAACTGAGTATTATCGCCTTCGTTTATCCAGTTTCCATTCTGATATTTTATACCAGTGTACCATTTACGATGTTGAGGATCTTGCCATAATAATTGATACAATAGAAATCCATGTTCCTCCAAGGAATTAATCGTGACAAGATCGCTTTGATAAGCCTGACAATTCTTTCTAGCTTCTTCCCTTTCTCTGATGGGACTCTTTATAAAACGATAACACGATTCTTGAGATTTTATCCAATGTTGCGGACATTGATATAATATCTCTCCGTATAACGTATCTTGTGAAAATACATTGTTCGAAACGACGAGGACGTATGTTAAAATTATTTGTATACGATACATTGCTACACGTTCTTCAATTCGTTTGATATATTATTAAGTGTCCTGTAAATATACAGCATCTTTAAGTATCTTAATTTGTTTATCGAGCTAAAATAAAAATAAAAACTATTTATTTTAAAACAAAATTTATTAATTTATAATTGAATATTTCTTTACCTTCGATTAAATTTGGCTTTCGTGTAAAAGGTAAAAATCATTTAACAAAAGTAAAATTCAGCATCCTTACTGTTTATCACGCTGATGTGTATATATTCGAATATATGCACAAATTAGATGAACATCATTACACTGCGAAATCAAACGAAACTTTATCCGATTCGAATTTAAAAATTAACTAAATCTAAATCCTAACTCAGAAACAAAACGCGAATACACTATTTTATAAACGAGGGCGTATGATCAGTTCAAATGAGTGAATGACTCTATTTATACTGTATATATACACATAGATACATACAGTCAGAGGTTTCTGGCACAGACAAAGTATAGAATAGACCTGACATTTTATAGAATTTTACGTGTGTGCGGCGAAACATCGCTACTGACTCATAATTCGAAGATTGAACTGTTTCGGAAAGAAGCGGTCGATGTTTTTAGAAAGACATTCGCCATTGAACGAATGGCGAACTGACTTGCATGAGATTCTACAATGACTAAGCAAATTTTTCCTGAAAGCGTGAAAGGTAAAAGAAAATTGAAGTTTCGGTGGCTACACGACATTGAAACTTGAAAGAATTCTGTTGCGAAAAGTTTTCATGGAAGGAAAACGATCTATAAAAATGGTATGTTACGTACCCCTTCCCTGCACACACTATTATCGATATTTTCTCGATACAGTTGTATGTCTTTTTAAAACATACAAACAGGACATATAATAAGTTAAACTATTCATTTATAATTCGCATCGAATGGAAAGAATGCAGTTTTATGAAGTACATAACAATGAGTTTCATATTTATAAAAATAGAAATTTTCCATATAATTGGTAGCGTCATAAAATATTTACCAAACACGATCGTTGCATTTTATTCTCGGTCGAATAAGTTGATTAAAATTAATTATCTTTTAATGAAATTTCGATGAAACTCATTCTTGTATCATTATATATAGGATCCACTTTCGCCAGGCCCCTGTTTGGATATTAGTGACGATGAACTGGTGACAATATCAGTCAGAGATCTGAACAGACAGTTAAAACTACGAGGTCTATCACGGGAAGAAATTGTACGTATGAAACAACGTAGACGCACATTGAAAAACAGAGGATACGCAGCCAGTTGTCGAATCAAAAGAATCGAACAAAAGGATGAGCTAGAATCAGAAAAAACACAGGAATACCGTGATATGGAAGCTATGCAGGAAGATAACAATCGTATGAGAGAAGAAATAGAATCCTGGCATTCTAAATATCAAGCATTGAAAAAATTTGCGGCAGAGAAAAAGATTCACATTCCACCCGAATTGGAAACAATGTAAAATAATTCAAATACGCAAGTGCTGTAACGTAATAAAAGTATTGGATTTAAAATAATCCTATATGAGAGTTTGGGATACAGAGGAAATCTATGATATAAAGCAATATAGAAATTAGGTTGCTAATATATGTATAATGTTATGTAATATATATGTATGAATGATTTTTGTTTATATTGAAATCAATTTTATATTAAATATTCGATTGTAAATTACGTCTATCACTTTTTTGCAAATATTTTCACCGAGATATTTCATATCAAGCGAGGGATATACATATTTAAAAAATCATATATATTTTTATGAACGGATTTATATAATTTGTTTCTCAGTATATAATAGAAATATCAACCTGCTAACTACGTGTACATTAATTGAATTACCCAATAATCTATATTTCTGTTTACGTGTAATCTGTTCTGGAAAGGTAAAGTTTTCTGGGAAACACATTAACCTGGAGACTTCTCTAGGTGTAAAGTATCGTAACATTAATTTTTCTAGAGTCTCTGATATTTTTAACGATTGTTGATTGTGCTTGCTAGCTTCTGAAAATGTTTCTTTAATTAATTCTTCTGAATATGGACAGTACACAGATCCTGTTCCTTCTACATAATGACCATAGGCTTTTGTAAAACAGCAAGACCCGTTACTTTGCGATGTTCTTATATCTAACAACCATGCTCGCTTTTGCAGTAATTGTTTTGGTATTAGATACTGTGTCTCCTCGACATTTTCCAAAATGTTCTCTATTTTATAACACATTTTATCCGCATCAAAATTTTGCGTAGAATTTTTATCTGCTAACAACCTGTGCTTACTTTTTGGTAAAAAATTTAAAGCATCTTTTGATAGTTGAAAATTTAATGTAAGATTATCCAAACAAAATTCAAGATTTTGTTTCTTAGCTAGTAAATAATATCTGTATCTAGTATTTGGAATACCAAATTGACACGGGCTGATGATTAATTCTTTATGATTAAATCCACAGTCATTGATACATTTTAACACGATATTTCTCATTTCAGATTTTTCGAACCCTTTAACATTCTCAAGTAATATATATTTTAACCCTTTTATTTGAGGTATAAGACAGAGAACATGAAATAACGAAGACGATCTGTTGTCCGATATGTCTTTTTGAAGTCCTACCCTTGTATAAGGTTGACACGGAGGGCTCATCAATATAGTATCTACATTCAAGTCATTAATCTGTTTTGCTGATAATGACTGAACATTACCATTTATAAGTAAAACATTTGGGAAATTCTTCTTGTATACGTTATTTGCGATAGTATTTATATCAACTGCTGCAACAACACTACCGTTAACGCCGCTCTCTGAAAATATAAAATTTTTAATGATTAATAGAAAAAACTATACTGAAAAACATAGGTTATGTTCGCTTGGGCAATGCGAAGCAACAGGTAACAACACAGTATCTCACCTTGAAACGCGTAATGCATTCCACCAATTCCACTATATAATTCCAATACTCTCATCGTTAATTATTCATTCGAGATTTCTTAAATATAAATAGTCCGACATATACTTCGTCAATTGTCAACTAATCTATCTTTAAATCCTATTGGAATGCGTCCTTTGTTCTTTTTCAAGCTTTGTTCGTGCGAGTAAATACAGTTTTTAAAAAACCTGACGATTATTTAAACAAATTTATTTTTATAAGAATGACACAGTCTTCTGATACAAAGACTGTAAATAATAACAGTAAATGATAATGACTAACCTAACATACGATTCCATAGTCCGCTTAGTAATGGAGGATAGGCATCGTTTTGCGTTGTACAAAATTTTACGTGTATAATTAACTTTGCTCCAAAAATTTATATGTAGCGCGATTAGAAGAATGTGTACACAAAGTAAACGCTGACTTGCGAGTAATACAATGATTAATAATTAGAGCAATGATAAGAGCAAACAGTGTACAAACAAAAAATCTAACCTGAACAATGTGTTGACTTTTATTACTCTTCCGGCGATAGTTTCAACGTTAACGAAGATGCTAATAAGCACGAATTAATATACCGGATTTCTTGTAATTTGAATAAAAAATAACAAATGTTGACACTATTTCTCTAATGATAAAAAAGAGCTACATATGAATTTTATGTAAGGCACCACCCAGATGCAGTTGCAATATTAAACAATGTTTCGAAGTCGAAGTTGGTTTGGAGGAGGGCTCTGGAAGCCCAAAAATCCTCATTCTTTGGAGCACCTTAAGTACGTATATGAACATATAAAATTTCTTCAGTTTTTAAATTCTGCTTTGTTGTTACACGCAGATATCTGTACAATGTTTTATCAAAGAACCAGATTGTGTCTGAAAACAATAGAGGATTATTGGTAGAAACCCTCCGTTCTATAGCTGAAATTTTAATATGGGGTGACCAAAACGATAGTAGCGTGTTCGAGTAAGCACAATTAATACGAATTCCTAATTGATTCAAATTTTCTTGCAAAAGATAACAAATGACTTTATTGATGATTTTATTTTTTGTTCTCAGCTTCTTTTTGGAGAAAAATATGCTTTCGTTCTTCCTGCGTATTATGAAACAAAAATGCGGAAGCTATGTATGTGTTCAGTTGCTACAAACATTAAATATATTGTTTGAAAATATACGTAATGAGACCTCTTTGTGTAAGTTTATAAGGAATCTTAACAATATAATTCCTCTTTATTGCTTTTAATACGACGAATTAATCGAAATATATTTATCTTAGATTACTTACTTAGCAACAATCACGTAAACAGTATAATAGTGCACAAATTCGACTTCAGCGATGAGGAAGTGATGGCATATTATATCAGTTTCTTAAAAACTTTAAGCTTGAAGTTAAATGCGCATACCATTCATTTCTTCTATAATGAGGTAAACGAGGTACACGTAATAATCTTCTGTGTCTATTTTTTCACTTTAGCCAATCTCATGCTCATAATTTTTACAATACCTGCCAATGTATGTTAATCTGATGTTATATGCTTTGGATGTGTGTATAGTTCAATCGATTCGTAGTATGCTTTTTACTGTGAGCATTGTTTCATCTTCATTACTTGAGTTTCGCACAAGACACACATATAAAAGAGGATATCGTTTAATTTGTTTCTTTTATCAGCACACCAATGATTTTCCATTGTATACGGAGGCAATTAAATTTTTTAACCACTCCGAAGGTATGGTTCGTATAGCAGTGCGAACCTTAACTTTAAATGTGTATCGTGTAGAAGATGCCTCCATGCTCGCATTTATAAGAGATCGCACTGCAGCACCTTATTTCAGTAATCTTGTATGGTTTATTGGTAATCACATTATAGAGCTTGACACTTGTGTCAGAAATGATGCTGAGTAAGTGAAAAAATTACTAATGAAATTTAAATAATTATATTGGAAAGAAATTTCTTTATGTACATTGTTTCAGCCATCAGAGTCAAAACAGATTATCGGATTTAGTAGCAGAGCATTTAGATCATTTACATTATTTAAATGATATACTATGTTTAAATATATCCGACTTGAATAAAGTTTTGTCGGATCACTTGCTTCATAAATTGTTAGTCCCGCTGTACGTTTATTCGCTCATGAGACATAAGAATCTTTTGTGCCAAAATCAGGTATATTCTTGCTTAATAAATTTATGATTATTTCATACGGTAGTAATGTGTATCGATAGGAAGAGCGAAAGCATGTAAGCATTGTAGTAGCTCTATTTCTACTTTCTCAAGTGTTTCTAATAGTTTCTCACGGACCTCTTGTACATACGCTAGCAGCAGTAATGTTACTATCAGATTTAGAAACTATTGAAACAGGTGCAAGCAAAGTGCTTGAACTATATGGTGATATTACATCAAACAAATCAATTGCTTTCTCACCGCCGAAAGAGAGTTTAGAGAAGTCTCTTGAAAATTTAAGCGAGTCCTTGAGCATATTGGATGAAGTTTGCGAAGACGAAAGTAACGATAATACCGAAAACGAGGCTACGGAAATAACAGAAATAAATCAACCTAGTACATCATTTAATACTGCTTCAATGGGAGATGCTACTGTACAAAGTCCGGAACAACTAGACGTTCCGAGTAAAGATTTAGAAGAAATCAAACATTTAAATGTAACCGATGAAGAGAAAGAACAAAGATTGGCACTGGAAAGCCCTTTAACACCTCAGACGCCAAAAAATGTAAATGAATCATTGCCAAATAAACCATTTTTAGAAACAATCCTAAATTCTTTATCTTGCACAGAAAATGATTATGCTGCATTATTTGGTTTATGTTTACTTTATGCTCTAGCTAATAATCAGGTAAGCAGCATGCATTGATAATACTTTATACCGTGGCACGTTACATTACTCTAATGGGGCAATTTTTTAAGGGCATAGAACATAAAACTTTGGACCCAATTTTATTCAGTTCACGAAACGCTACAAGTTTATATAACGAAATTTTAATAGATAGACTAATCAACATTATAACATTAAGTTGCCAAACAAGTGAGTACATTTTCAAAGTCGCTTCTTCAATTTTTCTACTAATAATTAACGTTTTTACAAATGATATTTTTATCAGATGCAAAAGTGAGGCTCATTACACTGGAATTGACGATTAAACTGTTAATACAATTAATAATGGCGGAAGGACAAACTATGTTAAAAGATTCACATTTGGCAGCCGTTGAAGCAGTCAAAGAACAAAGCACGTCATTGTTAAAGAATTTTTATAAGGTATGCTACGAGAACTAATTATTCTCTATTTATCGAAAATCTATTCACAAAGAAAATTATTTTTATTATGCTTTTAGAGCGAAGACATATTCTTAGACATGTTTGAGGACGAATACAGTGAAATTCAGAAACGACCTTTAAACGTCGAGTGGTTAATGATGGACAGTAATATTTTATTACCGCCAACTGGAACTCCGATGACGGGCATTGAATTTACCAAAAGATTACCATGTGGCGAAGTAAATATATTATATATAAAATTTTTTCTTGTAGCGTATGTTATAGATATGATAGATATGTATATAGAAAGATTTTATTTTCAGCCTCCGCGGCCAAGAAAAGTGACTTGGTTTTTTAAAAGTTACTCCCTCACATCCATCCATACTTTTCTTTCCTTAATTAATCCAACTACATGTTTACTTAACTTTCCCTATTCTATTTTTCAAATATGTATTATTCTATAGCAATCCTAGTTTTAGACTCTGTATTCCTATATTTGTATTTCTGATTAACTTTCTATTATCTTGTCTATTTATACTACACTTCCGTTTTAATTTCCTATCCAATGCCTCCTAGTATCTACCTTTTCTATTCCGACTCCGATTCTTTCTATATGGATAGAATATAACTCGTTAAACTGACAAACAAAACATAAAATTATTGTTCATACAGGTGGAACGGGCACGACGTGCTATAAGAGTATTTTTTTTAATAAGAGAACTTTCTTTGACATTGAATATGGAAGTGGAAACACAGCTGCCTCTGACAAATCCAGCCCATTGTGTTCAAGTCGACAATGTTCTTGATCTAAGTAAAAGTTATTTCTTTTAGCTCGTTATTAAGTTACAGATGATGCATCCAGACATTTGCAAATACCGAATTTGTGTTATTGTACTTTCGAACAGATAACAGCGACTTGATTGCATGCACGGTTGTATGGAAAGACGGTCAAAAAATTCGCCGTTTCCTGGTTATCGATGTTATGCAATTAATTCTTGTCGAACCCGATACTAGCAAGCTCGGTTGGGGAGTGGCAAAATTGGTGGGCTTTCTGCAAGATATCGAAGTCGCGGGTGACAAAGACGACACTAGATGTTTACATTTAACAATTTATAAACCTCTAAGTAGCAGTACCGGTAATCGTGTTCCCTTATTGTCGACAAACTTTATCTTTGACGATCATATTAGATGTATGGCTGCTAAACAAAGGTGAGCTGTCGCTATATGATTATCATGTGTCGATTCTATCGCATTATCAATTGCATTTTTCATTGAAGGCTAACGAAAGGAAGGATAAAAGCACGACAAAAGAAAATGAATCAAATTGCAAGATTACTCGACATTCCTACAAGCATGCCTCACTCTTCAACCCCGCCAAATTATGCTCTACGTGGTTTACGACACGAACGTAAGTCACTCAACACACACACTAGCTAGAAAATGCGAATGAAACACGCGCCTATTTAATTCCAGGTATATTGGGACGTGGACAAAGACAGAAAGATCAACCGCGACCAATGTTTACAGTAAACAAAGTACCTGGATTCGCGGCACAAATGCGTCGAGAAAATATTGCTAAACCTACCATGGGTCTGGCGTTATCAATATCTAAACGTAGTAGCGATAATAGCTCGAACGAGAAGAGTCAAGAAAACGGTTTGCGATCTCGAGATAGTTCACCTAAAATGCCAAGGCCCCGAAGCGAAGAAATTCCTTTGGAAGACATGCGCCTTCGAAAAGCGTCTTTAACGTCAAACGGGATGAGCATATCGCACATATGCCAAGAGACGAAAGAAAGTCAAATTTCTGCCTGTTCGACTAATGGCGAATCATCGACTGTGATCAGAAAACATTCTGAAGAAACGTCGTTCACCTGCCCGCAAGAAGTGAAACCGCGCAGGAAAGGACAAGTGGAAACAGTATGATTGTAAAAATAGATTCTAAAAACAAGGAATGCGTAGGTAGTTTAAATTAAAAATGTGTTTAGATAATTTAAGAAAGAAGCGGAAATGTATATGTGGTCTTGTGTTAATGGAAAGTCTTTGATTTGTGAAATAAAGGGTTTTTACTATAAGTATTTTCTAATCTATGATCCGGAGAAATCTCATGTTTCATAATTTTTTTAATAGAGAAGTTAACACCTTAGACTAAATCTTGCAAAGGTATATTATATTCGGTGAAAGGCCAGGCATTGACGAAACTAGGTTTCTTTTGTTCTTTTATGCTATATAACGCATAAGTATTTTGTATATACATTTTCATCTAACATATATATACTATATATATATGTATATTGGAAGTTTTTGTTGGTTAGACATTACAAATAACTTCTCACTAGCAATTATGTAACATAATCCTGTATTTAAAATGTGTATATATTATTGTTGGCAATTTCTACAACTTAAAATAAATTCCAACAATGAAATATATTTTTTTTTTCTTTTAGCACATCGGATCTATTGATTTGTGATAATTAGATACTCCTATACTGGAGGCTATAAAACATATGTAGATATATTTATTTTTAAATTAATACCCTAATCTAAACAGTATTTCATTACTTATTAGAACATTGCACAGCATATATAAAATTTGCCAAACGAATGTGAATTAAATGTGGTAGATATCACCGATATAATTAATATGGATAACTTAAAAAATAAACTTGCGTCAATCCGATGAAGAGCAGAACAAGTTCTATGAGTAATTTAAAATAGTGTCAATTTAAAATCGAAATTTATATTAAACTGGTGGTTACCTTAAATGCACTTCTATAAATGTTTTTTCGCATACGATTCTTTCAATCAAAGGAAATTAGCTCTGCCGTTTCAGGTTTCTTGTCCCCTTTCGATTGTACGGATTCGTTCGATGCAGGCGGCAGAGGCGTTGTTGATTGGAATTGTAACTGTTGTCCCTGAGATACTGGGATTTGAGGCATGTCTTGCATCGTTGTTATACCAGGCCCTTGAGGACCTTGCATTGTCTGATTCGATGCCATAATTGGTCCAACTGTAGTCCTCGAAGGTACTTGATGGCTTCCTGATCCTTGAGACGCAATAGGAGTGTTCGAAACGTGAGGCTGCATCGGAGGTCCCTGAGAACCTGACAATGAAGATGGTTGCTGTGGTCCCATCTGAGGTGGAAGGCCAACAACTTGACCCGAGGGACCATGCACACCAGGCCCAACTTGTGCAGGTAGAGGACCCATGTGACTCTGAGGTACTTGAGGAATACCCATTTGACTCGGTGGTCCTGACTGAGGCATTTGCGGTGGAACACCCTGCTGCGGTGGCATATGCACCGATGCAGGTTGCGTTTGTGCCATATGACTTGGCGGACCTTGCTGTGGTGGCGGTGGTCCCATCTGATGTCCGCCTGTCTGTTGTAGTTGCGGTATGGGATTTGTCATTTGAGGCATCTTTAAAAGAAACATAAAAAAGAAAATTGTTATATAAAATGTAATATTAACCCTAATATTTTGTTTAACGACTCACTATTCCGGGGCCAGAAACAGTAACTCGACCCATAGCTTCATGTCCTTGAACAGATGGATCGGTTGGTTGTTGCTCTTGATTAGGTAATGGCCCCATCATATGCGGCGGCATTGCATTCATTGGTGGCATATTGTAACCTTGCAAAGGATACTGTTTCACAGGTGGCTGTCCGTATATGTATCCTTGATTCGTTGGAGACATAGGATTATAATTAGATCCAGGTCCTTGATATTGGACGTGACGAACGGGCGAACCTTGAGATGGACCAATAAAGCCAGAAACAGCTTGATAACCGCCTAAACAATATATATATATATATATATATATATATATATGTAATATAACAAAAATTATATTGAAATTACATATTACGCATGCGAGTTTACCCATTATGTACTGTTGCTTTTGTTGCTCCTGTCTCATTTGCATTTCCCTCTCTTGTTCCTGAATTTTCTGCAAAGCAAGCTGACGTTGGTATTGCAAATATTCTTGTTTCTTTTTTCTCATGATTGCCAACTTTTGAGCCATCAACATTTGTTTCTTTCTCTCGGCTTCTTCCGCTTGTCGTCTTAATTTTTCTCTATGTTCCTCCCGTAAAGCATCCAACGCAGCTCTAGCATCTTTCATTTGCGTCAATTTATCTTGAAGACCTTCATAATATACCCTACTATCATCTTGTTCCTGAATATATTTCAATAGTCTGTAAAAAATTCGCAAATGTTAATTAAATTTATATAGTTTACGTACATTTCGGACATATCTTAAAACAAACCTTGAATGCATAGCAGTGATATTTAAAAATAATGTTTGGACAGAACTATCGTTAGCGATCGATCTGCCCCGCGATGAATTGCTCTTCATTCTGTTAACAAATATCTCGACTTGAGAACGCAATGCGTTTACAAATTCTTCCATTTGGCTGTCAACTTCTCCATTTTGTTGCTTCGCGATTATAATCTTTTGTGGCATAGGACTACTAATATTAGGAGCAGAAGGGCTGGTAACATCTGCTCTAGAACCATGCTCTTCTATTACGGTTTGTCTTTGTTCCCAATATTTGCGATTTAAATATTTCGCGAGTTCAGGTTCAATCTCTTCTTCTTCTTGTAACTTCGATGGACTAGGACCCTAAAAAGTAAAAATTTACGCAATATCCGAACGAAGCTTCAGTTTAAAAAAAAACTAACTGGCGATGGTGGCGGGGAATACGTTGTCCTATTGACAGTGGTTGTATTTGACTTTAGAGCCCTAGTGGCTCGTTTCTTTTCTTTTTCTTTTTGTTCTGCTTCGCTTTGACTTAAAGCAATAGCAAGATTTAACTCTTCTTCTTCTTGGAGTTCTGCTGCTGTTTTTCTAGGCGGCACCTGTAAAAATAAAAGATCGTACTTTTTAAATATATTTTGTTCAATTTATAATCAACATTTTTTTTATAAAAATTATATACTTGTTGTTGTTGAGCCAATGAACTGTTGAGATATTCAGCGGGTAAATCTACTTCTTTAGTTTGTAGCGTTGACGGCCTATAGAAATAAATTGGACAAATTAGGAATAAAGTTAAGAATAATGTAGAATACAAACATATTCGCGCTTACTTATTAACTTGGGCATAACATGCTTCGCAAACTCGCACTTTCTTTTCAATTCCAAACTTAGGTAAAGTGGATACTTTGCTTGAACACTGACTGCAAAACACTTTACCACAAGCTCTACAGTGATGTTTTCTTTGCACTACTCCAAATGTCACGCGGCAACGATGACATACATCATCATCTGCCCACACTGGGGCATTGTATGCAATAAACATGGCATCGCTTTCTTTTAAAGCAGGAAATTTATATCCTTCGGCTTTCATGATATTAAGCGTATCCTAATATATACATTTTCTGCTGTTATTAATGTATCATATTAACAAAAATAAAATAGAATATATGAACATACTTGTACTGCTCTATATTTAGGACTATTTCGAAATGCATGTGCCCAGGCTTGAATCAATTCTAAGGTTTTAAATTTGACATTTTCATGAGTTGTTGTCTTTACTAGCTCTTTAAGTTGTTCCATATATTGTTTTGTACCAATTTCATCGTGTATTAATGTACCACAATTTTTGACACAAGATTCTAATACCTGTATCAAAGAATAATGTCTTCATAATCATCTAATAATTTTAATAATAAGTCGATTATCAAACAACTAGTCGTTATTACTCACCAATAAAGCATACAAAGCTACATGTGGATTAGTATTTGTAACTTTCTTTTTTATTGCTGCAAGTGCTGCTTTAGGTCTACGTACATACAAAATATGACATTTAATGTTTTTAAAAATAAAAAATAATTATTTTGTCGTGAAACATTATTTATATTCATTGTATCACAATAAACAAGGGATGGGAAGAAAAACTGGTTTGCTGTTGTTTTATTTGTGTGTGATTACTGGTTTAAGAGGTTGAATATAAAATACATTATTCATTTCATAATTATTAAGAAAGAAAGAGGTTAGGAGATTAGGAAATTAGTTCCAGGTTAGACGATAATATGCACTTACTGTACATCGCCCTGACGTATTAAATCGCATAGTTGAAGAATCGCAACCCAGTCAGGTTCAAGCTGAAAATTACTCGTTGCTTTATCTGCAAAAAAATTTAATGAACATTGTTACGTCTGAAAGTCGGACATTTTCATCGTCTGGTATTGTTTGTGAAACCTACCTAATAATTTGTCAAAGTTAATCGAGCTACGAAACATTTTGCTCCAGCGAATACAATCGCCTCTTATTTATAATATTTCTGCTTACTTGGGCTTTTTATAATATCTTGTACTTGACAATTAAGTCCTGGAATTCAGTTTGACAACCATCAAATAGGGTGCTACCACACTGCTTTACTTACCGTATAATAGCAAAATATGAGTCACGTCATACTCACACAAAGAGTATATTTGTAATGACTAGAGAATTATACCTAGGGATATAGGTAGCGCCAGTATTACTAAATGACAGTCACGTGTCACGTGTAAAACAGAAGGTCTCATCATAGTTCCTTTTTTTTTTTTGTTCAACGTGGGAAAATCCTCATGGACACCCTAGGGTCCTCCTGTGTCGCGTATTTTAGCGGGGAATTTGAGATAAGAACGCGGGTTGGTGCCCGTGGAGCGCAGAACCGCTCTGCTTGTCGGAGTGTGGGAATTTAATAAAACTAGACAAGAGAACTCTTTCGTTAGGTAACTTCGTACTTTATTCTACTGGTCCGAAGGCCGGTTAGAGACGCAATAATAATAGAAAAATCGTAGCGTTTCGAAGTCACCTCCGAGGTCCTCGCCGAAGTCGTTGGCCAAATCCTCCTAGTCCTCCCATAGATCCTCGTAGTCCAATCAGGGTGGAGGACGCATCAGATCCAAGCGGTAGGCCGTCCTTCCGATGCACGCACGCCCCCGCGAATCGGCGTCTAACTTTCCCTCCGTCTTCGGGTGGTGGTGGGAACTCGGTGGAGTCGCGCTTTTCCGTTACACAGCGGGGTGCCCACGTGGGAAGAGAAAGTAGGCTCTGCTCCGAGGATCGAGGGAACAACCCTTGAAGGAAATTTATGACTTCCTTAGCGTCGCCAGCATTTCTGGAGTCGATCGACGCTCCTAAGACTAACAAAAGGACAAGGCCTTTTCAAGAGGTTACGTGACTTACAAGAAACTCGCGATTCGTTTCGGGGTCTGCTAATTGGTGTCCTCTTCCTGTTTTCGAGCTCTACCCAAGATCTTTCCCACGCGTGCCACCAGCATCGCGCATCCTTAACAATATTCTCTCAATCACGCATAACCATCCGCTTTTGAATTTCGCTCCTAATTTACCTATCGATTATTATATTTCTGGGGCTACGTTCGCGTGGTCACGCAACACCTGAAAGGGTAATCCTCGATTAATGGCGGATTCTTATCGACTAAAACCCCATGGTGATAATCCTCAGGCGCTTTGGCGGGGGGCAGAAAACTCTAGTGACACATCACAGAGTCTCCCGCCACATCGGCCCTTTCAGGAGCGTAAAATTGTGTCCCGGATCGGGATGATGTATCCGGTAGGGTTTGGGTCTTGACTAAACTGCGGGACATCGGATTTTTACTAGAATGACTGGACAAAGGCTATGGAAGGCTCACGTACCGTTTGTTGCAGGTGTCCTGATCGTCGTCATAGTAGCTTTGGGAGAGGATGGAGCAGTCTATTGATGGGAAGACTTCTGATTCGGATTTCGTGAAACTAAAAATTCAATTTACCTTTAATTTTAATAAAATATATATTTTATCGACGATCTTATCGTTTAGTAATATCAGTTCGCAAAGAGATCTAATATAAACATATTCGGTACTTATACACATTCGACGATTAGACTAATATCTAGCATTCCGCGCTTATTCTAAGTCGTGCAAAACGTTTTGAACGTAGAGCTGTCTTTTATTTAAAAAATTACCTTAGCACCGACGTCCTTTTATAATTGCAAAATTGTAAAACAATAGTAAAGAAAGTTGGTATCGTCTTTGCATAAAAGAAGCATTTAATAGTATCATTAAACTGAAATTATGTACATTATCTTCCCGAGGCTACTGATACTTTGTACTGTATTCAGAATGTGGTGCTGAGGCTGTGAATATGTTCTCTTCTAACGCAAACTTTGGGCATAACAAATTTAATACAATTGATATCGTGCTTTTGAATACCTTCTCAACGTTTCAACGTATTTAGAATTTTCAATCGGTATATGTGCTTGTTATTTTTTAATCCGCGTGTAAGATCGCTTTGCATTTACCAAATTCTATAAAATATTTCGAAAGGGAACCCGTTAAAACAAAAACAAAAAAAAAACAAAAAAGAATATGAACACGTAGACGCCAAGAATGGCCAGCTGAATAAATGCATACATAAATTACTGAATACAGTTGCATATTGCATACGAGTCCCGCAACCAAAATCCCCAACGTTCGTGATACATGGTTCTCCAGCGATTTTCATTCAATTCATCGATCAGTTATCAACCAACGATCAAGGCTAACTAATCGGCTCGTAACCATTATCACCGTTTCAATCGATTGGAAATCGTAACAAGACAACTGCCGAAGATCTGTACAATCCTTTTCATTTTGTGGGATCTTTGGCAGTCGTGTTGCAAATAAATTTGTCTACGTTCTAACGATTAAGTACAGTAATCGCCGGTTACACGAAACCGAATCGAATTCTCCCGGTGTCGCATAAGCGAGAAAGTTAGATTTTTCTTGCAAGCAGCAGAGAAAATGATTTCGTTAACTGAGAATTACTGTAATTCGTTCGTTTCTCTCCCTCGTGCCCCTACTATCTCCGAATTTTATTATAATAAAACAAGTATCGGAAATTGACCTGAGAGTTGCACTGTCCTTTCAAACTTTTGGAACTGTTTCTAGCGATTCGAAAACAAAGTACGATTTAACGATTAAAAGAGGTGGAGACTCCTGGCGGAGAGATTGTAATCTTCGACAGGTATCTGCCACCGATTGTCCCAGAAGTTGTTTGTTCTGTACGTTAGGTGCGTGCACATCGGTAGACGCGTCGCTCGTTCGCACCTCCTTGAAACTGACCAGTACAAGAAGTTCTGCGGACACTTGTACAAATAGCCTTCGAGGCTGTTCCTGGAGTTACGTTTACACTTGTAGAACGCATTGCTGCAGCCTTGTCTGTAAGGATAATGTCCCTCTCCTGGACAAAGCTTCTCGGTCGATACTTTAATCTAAAAAATTACCGCATTTTTTAGTGTGTACATTTATAAACATTCTGTGCAAAAGAGAATTACTATATTATTATAAATACATCCTTACGCATTGTTGGTACTTACCGGAGATACAGGACTCTCCTCTAACGTTCTATAAAATCTTCCAACAGCTTTGTCACCCATGCAAGTCTGGCTGGTCTTGTTCTCTGGTAAACATTGTGTCTTCTGATCGTCGAAGACAGTACCTTCCGGACAACTCAACACGAGTATCTTGATCTCCATGTTACCTTCGTTGACGCATTGATACAACAGGTTGCAGTACTTCGGGTGCCTACGGAAACCAGTGGGACAGACCAATACCAATTGCTCGTCGGTTAGGTTTCCGATTGGGCAAGGTGTCGAAATTTCTGCGCTGGAAGTCGACGTTTCTGCGGTCATTGTCGTGGCTGTTTCGGTGGTACTTGCGGAAGCAATCGTTTCCGTCGATTCGGTAGTCTGTTCTGAACTAGACTCTGTACTGCTTTCAGTCGTTGCCTCGGACGTAGATTCTGTAGAAGTAGAACCTGTGGTTGATTCAGACGTGGATTCGGTCGTAGATTCTGTAGTCGCTTCAGTTGTAGATTCTGTAGTTGCTTCAGTCGTAGATTCTGTAGTCGCCTCGGACGTAGATTCTGTAGTCGCCTCGGATGTAGATTCTGTAGTCGCCTCGGTCGTAGATTCTGTAGTCGCCGTAGTCGCTTCAGACGTAGACTCTGTAGTCGCCTCAGACGTAGATTCGGTTGTTGCTTCAGACGTAGACTCTGTAGTCGCCTCAGACGTAGATTCGGTAGTCGACTCTGTCGTAGATTCTGTAACCATTTCGGACGTAGACTCCGTAGTTAGGATCGTCGTAGATGTATCTTCCGTAGACGCTGCCGTAGACGTCGTAGACTCGGTGGTTCCTTCGGTGTCTCTGGACTCGGTGGTGGACTCCATGCTGCTTTCAGTAGTAGTCGACGTTGACTCCGTCGTAGACTCTGTAAAATCGTCGGTCGAGCTGCTAGGAGTGGACGTAGGCGTCATACAATCTCTGGCAGGATAAACGGACTCGGGATAGTTACAGACGCTGATACTGGGATCGAATATGGTTCCAGGCGCGCAATCAAAGTTGTATACATTGAACCCGTTTCCATTGTCGACGCAACGGTAAAATTTCTCGCATTGCGTTGGATGCGGATAGAAACCTTCTTTGGTACAAACTATCGTGTTATTGGGTTTCTTTGTGGTACAATCCGCAACGCCGGGTTCGCTGGAGGATGCTGGCGTACTTGATTCCGAGGTTGTAGACTCAGAAGATGAGCTTTCGGTACTCGAGGATCCAGGTTCTTGTATTTCTGATGGTTTTCTCGACGAGCTTGAGGTTGCGTCTGTTGTTGGCGAAGTTTCCGAACTTTCGGTCGATTGTGTACTACTCGTTGCAGTGGTAGTAGTAACGCTTGGCGAAGAGCTGGTGGCTGTTGAAGGTGGGGGCGTACTACCATCAGGTCCATTGTCGATTTCGTTATTATCCGTCGAACAGGATGCCACCTGACTGATATAATTGCAAGTCTCTAAAGACTGATCCCATCCTGTACCAGCTGCGCACTCAAAGTCGTATCTTTGCAGTCCTTTTCCATTATTTACGCAACGATAGAATTTCGTACAGTCGTTCGGATTCGAGAAAAATCCTTCTCCCGGGCACTGCGGTGTTCCAGGAAACGAACTGCTCGTGGTTGTCGTTTGGGCGGTAGATGCGGGTCTATTTGTAGTGGACGAGTCAGTGTTTGATTCTGTAACATCTGAAGATGTAGACTGTGAAGTAACTGTGCTTGTTCTAATCGTAGATGAGGGAGATGATGTGATTGTCGTGGAACTAGTAATCGTTGGTCTAGCTGTCGACACAGTAGTAGATGGAGGATTAGTTGATGCGGATGATGCTGATGTGCTTGATGATGGTCTAGCAGTTGGTGTGAACGATGTCGAAGAACTTGATGATGTGATAGTTGTTGAACTGGTTGTAGTTGCGACAGATGATGGATAATCGATTGATGTCGAAGATGTAGAACTACTTGGTAAAGGTACCGATGATGATACGCTTGTTACAGTTTGAGATGTAGCTGGTTGACTCGTAGTGGTATTACTTTCGTTACTAGATGGACTCTGTGAACCATCTTTACAACTCGATACTGCGGATTCATGATTACAGCTTTGAATAGATGAATCCCAAGCAGTTCCAACGCCGCATTCGAATTCGTATTTAACAAACGTAGAATCACTACCTACGCAGCGATAAAATTTACGACAATTCTGTGGATTAGCGAAGAACCCTTCTGATGTACATTGCGATGTCCCAGGAGGTGGTTTATTCGTAGCTGTTGTTTGCACGCTAGATGTAGCGGTGGTTGTAGATGATGTGGAAGTGACAGATTCAGTAGGTTTGGGACGGATTGTGCTGAATTGGGTTGTAGACGGGGAGGAAGATGTTGCTGGGACTGTGGAACTACTCGATGGACGACTAGTTGATATGGAAGGTGATGGAGTACTTGATGATGATGCAATAGTCGATGAACTGATTGTAGATGTACCAGTTGATGATGTCGGACTACTTGGTGATGGCGCTAATGATGATGTACTTGTTTCGGTTTGAGATGTAGCTGGTTGACTCGTAGTGATATCACTTTCGTTACTAGATGGACTTTGTGAACCATCCTTACAACTCGATACTGCAGATTCATGATTACAGCTTTGAATAGATGAATCCCAAGCAGTTCCAACGCCGCATTCGAATTCGTATTTAACAAACGTAGAATCACTGCCTACGCAGCGATAAAATTTACGACAATTCTGTGGATTAGCGAAGAACCCTTCTGATGTACATTGCGATGCCCCAGAGGGTGGTTTATTCGTAACTGTTGTTTGCGCGCTAGATGTAGCGGTGCTTGTAGCTGGTGTAGAGGTGACAGATTCAGTAGGTTTGGGACTGATTGTGCTGGATTGGGTTGTAGACGGGGAGGAAGATGTTGCTGGGACTGTGGAACTACTTGATGGACGACTAGTTGATGTGACAGTTGTCGTACTCGATGGCGTAACAGTCGATGGACGAATAGTTGATATGGAAGGTGGCGAAGTACTTGATGATGACGTGATAGTCGATGAACTGATTGTAGATGTACCAGTTGATGTTGTCGGACTACTTGGTGATGGTGCTAATGATGATGTACTTGTTTCGGTTTGAGATGTAGCTGATTGACTAGTAGTGGTATCACTTTCGTTACTAGATGGACTTTGTGAACCATCCTTACAACTCGATACAGCTGATTCATGATTACAGCTTTGAATAGATGAATCCCAAGCAGTTCCAACGCCGCATTCGAATTCGTATTTAACAAACGTAGAATCACTGCCTACGCAGCGATAAAATTTACGACAATTCTGTGGATTAGCGAAGAACCCTTCTGATGTACATTGCGATGTCCCAGAGGGTGGTTTATTCGTAACTGTTGTTTGCTCGGTAGATGTAGCGGTGCTTGTAGATGGTGTGGAAGTGACAGATTCTGTAGGTTTGGGACTGATTGTGCTGGATTGAGTTGTAGACGGAGAGGAAGATGTTGCAGGGACTGTGGAACTACTTGATGGACGACTAGTTGATGTGACAGTTGTTGTACTCGATGGCGTAACAGTTGATGGACGAATAGTTGATATGGGAGGTGATGGAGTACTTGATGTTGACGTGATAGTTGATGTACTGATTGTAGATGTACCAGTTGATGTTGTCGGACTACTTGGTGATGGTGCTAATGATGATGTACTTGTTTCGGTTTGAGATGTAGCTGATTGACTCGTAGTGGTATCACTTTCGTTACTAGATGGACTTTGTGAACCATTCTTACAACTCGATACTGCTGATTCATGATTACAGCTTTGAATAGATGAATCCCAAGCAGTTCCAACGCCGCATTCGAATTCGTATTTAACAAACGTAGAATCACTACCTACGCAGCGATAAAATTTACGACAATTCTGTGGATTAGCGAAGAACCCTTCTGATGTACATTGCGATGTCCCAGAAGGTGGTTTATTCGTAACTGTTGTTTGCACGCTGGATGTAGCGGCGCTTGTAGATGGTGTGGAAGTGACGGATTCTGTACCACCTGATGATGTAGGCTTGGAACTGATTGTACTGGATTGGGTTGTAGACGGGGAGGAAGATGTGGCTGGGACTGTGGAACTACTCGATGGACGAATAGTTGATGTGGAAGGTCGTGAAGTACTTGATGATGACGTGATAGTTGATGAACCGATTGTAGATGTACCAGTTGATGTTGTCGGACTACTTGGTGATGGTGCTAATGATGATGTACTTGTTTCGATTTGGGATGTACCTGGTTGACTAGTAGTGCTATCAACTTCATTACTCGATGGTTCCTTAGAATCTGTTGAACCGGGTGCGTTAGAATTATCCCGACAATTTGGTACTGCAGATTCATGATTGCAGCTTTGTATAGTGGAATCCCAGACCGTTCCGGCACCACATTCGAAATCGTATTTGATAAATGTTGAGTCACTACCAACACAGCGATAAAATTTACGACAATTTTTAGGATTGGCGAAGAATCCTTCTTCGGAACAACTGTCTGCAGTCGCAGTAGAGCCCGGATTTGCTGAAACAAGATATCAAATATATAGTGATAGCAACAATCAATATGCTTCATACAATGATCGTAACAAAAATACCTGAGGGAGTGCTAGGTGTACTAGACGTGCTAGGTGTACTACTGCTGGAGGTGCCGGGAGTATTCGGCGTGCCAGGAGTTACAGAGGTATCAGGCATGTCAGAACTACTGGGAGTTTCGGGTGGTGCTGGTGTACTAGACGTGTCAGAACTATCGGAAGTGCCGGAAGTACCAGGCGTTCCAGGCGTGCCTGCAGTACCGGGTGTTCCAGTAGTACCGGGAGTGCCAGAAGTTCCTGGGCTACCCGGACTGCCAGGCGTTCCAGGTGTGCCGGGAGTGCCAGGAGTACCAGAAGAACCTGGTATTCCTGGGGTACCGGGACTTCCAGAAGAACCTGGTGTTCCAGGCGTGCCTGGAGTTCCAGGACTGCCCGGAGAGCCAGGGGTGCCAGGAGTACCAGGAGTTCCTGGACTACCTGGACTACCTGGACTACCAGGAGTGCCAGGAGTACCAGAAGAACCAGGTATTCCTGGGGTACCGGGACTTCCAGAAGAACCTGGTGTTCCAGACGTGCCTGGAGTTCCAGGACTGCCCGGAGAGCCAGGGGTACCAGGAGTTCCTGGACTACCTGGACTACCAGGAGTGCCAGTTGTTCCAGGAGTGCCAGAAGAACCAGGTATTCCTGGGGTACCGGGAGTTCCAGAGGAACCTGGTGTTCCAGGCGTGCCTGGAGTTCCAGGACTGCCCGGAGAGCCAGCGGTACCGGGAGTTCCTGCACTACCTGGACTACCAGGAGTGCCAGGAGTGCCAGGAATACCGGAAGAACCAGGTGTTCCCGGTGTGCCGGGAGTGCCAGGACTACCCGGAGTACCAGGGGTGCCCGGACTGCCTGAAGTACCAGAGGTACCAGAAGTTCCTGGACTACCTGAAGTACCAGGAGTGCCTGGTGTACCAGAAGTTCCAGGTGTGCCAGGGGTACCAGGTGAACCTGGAGTACCAGGGGTACCTGGTGAACCAGAAGTTCCTGGACTACCTGAAGTACCAGGAGTGCCTGGTGTACCAGAAGTACCAGGTGTGCCAGGGGTACCAGGTGAACCAGGAGTACCAGGAGTGCCAGATGTGCTAGGGGTGCCAGGTGTACCAGATGTGCCGGGAGTACCAGGCGAGCCAGGGGTACCTGGTGTGCCTGGCGTGCCAGGTGTACCAGGGGTGGCAGGACTGCCTGGAGTGCCAGAAGTACCAGTTGTGCCGGGGGTACCTGGTGAACCAGGAGTACCAGGTGTGCCAGAGGTACCGGGTGAGCCAGGAGTACCAGGTGTGCCGGGAGTACCAGGGGAACCTGATGTTCCAGGAGTACCAGGTGTGCCAGGGGTACCAGGTGAGCCAGGAGTACCCGGTGTTCCAGGGGAACCTGGTGTTCCAGGGGAGCCTGGTGTTCCAGGAGTACCAGCTGTGCCAGGAGTGCCAGGTGTGCCAGGGGTACCAGGTGTGCCTGGGGAACCTGGTGTTCCAGAAGTACCAGGTGTGCCAGGGGTACCAGTTGTGTCAGGGGTACCTGGTGAACCAGGAGTGCCAGGAGTGCCTGGTGTGCCAGGGGTACCAGCTGATCCAGGGGTACCTGGTGAACCAGGAGTGCCTGGAGTGCCTGGTGTGCCAGGGGTACCAGCTGATCCAGGGGTACCTGGTGAACCAGGAGTGCCTGGAGTGCCTGGAGTGCCAGGCGTTCCAGGAGTGCCTGGAGTGCCAGGCGTTCCAGGAGTGCCAGGTGTTCCAGGAGTACCAGGTGTGCCAGGGGAACCTGGTGTTCCAGGAGTACCAGGTGAGCCAGGGGTACCTGGTGTTCCAGCTGTGCCAGGTGTACCGGGGCTTCCCGGTGTGCCAGGTTGACCATTAGGATCGCCGGGTTGTCCGGGTTGACCAGTAGGATCTCCAGGTTGTCCCGGTTGACCATTAGGATCTCCAGGTTGTCCCGGTTGACCATTAGGATCTCCGGGTTGTCCAGGCTGGCCATTAGGATCTCCAGGCTGTCCAGGACTGCTTGCATCTCCATCCCATTGTCCGCCATTATCTCCGGTATCACCGTTCCATTGTCCGTCATTATTTCCCGTATCTCCATTCCATTGTCCATCATTATCTCCGTTCCATTGTCCACTGTTATCTCCATTGCCTGCGCCAGTGTCTGAGGATTGTCTACAATCGTCCCGTGTTACTGCCCAAGCATGATTGCACCCTTCAATTTGTGGATCCCAGACTGTGCCAGTCCCGCACGTGAAATCGTATTTTATAAACTTCCCGGAACCATTATCGATGCATCTGTAGAATTTCCTGCAGTCATTCGGATCAGCAAGAAATCCCTCTTGCGTGCATTGAACTTTATTCTGGCCGATAACATCCTCCGAATGTCCACTTGTTACGGGAGGTCGACTTGTTGTGGATTGACTTGTCGTAACCGGTAGATACGACGTTTGTGGTTGTCCGATTGTAGTTGTAATCTTAGTCACACTCGTGGGTGGTAGGCTAGCGTGTGTGGTCGCAACGTCTGCCTTTGATGTCGATTCTGTGGAGGATGATTGCGGGGAGGATGAATCAGGAAGACTCGAATCGATTTCATTGTCATATCCTCCACACTCTGGCCTTCCACTGTCATATGGATAAGTACAGATGTCGCCACTATCCTTCGAAAATACTGTATCAGAACCGCATTCGAATTTGAACACCGTTAAAGGACTGCCGTTACCCCAATCGACGCATCTGTAGTATATCCTACAGTCATGAGGATCGGGATGATATCCTTCTTCCGTACACGTGAAATCATTCTTCCTTTGTCTAAGTTGATTTTGGAAGTAATTGAGGTGACCTAAAAGCCATACAAGTATTTACGAAACATAGAACGAATATAAACGGTGTAACGTTCCGCGATTAATTATCTGTATCCCGCGTAACGTAAATCGTAGCCATTTGTTCTAAATAACTATCTATTTTCTCGCGCGAGATTGATAGAGCAATGCCCGCACAATGATTTATTCTAGAAGATTATCGAACCCGATGTATTTTTCATCAGCGACGTATCCTTCGATACGTTCAAGGCTATGCGTCTCCCATCAAACCAGTTTGACGACGTTCGCAATAATAACAACAATAATATTCTCCCGACGGAGACGTAGGGAAGCAAAAATACTAGCAAAAATGCCCCATGGAGTTAGTAGGTGCATCACGTGCTCTCTGAGCAGGACTGTAAATGAACGTGTCAAGAAAATAGATAGTTCGTGCGCTCCTTAAAAAGAAAAGTCTTCGATACGCATTTTCCTTCGACCCATGAATATTCAAAAACAATTCAACGTGAAGGTTTTCGAGCAAATGAACGTGATCTTACCAGCCTCCGTGAACGTTGCCAAAATCAATATTACCAGGACACCCAGTGTCCGTAGACCTGTCCACATGTTTCAGATCTGGCTTATCTAGAAACACACAGAAACATCCTATTAACCCTTTTCACTGTGATTTTAGTGTTAAAATTAACATGTCATAGAATAAGAGAAAAATATAAATAATATCATCCATACAATTTTTAACCTCGCAATTATTATAATTCAATATCATTTGACAAATAATCCCTTGTTTACCATTTATTAAAAATTCTTTATTTAACTTTCCAGATGTGGGTGCCGCTATACAAAGTATTCGACATCTACGTGTTAAAAATTTAAGGGGTGATTCGAGAGGCGAAAATAAGACGGAAGTCAAGAATAGTAATTTGTTAATCGAGGCTTCGTTTAAAAGTTGTTAAGATTTAATGATCCGCCTGTAAGATGGCAACCCGCGAACAGTCGCGCACGCGTGGTAGTTCGCGGCAGGTCGGTCCTAGTGGTTCTCATTCAGCATGAGAAACTCTACTTGCCGACTTATTGACAGCTTTATACTTTTGTGACAAATAATGGGAACTCAAACACGTTACGCTGAATGAGATTCATCGACCTGTCTTAAGAAAATCCAGAAGAGCATATCACAACTCGCTCTTCACGAGAAAATATATTGAAATTCAAACAGAAAAATGTTGGAAAGAGCGTAGTACCCATTGCTCGATCAATGAACCGAATGACAGGTTGAATTCGTCGATTTCCAAACGGCGGATCAATAACGATTGTAAACCGGTATTTGGTAACACAGGAACCCCATCATCTTAACGGGATAATACAACATGACGTAATCCACGTCGTTTTCTGGGACGAGAGGTGTGGGTTTCCTCGGTCGAGAATTTCACATAAATGGCCAAAGATAAGCAACCGCACAGTTACTCCTACGTCCTGGTTGGCGCGCGTCCAATCTTCCTCGTCGTCGGCTCACGCAGAATCCCAACTATCGGAACATTCGACCTTGCTTAGAACGATTCTCGAATTATGAACGCCGGTTCGGGATCAAACGATTCCCCATTATCGATCGGCGCTCGTCCCCGCAAACCCGATCAACGACCTCGATTTTTCGATCGCTCGCTAGATGTACACGTGTCGGAATGACGATTTAAATATACGACCGCGGTTTATCGGCTTGTACAGTTACACCAGCATCGAACTCCGACACGCCTTTAATGATCCAAGTCGACGGGTTCTTTTAGCGAAACCGTAAATCAATGTTCTCGTGTACGGAATAGCGAAAACGAATTCGACGTGTACGGTGAATTGAAACAAGCTTTTAACGTTGCGTCTTCTCGTATTCCGCGTTCCGTCTCCCCGTAGGTTCTAATTGTCTTCGCAACGTTGAACAACGCGGGGCCAAGAAACTTTTGGCCTTCGATGATGTATCGCGAAGACGAGAACCGAAGTCGAGGGCCGCAATTGCGAGTATCGATTTCCGTAGAACGTTAACCCGTGTCGGAAAGTATCGTTCCGCCCGTTTATCTTTTCTCTCATCTAAGACTGTATCTTGCGAGACCAGGACCGAGTCCACAATTCCTGCGGTTTATCAACCTTCTACCCTGCACATTCTTGCTCGCGATCCACACCCTCGACGCTCGAGTGAAGATCGGTGAAGATCTGAAGTTGTCACCGATTGCTAAAATACGACTGTAGACAGTAGGCATATAAGAAGTGACTTCGATCGAAAATTAGTAATTTATTTTGTTCTATACTTGGTGTTGCACCACCCCTAGCAATTTAAGGAAAATTTCATATTTTTGGAGCTTTCCACCATGCTAGATGGATGGTTAAAGCCATTTATTTCGCCAAGCCCTTACAGTAACTCTATAGTCAAGGGCCACCCTACTGTACACGTACCAAAGGATCGTAACGTTACCTTTCATTTCGTGTTGTTGAATATTTTCTGATCGGTTCCGATACGAGCGCAACAATTCGATTCGAATCCCGCAGATTTCAGCGGAAGATCTAATGTCGGCAACACGAGGCGAAGAAGTCTCCGTCTATTAATCAGCCGCGTGGATTCGTTCGCCTCTATTACTCTCGCGAGATCTCGGTCTATGCGCGATATGCGATGCATCGCGGTGCACCCGATCCAATGCTATAAATACCATTGCCGATGCGCACGTGGAGATGCTGCGTAACCACGTAACGAATTACACCGTGTACGACCTACGACTGCACGAGACACTCGTACACAACCGTCGACAAGAGGAACGATAAATCCTGACGAACCGAAAGGATCGAGGATACGAATGTGTTGTACGGGTGGGTGTCAGAAAGAGAAAGAGAGAGAGAAAGCTTGTTGCTCGTTGGAAAGCTGAACCCATCCGGAGTCCGGACCACGGTGCTCCAGCGATCCTTTCTCTTCCTAGCTGAAGCGAAAAGAGGATTGCACGAACGGTGACATAATCCGGGAATGCGGCTTCTTTGGGCTCGCTTACAACTACGACCGGAGGGAAAGAGAGAGCGAAATGACATAACTCCTGCGTGCAGAGTCAATGTCAGTGTCGACGATCGTGACATTGGAGCGAATCGGCTCGCGTTCAAACGAGGACACGATTTATTGAATGGAGCGCAGTCCGCGAGGTACATACGCCAATGCGTCGAGTATCGGGGTAACTAGATCCTCCGTTTTCTAGGGAACGTTTATCGTTAATTGCGCCGATCACCAGCAAATACGTGGTCCACGTTCGACAGGGGAGATTTCCCGAATGTCCAATTAGTTTTGAAGAAAGGGTACAGCCGAATAAGGGGGTCAAATGTGCCCTTGAACTTTTTACAGAATCAAACATCCTGTGCCAAGTTTCGACTCTCCACCTTGTTCGGAAGGGTAGTTATAGGGAAAATTCGTATTTAATCGAGTACGAAGATTACCTAAAAAATCTGATGCATCGTGGTTGTCGAGATAAACTTGAAATAAACGTGAAAATAATGGATCTCTTTTTCCCCGACCTAATATTTTACACGTAGCAAGTTTGCAAGTCGCGTAGATTACAATCGAAAGCGTACAATTCTGGTTCTTCTCTTGTAAGTCCATGGGGACGTTTTATAAACCGGATCGATCGAATAGACACGCCGTACTTTCGTTCTCGCGCGTTTAATATTCCAATGGTCTCTCGTCTCTACTGGATGATCCTCCTCAACATTTTATTGAATTTTCCACTCTAACGAGCAGTAAGCCGGACCGAAGGTCTACCTTAAAGTAATTCGACACCGGGCACTTTTCTTTCGCGCCGCTTTTATAGTTTCGAAGAACGGTTGGTCGTTATTTTGCGTTGGGACCGAGAACTGGTTCGATTAAATTGACTGTTGCCGGGGTCTTCAAGGTCCTTGCTTCGTTCTTGCATCCTCCAGCACGGGGATACATCGAGAAGTAATCAACCTCGGCGAAATTTCCTTGCTTTTTCTTTTTTTACGCGATTTACGACACATCGATTAGAACGAGCCGGGGATTTAACGACGTTTCGGACGATCGTTTCGAATTCACCGGCGATTTTTCCGTTTCTTCCCATTATCGGCGAAGATGACCATACCTAACTGTATACGCTGATTTCCTGAATCGCGGAACACGATTTCCAGACGATTGATTTTAATTCAAGGCCACGCGTTTCGAACGTACAGTTACGCGACCGTTCTTTCTTTCGTTGTCTTTCACCGGGAAAATTTTTTCTTTTTTTTTTTTGTAAAATACACTTATCGACAAAGATTAAGAAACAAAGCGTTTGGGAATTACTATTTTTATGAGGAGGTGGGGGCAACCTTAAATCCGAACTCGAAACTGTGGCATCGATTATTTCGACGTTTATTAAGAAAAAAGAAAATATTTAATGTATTACTGGAAGAAGCATTTCCTCGATTTTAAAATGAATACACGATAAAGTTATTATCTTTAAAAACTTTAATATTTAATAGACTAGTAATTTCCAGGTTATCAACAGGTGTTGGGTGAAAATAAATTTTTACTTTGAATTGTTCAATAACGCGAACACCCTGTATACACGTGGTACCATTTAACTGATTTTTCCAGGTTCCACGCCTTACAGAAAATGTAATGGAGGGGGGTAGAATGCATCCCTACGGAGAAACAGCTACAACGGAATCTGGTGCAGTGTACCGAGATTATTATGATGGCATGCCGACTGCAATAAGTGCAGCGTTGCCGCTGAAAGTCGCAAGGTCGTTTCTTCTCCCACCGATTCCACTTTTCCCTTCTCTTTCAAAGTCGCGACGATGGACAATGGCGTGGGATTTGACGGGATCGATTGATTCGCGACAGGGTGCTTTGTTGAAAATTTGTATCATAGCAATGGTTACTACAAAAATTAGTTTTGCCAAGACCTGCCAAAAAATGTGCTACCGAGGAAGTTTCATTAAACTTGCGAAGGAACGTTCCTGAGAAAAGTTCATCAGAAATCATGTGACAATAAATTGCAATAGTAAAACTAATAAAAAGATTAGGATCAGCTTAACCAACGAAGTTGTATTTGTTTCATCGATCGATGCATTTTTGTATTCCCCGTTAGTGGTCCTAAGTCGAAGATCAAGTAGCTTAGAAGTTCTGAATTTCGTCCTGAATGCCCATATATGTACATGTACGACATAAACATTTGCTCAAAGATGGAGAATTCAATTTTCTGTCTCGTCAAGAGCGTAATAGACATTTTTCCCGCGTAAATAGTCCGACGTGGAACGATTTATCTTCGACGGACCCCGTTATTAATAGCACCAAACAAGGTCCACTTACGCGGACGCAAATTATAGTCCCCCCATTATTGATTCATCGGTCGGTAATTACGCTCTATTTGCGTCGACGTGGAGTTCCTTATGGGATTTCACGTTTTCTTGCGAGCGTAATGCACGAGGATCGGAGGGGGCCTTGAACCTCGGTGGAACCAAGCCCGCATGCGATGCATGATAAATCTACGGTTAACATTGCACGTTGGATCGCGGTCGCTCGTAAGGGAGATAATGAAAAAAATGAAGGAGACGGAGTTACTTGGACCGAGCGGAGACGGCTTTGCACGTGCAATTTCCAAGTATCCCTTTAATTGCGAGCCGCCGAGGATACGATTACCGTGGACCAGGGAATATATTGTTGCGGAGATCCTGGAAAATGCCCCCGTGGAACGACCAATGATGTAGGCAGCGGTGGATCGAACGCGATTGGACTGTTCAAATCTCAGTTTCAAGACGATTCGAAGTTTTTAAGGGGGCAGTCTCGTGTCAGCCTCAAAAAAATCAATTTTTATTTTCATTTTTTAGACGTATATATATTTAAGAATGTACTGTTAAATATTGTAAATTGTAGAACACTTAATTGTACAAGAAAAAATGCATTCGGTACTGATTGGTAAAGAATTAAGACTGGTTCGAGCAAACGTTATTCAGTTTGATGAAAGCTATTGCAATAAGAAAAAGTTAATGCTTTATTTAACAAATAGACCACCCTTTTTCTCTCAACAATTCTGCAAAAATGTATTAAAAACTAACAGAATTAAAAAAAGAAAAGAAGATGAAGCCGTTATCTCTACCAGATTCTGAGTTTAGCTGCTTCTGATTTAAATTCGAACAGGTTTCGAGAACGTATGTAAATGGCATTATCGAAGAATTAATTTGATCGTAGTAAACGGCAATTACCGAGCAGATGAATCGAACGGCATGAAAAATGGCGACGTGCATGCGAGGAACGTCGGGTATAATGATGATCACGCACGGGTGAGAGTAATAATGAGCCAATTGTATCACCGCGCGGATTCGTTGAACAAGGAGAACTATCATTAAATAATAGAGTGATTCAACGCGGGATTTATCTTTTTCCACGGAAAATCGTCTGGTTTTTGCGGCGAATTCTGGAATCCCCCAAGGCTGCGCTTCAATTACGCCGGATCGTTAAAGTCCCGTCAATAACAGAGAGTTTTGCGGGATAGATTTCTCTATAACGAGATATCGTAATTCTTTTCTTTTGTTCGCAATTCTTTTTCCCCGCCGAGTCACACCTGCGCAGAAATCCACGTGCATGGAGAACGAAGGCGCAGAAGAGTGTAAATAGCTAGAAATTTCGCGTCAAGCAGTGTTATTAGAGGACAAGTAACAATTCTAAATACTGTGTCTTCGAAGTAGTCGAATCTTTACGCTAAAGAATTATCGATACATTATCTTAGATTAACGATCTACCATTTCCACCTTCGACCAATGTACCCTCTTGTGTTTTTAACGCGTGTGTTCTTCGAAAGAGAAAAGGTACCGAAGCGATTCGTCGATCGTGCGACATAAAAGGTATCGGGGGACTCGCGATTTTCACCACCGACGATGAAACAGATCCGTCAACGTCAGAAAAACGTCGTTCAACGGCCGACCTGCCCGCGAATTTCGCGAACGGGTGGAATGTCCGTCGAGGATTTCCAGTTTTTATCGCGAACCCGGGGAAGAATGGCTCGTTAAAGCAAGTAAAAAAACCGCCAGGTGCATCCGCACCTTGTGCATAATGCATCTCGCCCTCTTCGCGTTGCTCCGCAACTTTGTATTTCATTAAGAGTTACACGTGTATAATATTTGTGAAAATCGAGGGGAAACGAAAAATAGAGGTTCAGGATTTTAGGAACCCACCAACCAACCATCCCCGTTATACCGACGAAGTCATCCTCGTGCCGCCGCTATTCCGGGTGTTGGACGATTTTTCTTTTTTATATAGTTTCTTCCACTTAATTTTATTTTATTTTTGAAACAATATGATTTGTAACGAATCAGTAAATGAATTTAATCAACAGAGAATACTTTAGTGGAATTTTATTTAATTTATGAAAAAAGGGAACGTAAATTTTTTCGTATCATCGTAAAAATCATGACCACAGTTTCCAGAGCATTTAAAGGCAATTTGGTCATTTTGTTACTTTACTTGTTATAAAACTCCACTTGTATAGCATCCTTTGTTTAGGTAGATGTCAGTGTGTCTGTGAGTTAATAATTTATATTTTATACTAGATGAACTCGTTGGTTCCAATAATACTATATTGTGCGACCTTATTTATTCCTTGCATAGCTAAAATTTATAACGCAGGTATAAAAGTTCTGCGATGCCGGGCCTACGCCCTAAGCGATATGGAAGATTTAAGGAGCAAATTACGCTTGAGTGATTCACTGTCAGACCTTAAGTAGGATTCTCATTAAATAGGTTCAGAAAATCCATTTCTCGTTTCTCTCGTAAATCAAAGCACAACCTTTTCAAAATAAACTCACGACATTTTAAAGTCTAATTTGTAAAAATAACGAAGCTTTCTAAATCGTGTCGAAGTCTAGAAACAGTAAGAGTATTTTGAAAAATCATAACTTTAAAAGTTTTTCTAAACTATGTTTCTAAAATTTGTATCTAGAATATCTCGAAATAAAATATAAATAAGAATACAAAAACTAATTATTTATTATCTTATTTCAAATCCAGACCTTTTTTAGAGCGCTTAATGGGTCGAGGCTGAAATAAATAATGTAATTTCCAAAGGTAAGGGGTTTAAGGAGAATAAACGATACATAAACAGCGAAACGAACGTTTCAAATCTCTCCGACTGCACGCACGCGAATCGCTATCGACCCCCATTAATATTTCACGGACCTATTAGCGATTACTCGATCACCAAAAATACTTTTCGACGACCTTAAGAAAGAGTCCATTTACGGTGCACGAAGATCGTGACGAGGCAATGTCGAGGACAAGTTAGTTGCATCGCGTGTGGCTCCTGTGCGATCGATTCAATGCCAGGATCGTCGAATCGATTCGATCGCCCGATTCGGAATGTCGATCCAAATACAGCGCCACGATTTTCGGCGACTGCTCGACGCGACGAGAATCGACAATCGGGCCTGGGATTTTTGGCCGGCTCACGTTCGTCATCGACACGCTGTAGCCATTGTAAAACGCGTCTGTAACTCGGTAAAACAGTTACGTGACGTTTGCGGGCTCGTCAAAAAAAATCGTGTCAGTTTTAGAGCCTGATCGGCGACCGCAAACGACCAAATCATTCGATTAACCTGATTCTTCGAACGTACACAAATTGCTACTATGAAACACGGCCGAACATATCCGTATAACCGTTGTCTTGTTCTCTTAACAAACATAACACGCAATACAATTAATATTATTAGCGTTAGTATTACTATTACTTTACTATTACACTGGTATTAGTGTACAAAATATGAAATCACGACATGCTAATTTTATCCTTTACTTGTTTTCTGGATAAATATTTTCCTATCTCTGATTGTAATCGGTGGAAGGTAAATATACCAGATATCTATTATCATTGCACGATAAAGCGATAACGTAGACTTACTATCAGCTGTAAGTTCACAAATTCTGAATAAATAATTTGATTCCATAGCTATACAAACATAGTCGAAATTCATTCGTTTCGAATGTTTCGTTCGAAATAGATTATTCATCGAATGACTCTGAATATTAATTCCAAAATAAGATATTTCGGAAATTTCGTTTACAATTATTAATATATTTCCCTTTATCTTCTGTACCGGTTTCTCTGTTAAGTTATCGATGCCTCCTTTTAAAAATTTCATTGCTTTTAATGAGAACCGAGTCCGATTACAGCATCTCAAAGGAGCCGTCCAACAATTAAACAACTTATCGAACGTAATTACAAGATATCGCGTTAATGCATTTGCGATGAACGTACGAGAGGCCAAGTTACGATCGATGATTTCATCGAATCAGAATTAATTATTCGAAGCACGGAATATATTTCACAATGATGCATGCAAGAACCCCGACGCTGTTTCCTTAATCGCACTAAATTTTTACGTCACTGTTACACCGATTATTACGACACACGAGGTAAATACAAAACGAGTGACTTGACGCGAGCCTCGAGTCCTCGAACCGACTCTGGTTATTTAATGTATCCTAATCAGAGAGTTAACAGAGCTGGTTCACGAGCCGCCCCGAATCGCCTGCCCACGGAATCGACCTCTAAATATATGCTAATCTCTTTTCTATAGCCTCCCATTAGTCGTCCGTTTTCGTCGATTCGGGAAGTGTTTCGGAGTCGCCAAAAAAACACATAAAAAAAAACACTCGAAGAAATCACCGAAACAACAAGCTTAGGGATCGTTCACTCGCGACACAATCTCTTCGAAAAATTCCCCAAAAAGTAACGATCGACGGAGATCGTGGAAAAAGTGACACCACTCACCTGAGCGTGATCTCAAACGAAGAATCGAAAAAAAAACTCCTCAGCGCGAATAGATCCTCATGTCGCGGTTAAATTCGATTCCCAATCACCCAGGCGATCCGCGATCCTCCGTGAGCCGCAAGATCCTCGCAAGTGACGCGAGTCGACGTGTTTTCAGGAACTATTCTGGAAATCGGTTGCCGATCGCGCCACGTTCTCGAGAGGGAGTAAGTTCTGAGGACGCGGATGGCTCCTACTTATAAAGACTTGGCCAAGTCTCTCCAATTGGCTTCCACGTGTGTGTTCAACGTCTACGTAAGTCTGGTATCCTTTGCACGTGCGTGCGTATGCGTGTTCGCATATACACGAGAAGGAATCGTGGCTCCGTCCAGGTGGAAGGGGGCACAAACTATGTCCCGGTCGTTGCTGTTACACATTATACCGAGCCAATGCTGTGTCGGGGAGCCGCATAGTAGGATGAGTATACGCGATCGTTGGACATTCGGTTCTGCAGGGCATTACGCTTCGACGATATCTAAAATTTCGATAAATCTTTTTACTCGACAAAAAAAACTTAGATCACCTTAAATTAGTATTTTTCATTTCGTAGCGTTATAACCGATGAAAAACCAAATTGCTCTGCAGTGATCTTTGCCTGACCTTTGGCGTCGAAATCTACAATAATCGAGAAGTTCTATGTTCCCTATAAGCGAAGCGTAAACACAAGTCATTGATACTTTTAATATTATAAGATAAGTCCGTGATATTTCGATCTTCACTGTTTACATTTAGACAGTATCAATGATTATGAGATTTCCGAGTTGAAGGTCACGCGAAGGTCATTGTTTACATACCCAAATCTATATACAATATTATTATTATTGAAATTAATCTCTGGAAATGAATTTGCGGGATATGGTTCTAAGGACACAAGAATTATAATTTCGTTAGGTACTTTAGGTAGAGGTGGGGGGAAGGAATAGAGGAAAAGGGAATGGGGGAAAGGAAAGACCTGGACGGCGAATGCTGTCTCGCCCTGGCCCCTCTCCTAGCCCTTCCTCAGCGGGTGGGACGAGCGGTTCTTTCCAGCTCCCGCTCCGCGGCTTCCTCCTGCGAGATTACGTCCTCGTGTCCAACGAGAGATCCTCTCCAATTTCAAACTCCAGGACACGGCGTTGATCCGTCCGCGTTGGGCATGACGCCAGCGTGTGCTGTGCGTCCTGAGCAACGCTACATTCGTGGCACACACCGTCCTCGCCTCCTTCCCGATTCGACACAGGTACTCACCAAAGCAGCCGTGCCCCGCGAGCACCTGTGTCAATCCGTAGGACACCCTACCCGGTTTCTCTTGCCACTCTCTCACCGGTGCGACAGGATTGCACCGACCATCGCGCTGCTCTGCCTCCATCAATAAGGCGGTGGAACCACCTCCGTTCGACACGGTCCCTAGACCCGCTTGCTACCTTTTCTCTTACGGTTTTCCCTTCCTCCTGCAACTCAACGATAAACAAGTTAGGTTCCTCTAGGTTAGGAGCTCCCGGGGGTGCAGACACGCCAGAGTAATCACCACCTGATCAGAGACGGGTCTGACAGCCCTGATGACCGGGATCTGACACGTACAGGCGGTGAACTCTTTCCTTCGATCCCTCAATGTTATAGAGTAGGCAGCTCAATGCACCAGGATAAGTCATCGACACAACATGCCAGAAGCGCATCAATTAGTAACGGCGCCCTCAAGATCTTATCGTACTCGATGTTCCGTACCAGGAGTCCCAGAACACTGTAGAAATCATTTAACACAGTTATATTTATACTCGTTCGTTTATACTCATCGCGACAGCATAAATTTCGACGTGAAACAAAACGACATAGTTTCGACGAATATTCCACGTCGAAGTTTCATTCTATGAGTATGTTAATCGCTGTACAATACTATGAAACAGGTTTCATTACACACGATTGAGCTTATTACCATGTATTAAGATCCCTTGGGTATACTGCAATTAGTTCATTCAGGTTTGTTCCCTTATACGAGACCATTATCATGAAAACGATCCACAATCCTTATCGGACTAGCATCGTTGCATGATTTAGTTGAACAGATATCGATATAGTTTTTGCATTCAACGGTTATTACAGGGACTGAATTGAAACGCAGAAATCCAATCAATGAAACTACGAACGAAAGGGAAACCTGTTTTGGCTTACAATTTACCGGGTCATTTACAACCGCGTCTATTCTGGAGTATATTTTCCAGCATTCTAACGACTTCGTTTTAGATAACGGATTCCACGTAAATCAATTACCGAAGCAGGTTGTTATTCGTGTCGGTGACGCTAATATTTATCGAGTACTGATTCGTGTTCCTTTCAAACGACACGACATCGAAATTAACTGAGACGAATGGTTCACGATAGTTTTCGACACATCTTTCCAATACTGGTTTAAACGAAGCGATACGTTTATAAGTATATTAATTACATGGTACTCTGTTAATGTGTATAAATTGCAAAACAAATAAATCTTCTTCGACAATGAAAACTCAGGCAAATATGCTTGTAAATGTAAAGTGATTAAAAATACTCGAACAATTGGACAAAGATTCATTTGGAATCATTCCAATCAAGAAATCACAAAGCTAATCTTGTCGAGGCCTCGATGATACTTGATGTTTCAAGTATATCGACAAGATCTGTCAACAAATAATATCTCATTATCATCAATGACAACTTATCTCGATATCTGTTTCGATAACACAATGTTTGGAAATTGATATGTGTTTATTAATAATCATGCCATTGAATCGGAGCTAGCAGAAGCTGTAAACATGTCTGATGGAAAATAGAATACGGAAGAGATACGTGCAATGCCGCGTATTAAAGTTTTAAGTTCTTATCAATACACGATCTAATACCCGCGTATTGAATAATTCCGCGAAACATTATCTGCACTTCGAACAATGACTTCCACGAACGACGTTCAACAAAACATGGACTGGTTTTTTTTTTTTACTCGCTCGAAGGACATCTTCCCAGTTCGTACGTCGATTGAGATATTAATAGAGGGACCAGTTGCTGGCCACTCGTGTGGAAAAGTAACCCACGTATGCCCTAAAGGAGGATGAAGACGAGTTGTGCATCCGCAGACGCGGCAGCAAGGTCGGTAAGTCATCGTGGATGATTTGCGACAATCGGAAATATTCTGCTTTCCATCGTTTCAGATTTACGATAGAGCTTGTTTTCTTTCCCCTTATCGTGGCTGATACGCCTACACGCGGTGCAGTTCCTGCTAAATACTTGCAACGAGGATGTTTTGAAGATCAATCGTTCTTGCATAAACACGTAAACATCGTGTTTTTATTTAAAAAAAAGAGAAAAGTCACGAGTAGGAGGCGATCAATCCGATAAGACAAACGCTTCGCGGACAATACAAGCGTACTCCGGCATTCGAATGCAAACGATCTCGGTCGCTAATTGTGTGAGCGAGTTACAGGCGCGGGCAACAAAGTGTCCGTAAACGTCAAAGTGGAAACATGAGTAGAAAAGCTAGGCAGTGGAATACGGTTGCAATGGGCGGACAGAGCCACAGAGCACGGTGCATCACCGTGCATACAGAAAATATACGATCGCAGAGGAAGAGAGTACAATGGACTGTATCTCAGCCACCGACGACCATAAATGTTCGAAAGAAAAAACTTCAGTCCGGCTGTCCGAGCGATTATGGCCGTCGTTTTACGTCGGACCCACGGGCGAGGGAGGAGGCGATTCATTCGATGGAAAAGTCCCTGAATTAACGAGCAACGGAATAATGCTCGGAAGTGCTACCCCACGGTCGTGGGCCCGATCCATGAATTATTCCACCGCGAGCGACTAACTCGATTCTCCTGTCTTCTACATTTTTCCGCGGGAAACGGAAAGAACTCACCGATGGGGCTGCAATCTACGCCCAACGGAGGAACAATCCGTGGGAAAATCGACTACAATATATTTTTCGAATCATATTCTTCGAGAATATATGAGACAAACTCGATTTTTTCAAAATGTTTACACTACCATAAATAATGTAATATAATATCCCCTTAAATGTATGTAGATACAATGTTTTCAGCTCCATTATTTTAATAAAATTATGATTTTACAATCTGTAGCGAATTATCAAGATCATATAAATCCATGTAATTAAAAAAAATGCATTTCATTTTAACATTCGTATACTCTCATCCACTATACTTCAGGCTTTTCTCTACTATTTTCTATTTTAATATACATAAACAAATAGGAAAAATTTTTGATCGGAATACAAACTATCTTGTACAGAATATTGTAAACTATCGTCTACAATTTGTTGATCAGTGTTATTTGGTAAATGGAAACCTAGCAAAACTCGATCATCCCCTATTTGGATCCTCTGGATTTCTTGCTGCATTATATAGAATTCTAAATACAACAATGAAAATCACACTCGCGTTATTGCTTTAGACACAAGGAATTATAATTTCATTAAAAAATATCAGTCGACGTCTTTGGTACAAGATGGTACAAGTTCATCTGACTCGAACGTGAAATCATAAAAATTTCAAAACTCTATTGTTTAAATGCGACACGTGTTCCTGTTTTTTTTTTCACCAAATGTCATAATCTGGAGTTCATTTGCTTTACTAGCACACATTCTCATTCTAATACTATCCAACATGTCTATGAATCGCATTATCGCCGATAAGCAAGTTAATTTTTTTCCATCTCGTTCTTTTCGTTTCTCTCGCGAGCAAAAACTTTGACGAGCAAAACTGAAACTCACGGGGTTCCGTCCGCGTACCCCCGTCTTTCATCGAGGAATCCCCGAGACGGAAAATCGAGCAAATGGGAAGACAAGGAGAAGCAACAGAGGCGCCAGGCGAGAAAGTGATCAGGTTGCACCTGTTACGACTTCCCCGCGGTGCATCGGACGAATAATGACGGGGAATAATAAAGATCGTTCATGGCCAGTTACTTTGCGTCTTTTTGTCTTCCCTTCTGCGGCCGCGGAGAGAGAAAGAGAACCCTTGGAAGGCTTCGAAAACCGGCCCAACCTATAAATAACCAGCTCTTTGCATCTCTTTGCGCTTCTTTTCTTTCTGTTCCGTCTCTCCGTGCCTTCACGCGCCCCCGACGCACACGTTTTCGCGTTCATGGACCCCGTAATTCAGGTTCCTTCGCACGTACGCGCGGATACAATCGGCGCAATTAATACCGAAAGTCAGACGGACTCTCGACTCCCAGACTGCATTAGCCGCGAATATGAATTCAGCGGAGACAATTAATGTACGTTTAAAGGAAAATATTCGACGTCCGTTGGAATTCTCCGGTAGATTCTATGGCACGCGGGGGGGAAAAAAACGAAAGTTTAAATAGGGATGAAGTTGCAAGTTGTATCGAGCTGGTCGTTTAGTCGACCTTTATGGTATCTGCAAGGTAGAAGATACTTGATACTGTACATACGTATTCTTCGTATTATTCTTAACGAGGGGAAACGGGCGAATCAACCCCGAGCAGAAAGGTGAATCGTATTTGATTAGACAGAGGTACAGAGTTTTTCGCCGAGAGAAAATATAATTTTAAACTGTCAACATTCCTCGGGC